GACTCGGGGCCCCAGCATACGGCTGCGTCGCCTCAGGCTCGTAGCCATGGCCGTGCGAGGCCACCGCCGGCCCTCCTTGATCGTAATGGGCAGATCCACTACCACGTGGAACGAGTCGTCCGGGAGCGGCGGCTCCATGGCAAGAGCCAGCTGCTCGTGAAGTGGAGGGGTTACCCTGAGTCGGATAACTCGTGGGAGTCCGTTGAGCAGCTCCAGGCTGACTGCCCGAAGGCTGTTGCGATATGGGACAAGAAGCAGCGGCAGCTTCGTAAGTAGTCCTTGGCTTCTTCGCCGCACGGTAGCAGACGTAGTCGCACCACGCCCACGCTCTTCACGAGCTTTGGCTCTCGCCTCTTGCTTCAGCTCGTCCATCTTCGAGTGGAGCTTGCGCTTGCTCACGAGTTGAGCGAACTCGATGCGGAGCTCGCGCACGTCCAGGATTACGGACAGAGTGCGATCCTCACGGAGTTCTTTGAACTCTTGGTCGGAATACCCTTTGCGCTGGACGTAGCGCCAGAAGAGGTCTTCCACCTCGCTCCAGGTCATGTTGTCATTCGGCTTGACCCAGTGGAAATCCCACACAGGATGGAGTCCACCCTTGTCCTCCGGCTTCTTGCGAAGCGTGGTGAACTCCTTCAGTGTGAGCTTGTGTGGTGCTAGTAGCACACACCGGGCGACTTCAACGTCCCCAAGAAAGAGTGGCTCTTTCTCAACAAGAGCACGCTCATAGGAACCCCTTGAGGTGTACCCGCTGATAAGGCCACGAGGAGCCGAGAGCTTCTCCAACAGCGCTGGCGCACCAGTACCAGGCTCGGGCGGGAAGTAGCCCTGCGGGTACGTGGCATCCCCGCCTGAAGAAGACTCGATGGCAGTCGTGGCAGTCGGCTGCCTGGCATCCGCACCCGAGCTAGCAGCATGGTATTGCTGCTGCTGCTCGTCGAGGTTGTTGGAGAGCTCCTTGGGCTCGTGGACGGCACCCTCCTCGTCCTCAGACTCCGAGTCGATGAACAGCTTGGAGCTGGAGCCGCGAGGCGACCTGGAAGCTGAAAGCTTCTTCGCATTGGCCTCGGCGGCCTTCGCAGCGGCAGCCGCTTTCGACGCTTGGGCACGCTCACGACCTTGTGCCAGCGTCAGATGCTTGGATGCCAACACCTCCTTGGGCTTGGAGCCCGCGTCGTTCGGCGACTTCTCGGCCACCCCAGCGTCGGCCATGGCGACTTCGTCGTGCGACGGCTTGCTGTCGCCTGAGCCGGACTCGGCGTCCTCCGCCTCCTTCTCTGACGAGGCCTTTGCGTCGGCCGAGGCGTTGGTCATGTCGCCTGCCGCCAGCTCCGTGCCTTCGGCAGCGTGCGTGCTGCCCTCCGAGACGTTCTCGTCGTCGGGTGAACTCTCACCGGAGTACTGGACCATCGTGCAGTCAAAGACGGCGGCTTCCCAGTCGCGAGTCGGGCTTTTATGGCCCCAAGGACTCTCCTCTTTGCCTTGCGCGGCGTCAGGAGACTTGCTCCAAGCCCCGGTCTGACGGCCACTCTCCGGCGTGCTGCTACGAGAGCGCACCACCTCCTCGGCCGCCTTCGTGGCCTCCATCAGCGCGGGCGACTCGTGGCCGCCCTGGTCTTCGGCCCTACGGCCCGCGGTTTCGGAGGTGCTTTCGCACTGCGCGCACTGCGCCTTGGAGGCATGCTTCCAGTCGACGTGGAGACCCTGCGGCTTGCTCGGCGACGCGCCAGTTGCTCTGTGAGGCCCGGGAGCCGAGGCGCCAGAGCTCGCGCCGTTGTCGATGGATTTCGACTTTGCGAGTGAAATGTGAGTCGCCGGCGTAACCTCGCTCTGATTGGTCGATAAGATCGAATCTAAGGGGGGAGGATGTAACGGGGTTACATGGAATAGTGACCCTGCCACTATTCCGGGATGGCTACATCGGTCACTCCCCTGGATAGTGACCCAAGTGGCCTCAGAGCCAACAGATACTTTTTGTATGACACAAACTATAGGGAACTTAGGATTTGTATGCAGGCCAAATCTGTACCAACCTATAAATACATTCAGTCTTAGATCTACCGCTTTTCAAGTCAAGTCGTCCCCTTCAGACCAGGGACACGTGAACGGCTGTTCACTTGGAGTTTGTATACTCCTGCTTCCTCTGTTAAGAAGTGCTGTGTGCCCCGTCACAGGGGCTCTACGCTGGAAGCGGAGCTTCCCAGACAACGCATCTTGCAACCCTGCCCTGGTCCGTTAGGGCTGTCCAGGGATAAGCGGGATTCATCAAAGCTTGACAAAGATAGCAGGGGGCGCAGTAGTATAAGTTGGTGCTACTTTTTTTCGCGTGCACTTCAATGATGTCCGAGTAATAGCACATTAGTATTTCTTACCTAGATACTGAGCCTACCAAAACCGGAGGAGGGCACAATACAAACGTATCCGAGACAGTGACTCATCGACACACATGTACGAGGGTCGGGGAGCCTGGCGGGGGCTGTGCTATCGCAGGAGTTCGAGGCGCCGCTAGCCTGTTGGGCAGCTCGATCAGATTGCAAGTTTCCGCCATCCAAGCAAGCACCCACCTCACCTCACCCTGTATTACTACACTATAGTTTAGATAGGGTTTCAACTTACCCCCTGCGGGGATCACATTAAAGGCCGACACCGCGGCCTACCCTGCAATGATATCGACCGGTCGCCCCCATTACGAGTGAGTACCAAGGAGATGCCCTATCATATGGATACCGTGCGTGCAGCACGTTATTCAGAGTCGATGCTTGCAAGTTGATGCAGCGAGCTCGAAGGAAGTTGTCTGTACTCGAAAGTCCGATCATAATACTCGGTACTCGGAAATCAGCGAATTGTAAGGACGATCCGAAATAAGTAGTGTTCCTTTGGCGGTGTTGCAGCACATAAACTTCAACTAACGGGGTTCAACTCGGTAGAACTTCACCAAGTTGAAGCCGTTAGGTTGTTGTAGCACGAGACGTTTCTGCCACGGTTGGTGGGCCTTCGTGCGTCTTCTCGGAAAGTCGCCAAGTTGGCGACACCGAGTTGCAGCGGCTAGGCAAGCGATTCGCCCAACTTCAGTTTGCAAAAGGTGGGCAAGCTCATTTCCCGTTTTGCTGTGTTTCGGAGACATGGACGATTTCCTCATGCGTCCATCTCACCGGCTTAAGGGGGGCAAATGAATATATTTTGCCTCGACTTGAATTCGAGGGCGTGGCGAGGCGGGTTCAGCACCTCAAGGAAGAATTCAAAGTGAGATCTAGACTGCGGCATTCGCCGGCTCCCCACTAATAGCTACATCAGCCTTAGGTTCTTACCGCCTATCGGAAAACTAGTCATCCTCACGGACTGACCCTCACAGTAGTTGGGATACACCTCGGCGAGGGTACGGCGGAGCCACCCGCCCCCAACATCTACGAGCAGTTCCGCGTTATTGCTCGGATGCGCCAATTCGTCGTTGACTGGGAGCTCAAGGTGCAAGAGTTTGAGCAAGCGGCGGGGGTTGAGCTTGCCGCCCCGATCAAGTCGGCTATATTTGCGGACGCGCTGCCGAGAGTGGCGGCCACTCATGCTCAGTTGGCTGGGTGCCCGGCCTTTCGTGCCATTCGCCGAGCTCGCGGGTAGGCTGGTGCTGGAGGACGACAACGCGCGAGAGAGGCAGGGGCGCAATAGGAACCCGCCGCGCGCGCCGCATGAAATGGGGGTTGCCCAGTTCTACCCTCTTCCGTTCGAGGGCTACCGCGAGAGGGACATCCTAGATGTGGAGCGCCGCGAAGCGCATGGGTCGCGTCGCGAACGGAAGCGGGGACGTCAAGAAGACCAGCGCCACTACCAGTCGCGCACCCCATTCCAGCGCTCGCAGAGTATCCACCCCGAAGGAAGACGGCGTAGTCCGTCTCGAGGACGATCGGTGTTGTCGCAGGGAGCTGCGGACCGCCGTTATCGGGCGGTGCGATCGCGAAGCTCTGCGCGTCGCGAACAACCAGCCTTTGGCTTCCCTCCGCAGAAGCAGCAGCGGGGTCTCTCCTTCGAGAGATACCTGAGTTCACGGCTGTAGGAGCTGTGGCAGCGTGGGTGTGTTCAGCTGCGTGTGCTTGTCTAGCGTTTGTTGTGCTGTTTGCCAGGTCTCCCGTCGTATTCCGTTGAGTCATCCCGTTTCAGTCGAAGACCAAAGGGAGGGGGCCGTCCGAGGCGACTGATCTCGTGCAGAACGCGGCAAGCAGCAAGCAAGAAGGTGGCGAAAAAGAAGGACAAGACGGTGGGCTGCCGCAGACAAGTGAGATTCAAACCACATGAATGGATTTTATGGAGATGTTCACCGGTTAACCAGCATTTTGATCGATGCGTCTTCCTTCGTTCTTCTTCTCTGTTATTTGTCAAAGCAGTCGTCTCCGCCGCTAGGTCCAACGAAAAGTGACGACGCTGGAAGCGCAGGTACGAAGAGCCCCCTTTGACGCCGATTCTTACGGCTACGGAGCGAGAAGTTGGGCGACATTTGCATTTGCACCATAGGCTGGGTTCAACGGCACAAGCACGCTCTCTTGCTGCGGGATGATCTCGTGTACCGTGTATCGCTGGAAGTGCGGCTCTAGTAAAAGGCGAAAGATTGATGCGGACGGCCGGGGCTGCAGCTACAACAACATACAAAGGATCGACCGAGACGCTTCTGGGATCGAACGAACCTGCTCTTGTTTCCTCGCCCAAGCCGCACGGAATGAACACAATGCGTTGGACCTCTATTCGAGTCCGCCGCAATGTATGGGATTCTTGACGCTAGTTGATCGTAGATGCAGCACCATTTTGCCGGAGAACGTGGTGCTGACTAACTAAGTGAGGAGGCTCCGTGCCATCCGACCGCCGGCGCCATGCTGCTGATCGATCACGGCACTTCCAAGCGTTGGTGCAGTCAACTAAACGGGCACACAACAACATCACCAACCGGCATCGAGTGACATAACAACCAGTCATTACATTTACCGCCAGCACTAAGCGACCACAGCCACCACTTCTTAGAATCCCAGGGTAGCTCGTCCATAAAACTGTTCGTCCTCTTCGGGCAAGGCGGCCTCCAGCCCGTCGAGGTCGAACTCCTTCGCCTGCTTGCTGTCGCTGCGCGTGATTGCTCTCTTGTCCGGATCACCGCGCGTCGACCGAGGTGGAGGCAGCGGCGGAGCGGCGGCATTCAGTAAATAGGCGTTCGCAGCGCGCAAGGTCTTCACCCAGTTGTTCAACTCCTGCGGGCTCTGGGTGAAGAAGTGCGACTGCTGCTCGTCCGTACACAGCACAAACTCCTTGCCATACCGGATGTCTTCGCAGACGACCTCGAAGCTCTTGTCGGCCAGGTTGATCTCACCACGGACGACGGAGTCACCACGACGCTTGTAGTATTTGAGGAATCCATCGGCAGTGATAACGCACCAACGCTCACGCGCTCCTCGCATCGTCTTCATGCCGCTGATGATGCCACGGTCGGCCCACTCCGTAGGTCCCTTGTCTAAGAACCCACTCAGCATCGGCATCTTTCCTGCGCGAGAGCTACCGGTCACCGACGTCGTGTCAGCGCTTGTGTCTGGGGTAGACGGACTCGAGTTGTCCTTGCTAATCGACCCCGAACGCCGCGACTTATTCTTCGAGGATAAGTCGGTTGAAGTCTCAGTCGAAGGCTTCTGGTTGCGACTGGATTCCGTTCGTGACGATGACGTTCCCGACTTGCCTTGGTTTTTGAGCCGGTGCAGCTCGTCCTGTGCCTCCTTGAGCTCCTCCTTAATTTTCTGCCGCCGCCGCTGGCACTCCTTGGCCAGCTTGTGGTCTCCTGACTGTGCAGCCTTCGACAACGTGTCCACGACGGAGCGCTGCTTCTTACGCAGCTCCAAAATCTTGGATTCCAGCTCAGCATATTCCGATTTCGGCTTGCTGGTACCATTACTGCTGCTGCTGCTCCCTTTTTCACGGACTCCACTTGAGCTGAGAGAGTTCTTTTCCTTATCATCGCTCTGCCGATGGGAGGAGGAGGACGACGAAGAGGTCGAGGAGCTGAGCGCCGGTTCTTCATTGCCGAGACTGGCGTAGTGCTTAGTGAGCTGCTCCATCTCCTTCTGTACCTTATTGGCTTTGCGCTGCTCCTTGTTCAGCTCGTCTTCAAGGCCACGCCTCTTCTTCTTTAGTGCCGATAGCTGCTCCTTCGGCGGGGCAGTGGGCTCAATACCAAATATGTCCTCTTCCGGCACGCGGTCTTCATCCTCGTCTTTGGCTTTTTGCTCCACTTTCGCAAGCTGCTTCTCCAGTTCATCTAGCTGTGCCTGCAGCGCGTCCCTCTCCTTCCTCAGTCGTTTATTACCTGCACTCATCTTCGAAATATCGTCGTTCAGCTCTGTATTCCTCTTGGCCAGTTCATTGGCCCGCACAAGCTCCGGATTCTCCATCGCGTACGTCGCCTGCAGCTTGAGGTTCTTCATCATGACCTCGTACTTCTCCTTGTCGTGCTTCAGCGCCTCGTTCTCTTTCCGGAGCTCCATTCTCCGCGCGTTCAGCAGGTCAAACTCGCTCGAGACTGTACTCCACTTGTGCTGCATGCGGGTGAGCGAGCGCAGCATCTTCTTGTTCTCGATCGTCCACATCTCTGTGTGCAGCTCCCCCGTCACCAGCACGCGCGTGTACTCCTGCTTCTGCAGCATGTAGGCGGACGACTGGGCGTAGCTCGTGCTGCTCGGATCATTGCCCGCGCCGTTGCCGCTCTTCTCCCCGTCGGACTTGCGCCCGCCGTTCTCCTCCACTGTCCCCTTGTGCACGTCGGCGAACTTTATGCGCACGGGTCTGGACGCGCTCTTCAACTTGGCCACCACCTCCTTGTACGTGAGCCCCGCGAGCGACACGTCTTCGATGCTGATGACGCGCATGCCGATCGTCAGGCGCTTGTGCGGCTTGACGCTCCAGTTGTGCAGCTCGGCGGGGCCGGCCTTGCCGTTGATCTTGGGCAGGTCGTCCACCTCGGCCTGGAACTGCGGGTACAGGATGGTCTCCATCTGGTGGACCTCTCGCAGACTCACGCCCAGGCGCCCCTCCTGGAAGCAGATCTCCACCTCGCTCATCCAGTTGAACGTCTTCTTGATCTTGGCGCTCGCGCTCTTGGTGGGGGGCGGCACCCACTGCGTCTTGCCCGCGGGCGAGATAAAGTAGTACCGGCCCTTCTGCGACTTGCTCTCCTTGCGCGTCCAGCCGGGCGGCAGCTTGTCGTCGCCCTCGGGCGTGGCGCTGCCCGTGCTGCGGCGGCTCGTGCGGCTGCCGCGGCTTCCCCGGCTGCTGTTCAGTGACGTGGCGTTGGAGGAGCCAAGGCTATTGTTGCTGGCGGCGGTGGTAGTCGTCGTGGTCGTGGTGGTACTACTGCCACCGCCCTTGTCGCTGGCAGGCATGGAGCTGTTGCTTCTGCAGAGCCACATCACGGCAACACGGGCAACACCACACTTCCGTTTAGCACTCTCTAACCTCCCTGTCGCTTTAACACTAGCCTAAACTGAATCAGGTCGTCACACGTCACTCAGTCGCACCTCCATAGCGTATTCTTTTTCATGCCTGCGAGAGGCCAGGCGCCGCCCTCCCCTTAAGCGTCGAGCGCTGTGTCGTCGCTCCTCCCGCGCTGCTGCTGCTCGCTCGCTGGCTGCCGCTCCCGGATCGCGCCGTCGCTGCGTCGCTCGGTCGGCAGCTCCGCTCCTTTCTCTCGCGCCTGGTAAATGGCAGCCCCCTCGCATCACAGTCCCGAACACCACTACAGTCGGAGCACGAATAAGTACGATATCTATTGGCCAATCACAGCGCACAACGGATCTGAGAAACTCTGAGGCGAAGCCATCTCGGCAGTCGCGCATCGTGACACAGACGCTTCAGTAATAGGATTGGAGTTGCCGCTCGAAGGACGGTGCGCGCGAGCGTTTCCGCGGCGAAAACTCCTCAGCGGCGTCCGAGTTGCGGTAGACGCTGTGCGACCGGTTGAGGCGCGGGTCTCGAGACGAGAGGCGGCTCTCGGCCGCCTGGAACACGCTGTGCGAGCGCTTGCGGTAGTTGGGGGACGACGCGCCTACGCCCGAGGAGGAGGACTGCTGCTGGTCGCGGAACGCGTACGAAGGAGGCTCACCTGGCGGCGGTGGCGGCACGAAGTTCTGTTGCTGCGGGCTGTAGAGTCGTCCCACACTCTCTGAGACCTCGTAGTCGCCGCGGTTGCGTTGCGTCGATGATCCGGCGCGCACTCGGTTCTCCTCGTCGATGTAGGACTCCAGGCAGTGAACCATGTACTGGTTCCGGTCCAGCGTCACGGTGCACGAGTACTTGTTGTGGCTGTCGTGGGTTGTGCCGTTCTCGATGTCCGCCTTGAGGTACCAGCAGCGCTTCATATGGTGGCCCACTTTGAGGCAGTAGAAGCACGACACCGGGCCGCCATACTTGTTGCTGTCGTTGTCGTACTTCTTGTCATACTTGTTGTAGGGCTTGTGCGAAGGCTTGTCGTATCGACTGTAGGACGCGAACTTGTCGTAGCCCCGCTCCGTGTCGTGCTTGTCGTAGCGGCTGCGTTTCTCGTAGGTGTCGCTCTTGTCGCGCTTGCTGTCGTCCTTGGACGATCGAGATGGTTTGTCCGACTGCTCTGCCGACAACTTCTTCGAGGCGTCCTGCGAGCGAGTGCTGCTTGAAGTCTTCTTCTCACCCGACGAGGAAGTGGTGGACACTTCCCCACTCGTCAGATCCACCGTGTTGTTCGCTGTATCAATGGGCGGCGGGACTGGTTTGCTTGTCTTCGATGTTTTCTCGGAGCTTGGCGCCTCAGCCGCGCGCTTCTCCGCCGGCTTCTCCCCAGGCTTTTTCGCGGGGTTGCTGACTGGCCGGTCCGCTGGCTTGTTCGCTGGCATCTCAACTGTCGTCTCCCGAAACTTGGTCTCTGTTTGGACCACAGGCTTCACCGCAGCAGATTTGTCCACTGCCTTTTCCGGTAGCTGCCCAACTTGTCCATCGGCGGGGCTGCTGCTACCTGTGTTGCTAGTTTGTCTCACCAATGTTGCACTGCTAGGAGCATTCACTGCCGCCTCTGCCTGAGCCTGCATCCGCTCACGCGTCGCGATCACTTTCTCAACCAGCTCCGCATACGGCACGAACGGCCTGATGCCTCTCCACGAGGCCGCCATGGGTCTCCACGCGCTAGGCAGAGTCTGTACGAGAGAGACGGAGCGGAATCCGTCCGTGAGCTCGATGCCCGTGGCCAGCGCGTACTGCTGCATGAGCATCTCCCACCTCGTGATGAACTCCCGCACCGGCTCGCCCTTCTTGTCCCCCAGGCGGATGTGATGCAGCACGCGGTGCATCTCGTACACGTCATGCGCCCCGGGGCTGCTGCGGTTGCCGTACAGCGCGCAGAGCATCTTCCAGCTGTCGTAGATGTTCTTGTTCAGGATCGCGCACTCCACGTCCGGGTGCAGGAAGCGCTGCAGGATGCTCTTGGCGTCGGCGCTCTCGCGCAGCACCTCCCAGCGGCTGAGGCGGCTCTCCTGGGCGACGGCGGCGGCGGAGCTGTGGCCGCACGCCGCCTCCTCCTTGACCATCGCCTGATCGTCGTCGACGTGGATCACGGGGCACCGGGGCGGCACCTCCTCCCCGTCGAAGGTGAAGGGCTGGCTGCCGTCGTAGCCGCGCACCATGACGTAGCCCAGGAGGTGGTAGCGCATGAGCTCGTTCTCCACGCGCGCGCGCCACACGCGGAAGTCCGTCGTGCCGTCGAACACGCGGACGCTGCTGCTGCTGCTGCCGGCGGCTCCTTCCATATCTTCCGCTCTGCTTCTGCTGTTGACGCTCTCTCTGTATCTATCTGCCTGGAACGCGGGCTTTCTCGCTGCTGGGGGGGGGGTCTTATTAGGCGGATGGGGGGGGTCTGTCTACTTGGACCCGCGGTTTCCTCCCTCCTCTTCTCGGGGCCGAGGCCGTTCTTGTTGCTTGCTCGCTTGCTGCTGCTTGTTGCCGAGTGGTCGCGGATCGAAGAACGACTGCGAGACGATTTTCTGCGCTGACTGGCGAAACGCTCTGTTTATGTGGGGGTACGCAGCTGAGGCACATCGCCGGCACCGACGGCGTGTGACACTAGCCGTCGCTTGAAGTCTGTTGCCCGAATGGACCATTCGCTGCGGCGGCACTGCTCGTGAGAAGGTCGCAATGAGATCTGCCTCGAGCATGGGATCGGTAGACTTGAAAGCTTAGAGGTCCGCACTGCAGTGGAGCTGGACGGAGCGCCCTCGAACATCGATTTTGGTGCTCGACGGCGTAGCTTAAACTTCTGACCTCAACACAAGTACGTCGCATCGTGCAGCAAACAGCAAGTGTGGATTCATTCGTCAATACACAAGTACACGCACTACGCACTCCCGGCTGCCTTGCGCTGCCAACTCTACGAGCCAAAATGGCGCTCGAATGAGGGCTGCTGCCGTGGAGGGAAGTAGAAATCGGCGTCACCACGCCCCGAACTCTCTCACCTCGGTCGCCTCGATAGACGCTTTGCGATCGCCCAGCTCGATCGCGATACATACTCTGAGACCGACCGGATCGCCCACCACGATAGACGCTGTGAGATCTCTGGGCTCAGTCTCCTCGGTACACACTTTGGGATCTCTCGGCTCGGTCGCCTCGGTACACGCTTTGGGATCGACCCGCTCGGTCGCTTCGGTACACGCTTCGTGATCGCCCCCGATCGTCCCGAAAACCATTTTGCGTTGGTCGCCCTCCACGGGATGGACTGCGCCATCGAACTGCTGGACGAGACTGGCTACGTCGACTGTAGTCCCCCTCGACCACGGTCGTCTTCACTCCCCCTCTTTCGGTCTCCTTGTGACGTCGGCGGCCCATACGCGGATCGCTTTGTCTTTTCAGCGATATACGCCTCGAGAGCCTCCACCATCGGCTGCGTCCGTTCTTTCGTTACAGTACACGCATAGGTGCTCCGCTCGTTGTGCGTCGCACCTTTCTCGATGTCATTCAGCAGTTAATTGCACTGCTCGAACGAGTGGTCGGTCCGGAAGCAGTAAAAACATTTCTCGTTCTCGTCGAGCTGCCTTGTTCTTTCCGGAGCCGCTCGCGACAGACTCCGTTGTCTGCTCCTGGGGGAATCTTCTCGTGGCCTGGCGTGGCTGCGCTAGCCTTCCGCCAACACCTTCCCAAGTAATTCGGAGTACGGCGTGATCGGTCGAGTGCCCTGCCAACCAGCCACGAGCGATTGCCACGACGTAGGCAGTGCGTCCTCGAACATGGCAGATCTGACCGAGGCGGGGAACTCGCTTCCCGTCGCCTGCTCAAAATGCTGCATCGTCATGTTCCAGTGGGTGGCAAACTGGTCCATGGACTCGTCCTTCTTCTCGCCGAACCTCATGCGACTCAGAGCGCGGTACATGTCGTTGATCTTGATGCTACCCCCGCTTCCGTACAGCGCGTAGAGTGTTGCCCACGAGTCATGCGCGTTCTGGTTTGCAATCTGCGTTTCCACCGTCGGGTGAAGGAAGCGCCGCATACAGTTCACAGCATCGTTCTCCTCCTTGAGCGCATCCGCGTCCGACAGAGCTTCGCGGAGCTTCGGCTGCATTTGCTTGCCCTTGTACGCGAACGACTGAGTGCCGTTGAGCCGAGGACGTCGCCGAGCAGACCGAGCGAGATCAGCACGCTCTCCACGCGCGCTCGCCACAGGCGGAAGTCGTTCGTCCCGTCAAACACAAAGCAGCTCGCTTCTTCTGCCATTTGACTTGCTGCTCAGGCTGCAAAAGGCCAAGTGAGCCTTTCAGGGCAAGGCGCGGCTTCAACTTGCCTTGAAGTTTGCCTTTTCAGCCAATCAAACGGCCATTCAGCCGAGTCACTTACGATCAGCCCGTTGGGCATGACGGACAAGGAGCATGGCGACGGAATGCGCGAGGTGGGAGACGACGCCGTGTGGTCGCTGTCTTCCGCCAAGCCTGGCAACGGCGTGGACCAGCTGCGTGACAGTGCGTGCTGCAGATTTTGTGTGCTGGGACGGTGATAGAGCTGATGATCTTTTGCGTCTCCAACGGGCAGACAATATGGACACGTACTGGCAGTCGGACGGCGTGCAGCCGCATCTGATCAACATCCAGTTCTCCCGCAAGACGGCAGTGAAAGAGGTGGCGCTGCACCTGGACTACAAGCTGGACGAGAGCTACACGCCCAAGAAGATCGCCATCCGCAGCGGCTCCACCGTGCACGACCTCAAGGAGATCCACGTGCAGCATATTGCCGAGCCCAGCGGCTGGATCTCCATCCCGTTGCACTCGGACGAAGAGCAGGTTCGTCTAGTCGGACTGCTACATGTACAAGTAGTGAGTGAGCGGCAAGTGACGGTTAGTACTGTTGCTGACCTTTGGTTGTCGTTGCTGGTGCGCTTGGGCAGGTTCCGCTGCGCACGTTCTTCTTGCAGATCGTGATTCTAGCGATGCATCAGAACGGACGCGACACGCACATCCGGCAAGTGAAGATCTACGCGCCGCGTGAGGCCAACGTGCTCGACTGGACCATTCCCGAGGCGACCACGCCACAGTTCGCAGCGTACTCCTGTATCCGTTAGCGCCGCATTTACACTACTTCTTCAAACTTAATTGCAGCATGCACAGCTTGAACGACGGGGCCCACATTAAGCAGTCCATGCACTAATTCGAGCGGGCACCTTGCACCTAAACGCTGCCGGCCTGCGTTCACTCCAAGGTGTGTAAGACATCCATCCACATACAAAGATCACCGTTCTCTATTGCTAGATTACTTTTTCTTCTTCTGGTGCGCAAGCTTCTTGTGGCGCTTCTTGACGTGCTTCGGAATCTTTGTCGCCCGCTTCGCCTTCTTCTCGTCCTTCGTCTCCTGCTTGCGGACCTTCTTGTTCTGCTTCTCCAGCGCCTTCATCTTCTCACGTTCCTCACGCTTTTCTTGCCGGAACGCAGCGCGCTGTTCGTCTGTGAGCTTTGCCTTTCCAGAAGGTGAATCCTCGTCCTCATCGTCTTCGTCGTAGTCGCTACCAGACTCATCGTCGCTGTCGCCCTCCTCATCGTCGTCGTCATCCTCCTCATCGTCATCAGAGTCTCCGTCGTCGTCTTCATTCAGCAGATCCATGATGCGCGTACCCTGCATTGCTGGAGCAGGCACCATCCCCTGCTCAACTTCGAGACGGGAAATAGCCGTCACCAACGACTTCTCCATCGTTCCTTCCTGGTACGCGAGCTGCTCGCGCTCCGAGTGCAGCACTTCGCCCAGCGAGCGCGGGATGAAGGTGCTCATGAAAACAGCCTCGTCCACCTGCTCCTCGTTGGTCCGCTCCACGGGGCGCTCAGCGATCACGCGCTGAATGGCTTCAAGGTGGTCGTCTACATCCTCGTCGGCAATACGCGAGTCCGTGACGAAATCGAAGAGCTCCTGCGTGGTCATGGGGTTAAGCGCGCCGGTCTTGCGGAAGTAGTCTGCGATGTTGCGGCAATCCTTGCGCAGGAAATCGTTGGCGCTCGGGTGCTCGTGCTCCACGGACTGCGACACGTCGATGAAGTAGAGCTTGGTCTTGTAGTACAGGATGTTGTACTCGCTCAGGTCGCCGTGCACGAGGCGGCACTTCTGGTACATGGTGCGCATCATCTTGACGCAGTAGAGGTAGCACTCCCGGTACCTGGAGTCGCTGATCTTGGCGTCTTTGAGGCGCGGGGCGGCCCAGCCGTCGCGACCGATGAAGTCCATGAGCAGCACGTGTGAGCGCAGCAGGATGGGCGCGGGGCAGTAGATGCCCGCGTCGCGCAGGCGCCGCAGGTTGCGCATCTCCTTCTCGGCCCAGAGCTTGACCATTTTGCGCGGGTTGCTCTTGGAGTAGCCGTGGCGGAAGCGGAACTCGCCCGAGACGTACTTCTCGCGGTCCTTGAAGACCAGGATGGACGTCTTGTACACCTTGATGGCGCCCTCGCGGCCGTCGGGCAGCCGCGCGTGGTATACGTTGGCCTCCTTGCCCGTGCTCAGGCAGCCGTTGATCTCCGTCACGATGCCGTGGTTGAGCATCTTGTAGAGGATCATGCGCGTGCGCGGGTCCAGCACCTGCTCCGTCGTGGCGCGGTCGTCGCGGCCCGTGTGGCGCGTGCGCCCGCTCTCCTCATTGCGCAGCGTGCGCGCCAACTGGTTCTCGGCGGCCTTGGACAGGCGGAAGTCGTCTTCGTCCTTCATGGCGGCGGCGGCGGCGGAAGTCGGCGAATGACCAGCAACCAACCGACTGGACTGACGTTTGACATGGGTACAAGCTACCTACGGGAACATATAAGTAAATATGGATTGGAGTAGTGTAAATACGGATTTTTGATTTGCTTGCGGGACGGGTTCAACACTTCATTTTGCCGCGATGGACCACGAGAAGACGGAGGCGTACGCGGCGCTGGCGGCGCAGCTGATGGAGCTGCACGCGTCCGTCGCGCTGCTGGCGCAGAACGTGGAGAAGATGGCGCGCACGGACGAGGAGGTCACCTCCATGACGCGCATCTTCAACGGCGTGTACGTGTCCTTCCCTGCGCGGACGTTAAAAGCGGGGAGAAGTGCTGACTGTTGCTGCACCTGCAGGTTTAAGAACGCGGCACAACAGACCAACTACCGAGAGTCGCCCGCGCCTTAGTCAAAAATGACACCTATCGTAGGAAGACAAGAGGGGCACCCCCGTTCTGTTACGTGCTGAACGTCCGGTTGGGGCTGCCTACTCAAGTAATTTACTGTTTTCAATACCTCTGAAGCTCATGCAGTGCTACCACCGATGGTCACTACAGCCACGCGTACGTACGTCCTTCAACTCACATTAATACAGTGCGGCTAAGCGGACAGCTCTGTTCTCAAAGCCACCTGAAGCCACATCACTTCGGCAGCATTAGGACGCTGAGTGGGGTCTGCCGCGCATTGCCCACGTGAATCATCGACTGCGGTCCTGCCGCGGGAAATTCCGCACGAGTCATTCGAGCGGCTACCCTTTGCAGCGTAGCCGTCATCGGGCGACCGTGTGAGTTCAGCATCTCCTGCTTGGCCTGCTCGTAGGCACGTCCAATTGCTGGCGTGTTGATGGTCTTATTTTCCATGCTGCTCGTCACGTTTTTCGCCCACAGCATGACCCACAGCTCAATTGGAGGCTCACACCACGCACTTCCATCGAGCTTTCTGCGGTCGCCTTGCGGCTGTTGGGGCATGTCGTCCCGTACACTACATATACATGTACGCCTGACGCACTGAACTACCGGATTAAAAAAGCTTCGTCGGATACTTTGGCAGTATAATAACTTTTGCGTCGTTGGATCACTGAAGCACATCAAAGCTTCAAAGCACACATAGCTACAAAAGCATGAAGGAGGTGAGCTAGCGACTCTGTAGGATCCCATCAAGATTGCGCTTGAACACCAGACTAACCCAGCTCATCTGTATATCACAGCCTGCACTCTAATACAATGCCTTAAACTGCAGCACAGTTGTCCGCGCTTTCATGAACAGCTTACTCGTCCTTTCTGGCGCTGTTCATGTCGTCACTAGGTGGCGCAACCTTGCCTTCCTCCTTCTCTTGGTTCGATGACCGCTGCTGCTGCAAGAGATCGGTGCGCGTGGAGTGGCCGCCTCGCAGCATTTGGGCAGCCCAGCGACCAATTTTGCGCCGACGCTGTTAATCAGTAAAGCAAAGTTGGTTAGTTGCGAAATCGACAGCGCAACGAAACACTATTGTGTTAACGTACGTGAACATAGACGGTAGCCGTCCCCCAGCTCATCGTGAAGTTGACGCTCTTGACCACTTCAAACAGACCCGTACGCAAGACGTGCGTCGTCGAGATGAAAAACGCCCCCTGCTTGAGCTTTTCAGTTGCCAGAGAAATCTGGGCCCATTCCCTTCAAATACACAGTTTTTGTTAACATTTCCTTCTTGTAACAACGCCATACTTGCACACTTACTTGTCATTGAAGCAAGTGCCGTGACAAAACACAACGTCGCCGTCCTCCCACTTGGTCGTGAGAAGGCTGCCGGTAATGAAATCGATATCCGTCTTCAGCAGAGGAGTCTTCAGCTTTTCTAAAGCGGCCTTCCGCTTTTCGGCGCAGTGCACCAGAGGCTGTGCGCAACAATGAGGCTAATAAGAGCACGTCCTAAACGTGTTAAGCTCCACAGCACTAAAAGCTCACCTCCAGCAACTCGATGCCAATAGCCTGGTCAAACGGATGCACCAAGCTGGCCGCAATCACCGCCTTACCGGTGCCAGAGCCCTGTTATTAGATACAGCAACAAAATCTACCGGATTAGCAAAATGTGTAATTTAGAGCACTCATTCTCGTAACGGTGGCGGCGTACCAGGTCGTAGAAGATGGGAAACTCAGGAAGTGACGGAGCCACCCAACGGATGATGTCAGCGAAGGGGAAAAACAGGATTTCGCCGTACACCTTGAGCATCACCACAGGTTAAACACGAGATACACATTGACCTCGTTTTATTGGGCACATGCCGCTCACATAAGAGGACTTGATGAGGTTCGAACTTTTGCGCGCCTCGCTCGACAGCTCCTTCGCGTACTACACGCACGAATCACCACACCACCGTCAGTCTGCTAATAGACCGCATAACATCTAGCAACTCGATTCAAGAAGAAAAATGCTAATGCGCCACCAACCTCCGCGCCGAATCCGCGGTACACGCGCTCGAACACCGCGAAGGGTTTCTCAAAGATCATGCCCAGCACGAAGTCTGACACCTTGAGCTCTGCGATCTCCTCCCGCGTGACCTGTTGCAATAACACCACCGTCCCTGTATCAGCACCATCGCCCTCCTCCCTTCTTCTGCCCTCATCCACGAGCATCCTCACGTCCGGCACGAGACTCTTCATGTCCTGCAGCGCGCCACTGCCCCGCAGCTGCGCCACGCCCTCAGCCGAGCGCAGCAGCGCCTCCACCTGGTCGCGAGCTTCCAGCGCCTTCTTCTCAGCCTGCAGCCAATGGGAATGAGCCAAAAAAGCACGAGAACACTCGCGTCAGGCCACGACACGCGTCCAGACAGCGATTGACACACTTGACGTCGGCTGCCACCGCCCCCAAAGACGCCAAAGGACGGGGAAATTGCGAGCTCACCAGCTGCCAGGATTCGTCGCTCGGCTCGTAGTCGCGCAGCCGCGGCGCCAGGCGCTTGAGCTCCGCCACCATCGCCCCCAGGCTCGCCGCCATCTTCCGTCGGTCGATACTTCTCGAGTTTTGACAGGCTAGTCACGAGATCCGATCCCTGATTGGTGGATGGAGTCGCGGCGGATTGGACGAAAATTGATTTTAAGTTTGGTGACGCGCATGGGTGACGTCGCTTCTGCTGACGTACTTGGCTTCTTGCTGGTTTGGCAACTTGAGGGACTCCGTCTCGCCCATGAGCATGAGCAGCGCAGAGGCCACGAAAGCGGGGAAGAAGAGCTTCATCTTGAGCGAAGGAAGGGGTATCCTTTTTGGCTGGGTAGCTCGCTTGAGACTTGCTGCCCTGCTGGAAAGTTGGAGAATGACATTTCGTTTACCGAGAGGCGCAAGCCGTAGATGTGAAAATGCACGGTGTCAACTACAACTCGCGCAAGGGTCCGGACTGGGCCCCGACAGCTCCAAGTGCAAGTCCGCGGCCGAGGTGCAGAAGGACATGTTCGCGCTCAAGGGCATCACCGACAAGGTCCGCATCTACTCGCTGCTCGACTGCAACCAGGCCGAGCTCATCCTGCCCGCCGCCAAGAACGCCGGTCTCAAGGTGCACCTCGGCATCTGGACGACCAAGAGCCACGACTACCTGCTCAAGGAGAAGGCCAAGCTGGCCTCGCTCATTGACTCGGGTCTCTACGACAACAACGTCATTGGCCTGCACGTTGGCAGTGAGACGGTCTACCGCAAGGAGATCACTGCCAACACGGCTATCAGCTACATGAACGAGATCCGCAGCTACCCCCGCAGCCGTGGCAAGAACACGCCCGTCACCATCGCGGATGTCATCGACATTTTCTACGACAACCCGCAGATGGTCGACGCGGTCGACTCCGTCAACGAGTTCGCCTACTGGGAAGGCGTCGACGTGAATGAAGGCGCGGCCAAGACGCTTGACCGTATTCGCGCTATCCGCGTGACTGCTGCGAAGAAGAACAAGCGCATGGTTCTCTCGGAGGTGGGCTGGAGCTCCGACGGTCAGCACGCCAAGATTGGCGTGGCCTCCCCCGCCAACCAGGCCAAGGTCTTCTCGGACTTCTTCCAGGTGGCTCGCTCGATGAACGTGGAGTACTACTGGTACACCGCGTTCGACTCGCAGTGGCGCGTGACCAACGGCGACGACGTCGTGGAGGCCAACTTCGGAGTGTTCAAGGAGGACGACACGATGAAGAGCAACTTCCAGCAGCTGACGATCGGCTGGAAGGACCCCAAGGCGATCCGCAACGCTGGCACCAACTTGATGCTGTCGGAAAAGAACGCCGGTCTGTACATGTCGAGCAAGTCCGGGGACTGGCTGGTGGAGGAGCAGCAGACCTGGTTCTTCGACGCGGCCACCAAGCAAATCCGCTCCAAGAGCGCCGACCGCTGCCTGGGCGCCTACCAGGGCTGGGACGGCGGCATTGTGCACGTCTACCGCTGCATGGACAACGAGCCCAACCAAAAGTGGACGTTCGAGAGCTCGACCGGCAAGCTGAAGCACGCGGCGCACCAGGGTTTCTGCCTCGACACGGACCCCAAGCAGAACAACAAGGTGCAGCTCTACGGCTGCTCGCCCAACAACGCGAACCAGAAGTGGGCCATTCTCAACCCTGCCAACATATAAGTAATCAGAGCGCGCACGTAGTGTTCTTCAGTATCACGTTGTCCTAGAAAAGGTGGACGCGGAGTCACGACAACAACCAAATACAAGGCATTGTGCAGTTGAGTCTAGCCGCCGTCTTTGAGTTTCAGTGGTGGCCAATACTTAAGTACTGTTAAATTCTTTGCCACTGTCGACGTCCACCACCAGTTTTTATGTTGTTTCTCTTATTTCTTTTCATTCTACTGGTTCGTTGCGCACCCTGCCGTGGTCGGGGCCACATCTTCTTCGTCGCTCACATGTTTCCGGCTCATCAAAACAGTGCAATACGCCTGCAGTGCCTTTTTCCCGCTGCCGAGCACGAGGTCCCGGGTTTCGTGTAGCGCGGCGATTTCGCGCTTGGTGTCGCGCTGCTCCTTTTGAATCTCTCGCATACATTTCTCGTGTTGCCGCTGCGCTTCGGCCGCGTACCCCTTCTGCGGTTTGCGCCGGTAACTGTAAACATCATCATCAACAACAACAAGTTAGGCTTGCCACGGCACTACATTCCCTTGACGACACCCTTACACTTTGTGGTATGTCTCCTCCCCACCGACGACGCAGTCGGCAGCTGGGGTGGTGCGCAGCACGAAGCTCGCCTTCTTGGCGTTTTTGGTCGGCGATCGGAAGTACTGCTTCATGAGAGGGCTCAGCTGAGCCGCGTTAAAAAGGGCCCGCTGCTGGTGGCGCCGAAGGCGGTGTGAAGCTCCGAAGCCATCTTCGTCGTCCAGATCCGCACTTGAGACTGGTGTAGCAGGCGATTCTAGGATCTTGGCGATGCTGTTGTCTCCGATCGCCAATTTCCCCAGATAGGACGGTTCACTGGCCGATTTCGCAAGCGATTGCGAGGTTTGCGGCGATAGAAGTCTCGGGAGGTGGGAAATGTCAGGAAAGCCTCCATTCCTTGCCGAACTACCTCCTTGCGTGGCGCCATCGCCTATCGCCCCAGCAGAGGCAGAGCCTGACAATTTGCCCATAGGCTTGATCTTGGCGCCCAGATCGTCCACAATTTCCTCGGGAAAGTATTGCCGTCGCATGGATTGCACCGAGGCCGGCGTCATCTTGAGACCAAGCAACAATTGGCACACGAAGAGGTAGACGTCGTTCTTGAACTCGGTCGAGTAAAGGTGGCGAGAGCCTGGAAAGAGGTAGTGGAACCCCCAACAGACCGCGCTGGCGATGGCGTATGGGTAAACGCGAAACAGGTAGTCCATGTTCCCACGTAGTGCAGCCACCATTTTCACGTACTTGGAGCTGATCTCGTCTGCGAGTGCTCGCTGCTGCGCCAGCGAGTTCTTCTGGTAGAAATGGCAGAAGACGAGCCAGAAGACCTCCTCAAAGAGCGCCCCCGACAACTCGGACAATAGAAAGCGCTTGAAGTTACGCCGCCCGTGGTTGGTGTGGATCCGCTCGAACGTGTGCAGCAGCAGCAGGTTGGTGTTCATGTAGACGCTGCTCCTTAGATTCGTCGCCCCGCCAGTGTTGAAGTCTGCGTCATTCATCCCATACACGAAGCTCTCGACGGTTCGAGTGATGTGGCCCTCGATGCTCGCCTGCAGTTGCTTCTCGATCTGTCCTCGCGCATTCCGGCGATTGTCGCCCTTGTGAACCTCCAGCTTCTTCTTCTTGAGCACTTGCTGGATAGTGAGCGGAGGCCGAGCAAATGTTAGGACATTAACGCGAACCAATAGGCCCTCTCAATAAATTCCTACCGCGTGGGTTCGAGTCTTCTCGTCTGGACCAAACAGCCGCTCCAGCATGGCTTGGTTGCTCGCCAGTGTAGTGGACGAGGTGGCTCGGCTTTTGGCGGCTGCGGCGCCTCGGCTTTCCAGTGTGTCCACGAGCGGAGGGACCATTTTGGAGCAGTAGTCCGAGTTGACCCGCAGGTCGCACTCGAGCCCGTGCTTACGGTTGTTCGCTGTGTCAAAAGGTAGTCATTCGAGTGAGTTTGTGAGCCTTCAGCGAGGCAGCAAGCTAACTGCTTCAAGCCTTGCAGACCTGTCGTCTGCAGCGAGTTGAGTCGCGCCGAGATGATGCCGATCATCTGCGCCGTGATGGCCTCCTTCTGGTGGAGCGACTGCTTCACCTCCTGCTCGTCGTCCTCCGTCCATGCTGCTCCACGCTGCGCCATGAATTGATCGATCTGCGGTGGCGTCGATGGACGGATTGGCCGTATAAATAGAGCCCCGACTTGACTGCCAAACGCGAAGTGTGGCTTTGACCTCGCACATGGGCATGGACTCGGATACAAAAAGCATACTTGGAGGGTAACTAATATCTTGCAGTCATTCCCATCGTCCTGCGTCGAGCAACTGGAATTGATCATCATCGACTCGCTTCAACTTAACCCCCGACACATGTTAAGCATGGCGTCAAAATATAAGCCCCTATCTCGGACAAACCCTAAGGCCACAACATTTTGTGGCAACTTTTATGTCGACGAAGTGAGTCGATTGCGAAAAGGTCCGCTCGACTTTCCGCGAGTCTCCAGCGCTGCGCTTAGACCGCCATCCCGAGTGCCGAGACGCCAGTCAGTCAGCCAGCCACCATGTCCGCCGACCCGTCGCTGGAGAGCGACAGCTGCAGCGAGAGGCGCTTCTTCGAGGAGCGCGAGCAGGTGCGCGGGCTGCTGCAGAAGCTGACGCAGACGCGGCTACCGACGCCCGAGAGCGACGTGGACCGCGACTTCCTGGCCGCGCACAGCTCCGTCACCAGCACGGTACATTGCTATAGATGCTGGATGATGCTGTCGTGTTTGGGCTAATTCCTCCTCCTCCCAATTAATTCCGCAGCTGGACAAGTACCTGGAGCAGTCGCACCTGCTGGACCCCTTTCTGCACGAGATGCTGGACCCCATCGTCAGGGAGATCAAGCGGGTCATGGCCGAGAGGGCCCAAGCTCAAGCTCAAGATCAAGCCGAGGGCGTGGCCTTCCCGTGCCAGGTGTACCGCAACCCGCGGCTGCACAAGCTCTTCCAGCTCGTGTACCACCTGTGCAAGGTGCGCGGCTACAAGACGGTGGTCAAGCTGCTGCCCCACGAGGTGAGCGACTTCGAGCCGACGCTGCAGCTGCTGCAGTCGCAGGACCGCGCCGACCACTCGGCGTGGGAGACGCGCTACGTGCTGCTGCTCTGGCTCTCGATGCTATGCCTCGTGCCCTTCGACCTCAACACCATCGACTCGGCCGCCGAGAGCTCGAACGGGGCCATCTCCATCGTGTCCAACATCGTCACGCTCTGCAAGGACTATCTGAGCGACCCGGGGGCGACGCAGGTCGCAGCGGCCGTGTGTCTGTCGCGACTGCTGAGTCGACCGGACATGGAGCAGCACTACCTGACGCAGTTCCTGAGCTGGGCCAACAGAGAGCTCATGACTGTGTCGGAGGGCAAGGACATGCGCGTGCTACAGTTCAAGGTGACGGGCATCATGTTGTGTCTGGCGCATATCGCCAAGAACTCACCCCGCGAGCAGCACATCGAGGCCAGCCGCATTTATTTCGCCTCCGTGATGAAGCTCGTCGCCCACCTCACTGAGGACGATGCGCGGTCGGACCGACCAAGCAGCAGCACGTTGCACCGGAAGCTCAGCGTGAAGCTTGTGCAGCGTTTGGGGCTGCTGTATTTGCTGCCCAAGGTTCGGTCGTGGCGGTACAGTCGAGGCCTGCGCTCGCTGGAACTGAACATGCAGTCGTTGGGGCTGACCGCTGGCAGCACCGTCACTTCGATGCCAAGCCATGCGCAAGGTGCGTCTGAAGACGATGACGACGATGACAGCACGTTCGAAGTGGTGGAGGAGCTCGAGCAGATAGTTGAAGTTCTATTGTGCGGGTTGCGCGACAAAGACACAGTGGTGCGGTGGTCCGCTGCGAAGGGAATCGGGCGAATCACGGGGCGTCTACCGTATGAGTTTGCCGACGATATCGTTCAGTCTGTGCTCGAGCTTTTCGTGGCGACGGAGGGCGATGGAGCTTGGCATGGAGCAAGTCTAGCGCTAGCAGAACTTGCACGCCGTGGTGTGTTATTGCCGCAGAGACTCCCCGATGCCGTGGAGTGCGTCGCTAATGCTTTGAAGTACGACATTCGCAAGGGTACATACAGCATCGGCTCTCACGTACGTGACGCGGCGTGCTATGCGTGCTGGTCTTTCGCGCGAGCCTATGAGCCGTCGTTGCTTTTGCCGTGGCTAAAGCAAGTTCTCGCGCCTGCGATGCTGGTCAACTGTGTTTTCGATCGCGAGCTGAACTGCCGTCGAGCTGCATCCGCGGCGTTTCAAGAGAACGTTGGGCGGCAAGGCCGGACGAACTTCCCGAATGGCATTGATCTACTCACCAAAGCCGACTATTTTTCCGTGGCGAACTTGCGCCATGCTTACCTGGATGTGAGTGTGTTTGTTGCGAAGTACCCGGAGTATCGTTACGCACTCTTGGAACATCTCATCGAGTCGAAGATTGTTCATTGGGACGTCCAAATTCGTAGCCTCGCTGCCTCGGCACTAGGAAAGATCGGAGCGCTGGACCCGCCACACGCCATGACTCGCATTTTTCCTAGACTGCTGACTTCTGCTCTATCTCCTGATGCCGAGGTCATAGTTCGACACGGCGCAGTGATCAGCATCGCCGAGATGCTAATCTGCTTGGCCCAGCTACCAGTATTTATTGATGGAGAGCTGCAAAAGAAGATCAAGATGCTCCCAATTGAGGTGGATAAGCGGCGTCTGTTCCGTGGACGCGGTGGGGAGATGATCCGGACCGGTGTGTGCAATGTGATTGAAGTGATCTCGAATTCCCGATTGAGCCTGGGGTTTGCTCACGTGAAGAAGTATTTAGCAATGCTCGAAGAGTGCTTTGTCCACCCGAGTGATGGTGTCCGTGACTCAGCTATTGACGCCTTCGGTGCCTTCACAGCTCAGTACTGCCCCAGGATATTCGACAAAGGTAGCCCAGCCCATGTTAAGTACATGCAGGAAATAATCCCGCGATACATCCGCTCCGGAATCATGGTAGCTTCCAAGGAAAAGGGTGTATCGGTCCAGGCACCAAACCCAAACGTTGCTGCTCGCCGAGGATTTATCCGTGCAGTAGGAGTCGCTGCAAAAGAGCTGGTTCAGCCATGTATAAAGGAAGTTTTGGGTGCTGTCATTCGATCAGCATCGCTTGAGGTGCCTGCGACAGAGGATGAGGATCCCGGAAGCCGGGTGGCAGCAGTTCAAGCACTCGTAGACCTGAGTTCCCGACCGCCAAATGAAGTTGATCTCCACGGCATGGAAGATGCGGTTGTGCAGACGCTCGTTCGGTGTATCCATCAAGACTATCGGCTAGACGAGCGTGGAGATGTCGGCTCCTGGGTTCGCAAAGAGGCAATGCTGGGCTTGGAGAAGCTGCTGCTTGGTGAGAGCACGCACGCACAAAACCAGCACTTTCGTCTTGTTGGGGCAGTCGTGAGTACGGAGTACGGTCAAGGTGTGATTGTCGACGGATTTTCGGAGCGAAAGCGCAAGATTGAAGAAATCAGCGGTGTGTCGGATTCGGACCCGCTATGCTGCGTTAGATTCGAGAAACCGGCGCTGGGCTACTACTACTTTGGCCCCAACGGAGTCGGTCTACTTCGCGCAGAGAAGCTGTCTATGAACTCCGACGGCAATTGTGTCAGCAGGGCGGAGTTTCAAATGCCGGACATTGCCGACCGCATGCAACTTGCAGCAGAGACCAAGAGGCCCAATTCAGCATCGTCACTGCCATTTGCTCGACGGTTGTCGCCAGATCTTGTGGGCGCAGTTGTAAGCTGCGCTACTTGTGGTCACTGCGTTGCTTGAAACTAACGTGCACCTTGTCCTTGCGTTCATGTACAGTTCGGAGCGTTGGCGAAGCAATTAGCTGAGAAGCTTGACAACATGAGGATGACAGCTGGAAGTATTTTGTTCCGATTACTACACTCAGCCAGTGCCCGCGTCAACGGCATCCCGGACCGTTTCCAGCTCGAGAACCAGATATTCCCGCCTAACCTGACTGTGAACTGGTCCATGGCGCACGACACGTTTCCCCTGGTCGTGAAGATGATGGATATTCCGGAACTCATGGAAGAAGTTGCGGCGGGCCTGGTTATCAGCGTGGGAGGATTGACTGAGAGTGTCGTGAAGGCTTCCAAGAACGCTCTCTTTGAGTGGGTGCGCGCACATTTGCAGGCGAAAGACTTCGGGTTGCTGAGTCGGTTCAGCTTTTTCTTGGTGACGCTGCTGACACGACACCACCAGGACGACCGCGTTACAATTCCCCTCATGAAGACGATGGCGCTGCTGCTGGAGTCGAACCTGCTACGCTTTCTGTTTGAAGAGCGGACGGCGGAAGATGGAAGTGTTACGGCTGCAACCGACTTTGGGGAACAGTTGTACACAGCTCTACGCGACGAAATTCAGAAGTGCACGGCAGTCCCAAAGCTTAGTGCTGCGATTAGCGTGCTGATTGGTTTGCTTCCAAGTGACCCCGAGACAGAATCCAAGACTTTGCGAGCTCTGGTGCTGTTCCTTGGGCACAAATTCCCCAAGGTGCGGAAACTGACCGCGGAGAAACTTTACACGCGGCTGCTTCTTCACGATGAGATCATTGACGAGGAAAAGGTTGGTGGCTCGATACAAGTGCGCAGTTTTTTTCCTCTGCGTGCACTTATATGGTGTTGTGTCTCCAGTACGATGCCGTGGTCGAGATCTTGAGTGACACAGCATGGGACGCTTCGGTAAGATCGCAGCTTCATTGGACTCGAGACGCCCGCACCGATATCAACTGACAACGTTGTATGTTACGTTAACCCACAGATTTCCCAGGTGCGCACTGCGCGAAATGAGCTGCTAGAACGTTTAGGCATGGGCCTTCCCTCAAAGAAGACGTACGTGCAAACTTCGCGTTGTGTTGTAGTTCTCTCATTGGTTTCTGCGCAGCTAACGATCGGCGGTGCTTTGTCGCGTCCAGATCGGCGCCAACTGCAGAGACGAAGGCGACCGCGCATGGAGAGGCGAGCTACAAAACCCTCATCAAGGAAATGGGCTATTAGCGAGTTGTATTGGAGGCAATAACACTTGAAAGTAACATGTAAGTTGCAGTAAGTATCCCCAGCGATATCTTTCTAGCATAGCAAGCACTCTTAAGTCTCGAACTCGTGCCTGTCTTCGCCAATGACGGTGGTTTCGTACGTCACCTTGACCCTGCCGCCTGTGGCGCCTTCGCTCAGGTAGATGAAGACGTTCATCATGAACCACGTGAACACGGGACTCCACGTCTTCTTCTCCAACGGCTTTATGACCCCGGTTGGCTTGGTCATGGGTGTACCCCTGATGCGCTCGAACACTTGAGTCCACGAGTACTTCTCGCCTGTCGTGCCCAGGTACATGTTGAGAAGGTCTTGCTGCAGCTTGTTCACGCAGGGGCCCGAGAAGAGGAGACCCAGTTCGGTGTCGTTCGGACGCGCGCTCAGACTGCGGTCGGCCAGATTCGACGACGACCTCAGCGCGTACTTCCCGTCCACAATGAGGATGTTGGAATGCACCTTGATCAGCACACCGTCATGCTCGAGACGGCCGACTTGAAGGTGCTGCCACAACTCATCCAATGTGAGGCCGTACGCCAACGCGCAGTCCTCAAGCTGCTCGAGCGACCACTGAATGGACAGTGTGCAGTACGTGCGAGCCAGGAACGATGGTTCGTCTTTCTGAGCGGCGTTAGTCAGAATGAGCGCGTGGAATGGCTCCCCCTTGCGATGAGCTTGACTAATACGCGCCACGATCGCAGGGCAGATGCGGTTGTGCTGCAGCGAGCCGCCAGAGATCATGATTTGGCTCTCCAGCTGCACCGAGTGCTTGGCGTTCATGATCATGTTGACCATGCAGTTTTCCTCTCTCCAGCCTCCAGACACGAGCGGGAACGGGGGCGACTCCATGAACTGGTCGTAGTAGCGCTTCTTCTCGGCCGGCTCGTGGTTAGCGTGGATCCATCTCACCATATCCGACGTACAGCGGCAGATGACGCTGAGCTCGTGCCAGTAGTAGCCGAGATGGTTCTTGCGCAGCCAGCCCTCACGTTCCGTGTTCACGTCGCAGCCCGTGGCCATGATGGTCTCCTCGTCGATGCACAGGTACTTCTGGTGGTGGAACGCGTACCGCGAGTTGTTGGACAGGTATCGCGTGAACCAGCTCGGGCCGAGGTCGCTGACAGAGCAGGCGAAGTGCACTTCCGGCGGCAAGATGAGGCGAAGATCAGCGATCGAGTTGGTCCCGTAGTCGCGCACGGGGTTGTACAAGATGTGTACGTCGACGCCGCGGTTCACCGCGTCGCGCAGTAGCGACACGAACGTGTTGTCCTTGTGATCCTCATTGGTCGTGTGGAGGACCTGCGTGAAGTCACACAAGAAGGTCGAGTAGTAAATCGACTTGCGGGCGGACACCAGCAGCTCAACGATCGCCTCCTGGCACTCACGGAAGTCGCGGAACGCGCGCAGCTCGTTCGCCTTGGGGCCGTCCCCCTCGGTCGCCCACTTCATCTGCTGGAACGTGAAGTCCGTCTCGAACCGTTCCTTGTCCCTGCTCTTCTGGTCCAGCAGCTCGTCCATGGGGCGGTCGACTGCCTTCACCGCCGTCGACCTTCGGCCGTCTCCATTGCCATCGGAGTCCACCTTGACGAGCAAGACGCAGACGCCGCAGATGGTGATCATGATGCCGCCCAGGAAGTACACGAGCGCGTCGGAGCTGTAGCTGGCCATCTCGTTGTAGAAGATCATGCCACAGCCCATGTTGCCGATGATGATGAACGCCTGGTACAGCGGGATGAACTTGAGCGTGCCGAAGAACTCGAGCCCCTTGTTGAGGAAGAAGAGCTGCGGCACGAGCGCGCATGGAATGGCGAGCACCAGGAGCAGGAAGAACGGGTTCAGGAGCACGAGCCAGTCCTCGTGGCGCAGCGCCGACTTGGCCACCTCCACGACCGACTTGGTCGCGAGCGACGTGAAGCCCGCCATGACGCCCGCGCACGAGCTGAAGGCGAGCAGCCCCACGGGGTGGCGCTGCAGCTTGTCCGTGTGCACGCGGCGCAGCAGCAGCGTGGCGTACGTCAGCGCCAGCACCGTGTAGGCCAGCGGGAAAATCGAGTCTCGGGCCAGCAGGCGGGCCAGCGACTTGAGCGTGTACGACTGCTGCGGCACGTCGGCCAGCTGCGCCGCGTACACGTCGACGCCGACGCCCAGCACGATGAGCGCGCTCGAGAGCAGGTCGTAGACGCCGAAGCTCTCGCGCAGCACGAAGCGGCCCAGCAGCGCGCTGTAGATGAGCGTGAGCGCCGCGAAGGGCGCCTGCACGGCCTGGCCGAGGATGCCGAGGTTGATGACGGCCGAGACGGTGCCCACGGCCAGCAGGAAGAGCCCCGCCAGGTACGCGCTCTGCATCGTGGCCGTGCCCAGCGCCGAGTTGCGCGCCACGCGGATGTGCGCGTACTTCTGGCAGCAGTAGCCGCTGGCCGAGAGGAAGCTGCCGAGCAGCGAGTTGAGCACGCCCGCGTAGAGGCTCGAGGCGGCGTCCAGGCGCAGGTCCAGGCGCGGCCCCAGCGCCAGCAGCGCCAGCCACGACAGCGTGCAGCACACGCTCAGCAGCATGGCGAGTAGGAACCAGCGCGGCAGGCGGGAGGGCGGCGAGTGGGCAGGAGGCGAGGAGACGGTCAGGCGCACGTCAGCAGGCGGCGCCAGCAGCGGCGTGCGCTCCGAGGCGGCGGCGGGTGGAGGGGGAGGGGCGCGGCTCATTGTGGGCAGCGCGTCGCGTCAACACGCGCGGGCGGCGGAGACAAGCGCGGCTTGCTTGGAGCAGGGCTCGAAAGTGATCTTCTTGTCAAGTGTAATCAGACGATGTGACAGGCGGCCAATGGGCGCGCGCGAGTGGGAGGAGGGATGTCAAGCTGATTTGGAGGATAGAGTGGCCTGTTCACCCCCTCCTTGGCAGAAGCTAGGTGAGACCGCTGCGGTCCTCTGTCTCCGGCACGCCACCTCTGTGGGTAGTTTTACCGTTGGAGGAACCAGCGACGGACTGGGATAGCGTACGACTTATCTACGCGTTGGCTTTGCTGACGAGGATACTGCGCCGAGCGAGGATACATGGACCCCTTTTTATCTGGTCTGGGCTCGCAATTTCATTGCTATGCTGCTTAGTGACTATGTAACGGACCAATAACTGCTGAACTATTGTGCGATTTTACGTATCCTGCGTGATAAACCTTGAGTCAAAGTTTGATTTGATTAGGCAAACCAACAGAAGAGCCTTTGTACTTTTGTTTTGTAGTTGTATCCCGGTCGCAGATACTGCTCGCAGTAAACGTGTATATGCACACCACAGTCTAACAAGTATCCCCCCTTTAGCAGCCCTGCTCTTGGTGGGCCACCAAGATCAAATTTGCATTCGTCCGAAAGTGTGTCAACATTTGGCAAAGTTGAAGCAGACATGGCTACACTGATCTTGAAACGACGCGACACATCGCGCATTCTGCTCTACCTACTCCCGACCATGCCGGCCGGCCTACAGGAACAGGAAGCCCGCGCGCTGCTGGCGCTGGCGCTGCCCAGCGCTCTGTCGACGTACTGCTACTTCGCCGTCTCCATCACAGAGCTGAGCGTCTGTGGAGTAGTTTCAGACTTGAATCCACAACGGACGCAGGATCTACAACGGACGCATGGCGATCCTTGCCAGGAGTCGCCGTGCTAGCAGTCGTTCTAGAAACCAACCGGCAGGAGCTTCGCGAAGCTGCATTCAATACACTATCGCTTTTGCATTCAACAGCACAAAAAACCACAAAGTATACTTTAGTTGCGAGCAGTTCGCAATCGATAGTCAAGTAGACCAAGATGTCGTCACGCTTCAGGCTGGATAGCGACGGCGACGCGGAGATGACGGTTCCGCAGCCGGTCTACGAGTACATCGTGCCGCCAAAGCTGGTCGACTGGGACCAAGCATCGCTAGTGAAGTGGCGGAGGGCACGAGAGCGAGGAGAACGTGAGGGAGCGCTGCGAGTGGACGGGCGAAGACTACAAGGCCGTCGTCCGGAGTGTACGCAGTGCTATTCATCCTGACATGATGACGTTCCTCGCTACGTACGAGATTGGCAAGGACAAGGCGCAGATCACGGACGAGGACATCATGAGCAAGGTCAAGGAGAGGTGCGAGATCACGAATCGCGACTATCTTGCGAATCCCTCAGCGCTTTTCGCGCAACAGCTAAAGATGGACATGACGGTCAAGGATGTGCCTGACCGTGTGTCCAAGTATTTCCGGCAGTTCGAGAAAATCATTGCCGACAACGGCTTCCACGAGAATCTGGGCCGTGGCTCCCCGACAGACGATGACTATGTGGCACGGATGAAGCAGAGGACCAAGATTCTGGTCGATAACCTGTCGCCACCCATGCTGCGGGACGAGATCAAAGGGATGCTGGAGTTAGTCAAGTTTCGCCACATCCGCATTAACGATCAGTTACTGTACAAACTGGTACTCGAGCGTGCTGAGCTGCAGCAATTATTCTACAATCGTTTCCGACAAGCTGATGCTGCGCACACAACGTCTAAATCAAGTAACCGGAAGAGCGGCAAGGCTGTGTCTGTGCCGGGGAATATCGTCGTGAAACGGTGCAACAGAGCCCGAAGGGCAGCATCCAAGCAACGCTACACGCAGGAGGCAGCGACGTTGCACGGCCCCAACAAGGTAGTGGCCCTAAAGGACGACCGCCGCCGCGCACGGGATGCCTACATTGTAAGGGAGAACATTGGCTGCGGGATTGCCCGGTCGCCACACCTGATGAGAAGAAAGCTGCACGGGAGGCACAGCAGTCCAAGAATTGGAAGGTGAAGAGAGCGGTCGTTGGTAAGCAGCAGGAATGTGGGGGTGGAGCAGAAGAAGGCGCATCTCCAGCAAAAGGCAGTGATGACGAGGAGTATACAGTCCTTATTAACGGAGCTGTGGAGATATCGATGTGTCCAGACACGGGAGCAGACAAGTGCATTCTCCCGGCGGATGCAGTGAACCAGGTGCGGGCGATGGGCCGCACACTTACGACTACACGCCTACTCGAACCTGAACCAGTAGAAGGAGTCGGCGGCAATGTCACATTTTGTCATGAAGCAGCGCAGATTGACGTGCAGATCCGCACGTCTGCAGGGCCAGTGAATCTCTACAAGCTCGACTGTCTGGTGGTGGAAGGTGAAAAACAATTCCTTCTGAGCCGAAAAGTGATGAAACGACTGGGCATTGACGTGAAGCGCGCGTTCGAGCAGCTCGTAAATACCAGTATTGAGCTTAATCACGATGATTTTCCTGATGAACCTGAGGTGGGTGAAACCGTGGATGCAGAGATTAAGTTTGAGTTGGATCGGATGTGTGAGGAGGTGAAGAAGGTGCTAAGTGACTCCCAGTACAAGGACTTTCGAGATGATGTAATTATGCTCAGCAGGGAGTTCAGCAGACTGTATCGGACACGGATCGGACATGATGAGCCAGCACTGGTAGAACCCCTGGTTGTCACGCTGAAGAAGGGAGAAGAGCCTGTTCGCTGCAAGCCTCGCAGATATCCTCCTGCCCAGCTTCAATTCCTCGAAGTCCACGCCGCTCAGCTGCTTGAGTCCGGGTTGGTGCGAAAAAATAATCTCAGTAAGTGGGCGTCTAATGCAGTGCCAGCGCTGAAGCCCGGTAGTAGCGGAGACTTCAGGGTGACGAACAACTACATCAAGATCAACAACAAGACAGTGCCAATTGCGGGTACCATGCCGCACTTCTCGATTATTTTGAAGTTCGTCTCGGGCGTGAAGTTCATTGCCAAGTTCGATATGTTCAAGGGATTCTGGCAGATCATGCTCGCGGAGGAGTGCCAGGAGATGTTCAGCTTTATGACACATGATGGTGTCTACACGCCACTACGTGTCCCGCGAGGAGCGACAGATTCCGCCTTACATTTCCAGAATCAGATGCAGACAGTATATAAGCCACTGCTGTACAAAGGAGCTCTCATCTGGATTGATGACATTATTGTCTACGGCCGGACGGAGGAAGAGTTTCTGGCGAACCTGAGACTTTTCTACGAGTTGACGGCCAAGCATCGCCTGAAATTGAACGCGAAGAAGAGTGTGCTGATGGCGTTTGAGGTGTCATGGTGCGGCCGGATCATCGATGGCCAAGGCATCCGGCAGGACCCGGAGCGACTGTCGGCTCTAGTGTCGTTGCCATTGCCTCAAACGACAGCTGACCTCCAGCGTTTTCTGTGTGCGTGCAACTGGATTCGAGACAGCGTGATTGACTTTGCACGAGTCTTCGAGCCGATGCAGTCGAAGCTCAATGGAGCGCTGGTGAGCCGCAGCAGAAACAAGCACTCAGCAAGAGCAGCAGCCCTCACTTGGTCTGATGATGAACGAGGTGCATACTCGCAAGCGCTCCAGAGTATTGCAAACTCGGCCGAACTCTATTTTCCCGAAGATAAGACAACAATTTGTCTGCTGACTGACGCCAGTGACTACGGGTGGTCAATTATCCTGACCCAGGTTCGAGATTGGAGAGATGGAGTTCCAGTTGAAGAACAAGCCCATGAACTTTTGATTTGCCAAGGTGGTGTCTTTAGAGGCGCACAAGTGCACTGGTCAGTCGTCGAGAAGGAAGCCTACCCCGTGGTTCGAGCGTGTATCTCATTGGATTGCATCCTGGAGAGAGAAGGGGTTCAAAGCTTTCTGTGACCATTCTAATTTGATTCAGATTTTCTCGCCTTCAGAAGACGTCAAGAAGCACACCCGGGGCAAGTTACTCCGGTGGGCGCTGCGCATTTCGTGTTTGCGATACACGATTGAGCATATCGACGGCGAACGGAACCTGTGGGCGGATATAGTATCGCGGTGGACACCGCAGGGACAGCCACCACAGCGAGGAATCGTTCAGGTGAAGGCAGCACGGGTGGGTAATGGGACGACACTTTCGAGGCTGCGACCACTGCAGGACGAGCAGTTCGAGTGGCCAACATTGGAGTCGATCAAGAAGTCGCAGACCGCCGCAGATAATCCAGGTCCAGGATTTGAGCAGGACGGGAATGCTATTTGGACTGCAGGCGGTAAAATATGGCTGCCATCCAGTGATGAGGGTCTCGTTACGCGTGTGATGATTATTGCTCACTGTGGCGTACGAGCACACCGCGGAGCGGACGCTATGCTACAATTACTCAGCGATGAGTTCGTGATAGCAGACCTCCGGAACCGTGTCGAACGATTTGTGGCTGACTGAGTGTTGTGCAAGCATGTCAAGGGCGGGATGCTAATTCAGCGTCCGTGGAATAGCACACACACGGCGACTCGGCGGAACGAATTGCTGCATATGGACTTCCTGTCCATGGGGGACAGCTACGGCGAGTCACAGTACTTGCTTGTCCTAAAGGATGATCTGTCCCATTACTGTGAGCTCGTGGCATGTCAGAGTGACGACGGGCTAGTAGCCGCCACGGCAGTACTCGACTGGTACAAACGATTCGGATTGCCAGAGACGTGGATGTCGGATAACGGATCGCACTTCCGCAACACTCTCATGGGCGATCTCAAGAGCAGGCTAGGGGCTGAGCAGCGATTTGTTCCTGTTTATTCGCCCTGGCTTAACGGCACAGTGGAGCGCTTGAATCGGGATATACTTCAGGTCGTTCGTGTACTCCTGCTCGAATTTCAACTCGACTCACGAAACTGGGAATATTTACTACCGGTCGTGCAATCCAACTTGAACCAGACACCAGTCCGTTCCTTAATGGGGAAGTCCCCGTTGGAAGTTTTCACCGGGCTGGACCGTGAGCCCATCGTGAGCGTAGTCCTGAAGCCAAGAGCGGGTTCGACAGCGCATGAAGTAGCGCAAGGGGACCTACATCAATACGAGGATCAGCTAGACTCACTGCGCAACAGTCTACGCGAACTCCATGCAGAAGTAGTTGACGCGAAGGAGCAGCGCCGACTACGACAACAAGCAGCGAAGAAGGGCCGGGAATGTGCATTTTCAGTCGGCGACTTTGTGTTGTGGTCGAGGGCAGACCACGGATGTCGGGGAAGAAGCTGATGGTCCGGTGGGTCGGACCGTTCCGGATTGTCCAAGAGCTCCCTACCAGCTACATGATAGAGCACCTGCTAACTGGTGAGCAGTTTGACGTTCATGCCATCAGACCAAAGCACTACGCGGACGGAACGCTCGATGTCACCGAAGAGCTCAAGCACCATGTCGCTCTCCAAGGGATAAAGCTGGGCGTCCGAGCAGTACGAGATGGGCGGTACAACCGCCAGGCAAAGGAATGGCAGTTGCTCGTGAGCTGGCAAGGACTGGAGGACACGGAGGACTCATGGGAAGAGTTCGGTGGTATCTTCAATGCAGTACCAGAAATCGTCGATCGGTACGTCGACACTTGCTCGGACACCAAGCTCAAGAAATACCGCAAGACGTTGCAAGACGGCAACAGAGCATAATCAAGTCTTCGGGAGCTGTGTGGAGTAGTTTCAGACTTGAATCCACAACGGACGCAGGATCTACAACGGACGCATGGCGATCCTTGCCAGGAGTCGCCGTGCTAGCAGTCGTTCTAGAAACCAACCGGCAGGAGCTTCGCGAAGCTGCATTCAATACACTATCGCTTTTGCATTCAACAGCACAAAAGACCACAGCGTCATGGGCCACCTGGGCGTGGACGAGCTCGCGGCCGTCGCGTACGCGCAACTGTGCCTGGACCTGTCGACGCTCGTCTTCATGCAGGGCTTCAACGGCGGCATGAACTCGCTCTGCTCGCAGGCCTTCGGCGCCAAGAACTACCACTTAGTGGGCGAGTACACGCTGCTCACGTGTCTGCTGGTCACGGTGGTCTGCGCACCGATGGCGCTGCTCTGGTGGAACCTGGACACTTTGCTGCTGACCGCGGGGGTCGCAGAGCACGTGGCGTCTCTCGCAGGCCAGTACGGGCGGCTGTCGCTGCTGTGGCTGTGGCCTCGCAGCATGTTCCAGGTGCTCGCGAGTTTCTTCCAGGCGCAGAACATCGTCCTCCCAACCGCCGTGTTTGATGTGCTCATGGTCGCGTTCAACGGATACTTCGCGGCCGGGCTCACTTACGGTCGGTTCGGACTACCCGAGCTTGGGTTTGCGGGTTGTCCGCTGGGCACAGCGGTGGCGGTGGCTTTGCGACTGGTTAGCTATGTCGCCTACATGAACTGGTACCGCAAGTATCACCGACGATGCTCCTGGCGCTGGGACAGCAGCTTCCTCGACAAGGAAATCGTGTGGAACTTGGTGTCCGTGGGGATGCCACTTGCAGTTAGGGAGCTGTTGGAGAACGCTCAACTGACGGTGCTGACGCTGTTTGCCGCGAAGATCGGTGAAATTCAACTCGGAACGCACAACGCCATGATGGAGCTGTTCTACTTCGCCACAAGCCCCCTCTACGCTGTCATCAATGCCTCGGTCACTCGCATCGGGAACCACCTTGGGGCTGGTGAGCCTTCGCGGGCGATTCTTGCCGCCCAAATATGTGGGTCTGCATTGCCACGCTCACCGCGTTGAACAGCGTGGTCATCGTCAGTTCTCGCAAACACCTTGGTCGGATTTTCTCCGACAGTCCTGAGGTTATCGATACTTTCAGCCAAGTGTGTGGCCTTGCGGCGTTGGCGTATTTCATTCTGTCGTTCTTCTGCTACGCGCTGGTAAGTGACGCTTTGCTTTTGTTTCCTTGAGCAGATCAAGACCACGAGTGTTATGAGTATTACACTAATTCAAATGTTGTATGTAGGCCGTTCTGCAGGCTCAGGCGCGACCGATGCCGCTGGCAGTTGGCATGGTTGCTGGTGCCTGGCTGGTTGGGATCCCCTCGGCCTACTTCTTGGGTGTCCGCACGTCTCACCCCAGTCTCCTGGGGCTTTGGGAGGGCATGATATGCGGATACACGGTGACTTCGATCGCTAGCTTCATCCCGGCGTTCGGGCGACCGAATTGGTAGAAAGAGGCAGAGAAAGCGGTCGAGCGCTCGCAGTTGAAGGAGAAGGAACTCGCCTCTCCTCAAGAATTGGATCGCCTGCTAGCATAGATTTAGATATGCGCGATATTGAGCACTAGTACATAGCATTCTACATGGACATTCGAGCAATCGTCCTGTGCATTCTACGCATCTGGACTCGTGATGACCTTGAGGCTGTCTTGCAGTTTGGCGGTGTAGCGGTTGAGAGCCTCCACGATCTCGTCGTCTTCGCGCTCGCGAGCCTGTCGTGGAAATACAAAGTCTGGGTTTAGTTTAGCTGAGGCAATGCAGACAACAAGTAGAGCTGAATTTGTACCTGCGCTTCAGCCACCAGAGCGTTCTGTATCTTGGCGATCTCCTCCTGTGCGAACGCGTGAAAGCGTTCATCCCCGCGTATCTGAGTCGAGCTGTACGTGTCCAGCGCGTTCTTCAGGGTCGAGTACTTTAGCTCGCGGTCATGCTGCAATCCATGCACCAACAACAGAAGATACGCTAAGCCGCATAGCACAAAGTAAACAATGTCTACAGCTCCCTCCGTATCGTACCCGCTCCCGCTCGAAGGTTTCCGCCGTGTGGTGCTCATGGTCACTCAGGCGCTTGAGAATCATCGCCTCCTGGTTCGTTCGTCGCTGTCTCTCCTCCTCGAACGCGTCCATGAAGGCGACGAGCTTCTGCGTCAGCTCGTTCGTTTTGTTCTCGATCATGAGCGGGATGTCGCGCTTCTCCTTGGCCACGAGCGCCTGCAGGTCGTTGATCTCCTGCGTCAGGCGGTCGAGTCGGTCATCCACCTGCTTGGCGCGGTCGCTCAGCAGCGCCTCGAAGGCCTCCGTCATGTGCGCCACCTGCTCGTCGCAGTAGTTCTGCAGCGACTTGTTCATCTCGATGCGCTTCTTGATCTCCGCCTCCAGTTTGTGCTCCAGCCGCCCCATTTCCTGCCGCATCTCGGCCAACCGATACTCGTCCTTCTCGCGGCGTTGCTGTATCACACCCGGCAGTCGTCAGTCAACAACACACAGCTGCATGCATAGCAAGAGTCCTATATCTTACCCGCGTCCCGATGCGCATGACGTCGTCGAAAGTGGTGAAGCCGCTCATGAGCTTCTCCAACTTGCTGCGCGTCGCCGTCATCCCGATTTGCGCCGCTGCGAGCGCATCTTCTTCGCGCAGCTCTTTGGCATCGCTCGCGGGCTGGACGCCGTCCTCCGATGCCTCGCGCTGGTTCATATCTTCTGGAGATTCCTAGAGGCGAACTGCAACTGATAGCGACGCTTCATGATACGAGCGTGAATGGTCAGGCTCACGGTTAGCTTTTCTCTAAACCGTAGGCGTGCATTTGATGCTGCAGTAGTGATGGAGGTGCATTATCCTTTACTTTTAAACGCTTGTAGCACAGCTTGCCTTGTAGTGGCGGCGATAGACCTCAGGGAAGCATCAGTTGGTGGGCTCTGATCATTCAGTGCCAAGTGACCTACTACGTCTGCGCTTCACGTGAGGTGATTCACACTAAGCTTTCATCGATTCATGTCGGTATTAAAATGAACCGTAGCAAGATTGAGGCATGAAACAAAACTAAAGTTTCATTCCTTGTGAGTGTCCGTTTGGGATTGTGCAAAACGCAAACCAATGCAATCTGCTTCATGTATGAACGATGTTCCTCGCCCACATCGCTACAATATCATTCAATCAGTCTTCATACAGGTAGTTAGTTCAAACAACTGCCTACGAAACGTACAATAGTTGGGATTCCCAACGATACTATGCCTTTGGAGATAAGATGCAAACCTGAACAATGGGGTGGCCTCGTACGAGCAACACGAGGAAACAATCGCATGTTACGATCCAGGTCATTCATTGGCTTGAGGCACGCAGACACTGCTGCTCAGTACTAGCGGTTTCTCTGGTCGACGCGTGCCTTTAACCGTCATAGCCATACAACAACGCATGTGTGTTATATGTCGTCCAGTCCAGACCGCCGGGAGCGCGTGCCATGCCATGCTGAGCAGGTATTTTGGACGATTTAACGGCGACGTTGTGCTCCGTTCGGTATCCCTGGTTCACCCTCGTCGCATAGCTGTAGTGACCCGCCTGTACTATCAACGTCCAGGGTCCAGTAGCGCCAAGTCAACAATGGTTGCGTGTGTCGTCCTTCCTCCGATTCATTTCCCGATTCCCCCGCAAGTCCCCAGCTCCAGCAACTCTCACCGACCAACCTTCAGCCCACCATGACGGCAGGCAGCGCCATGGCCTCGCCTGATCCGGATGCAGCATTCACGAATATCAAGACCATCGCGGACCAGGGTCAAGACAGGAGCTCTGCTCGTCAAACGTTCGGACCCTCGGCTTGGGCTGACAAGTTGGCTCCACTCGGAAACGTCTCCCAGGTCGTGATCCTGGCGTCGATCTTCTTGTACACGTACGGGCAGCTCTTCCACTTTTCGGACTCGTACACCACCAAAGTGAGCGTGACCATCGGCTCCTGGTATGGCGTGCCCGCGGTCAAACCGAAGGGCGCTCCGGTTGGCCACTCGGAAATGGTTCGGCCCACGTACTTCTTCTTCTTGTGCTTCATCCCGCTGGCCGCGTCGATCCTCCTTATCGAGTTCCTTCGCCACTTCAACGTCCGCCGGATCACATCGCGCTATGTGCTCGCCTTAACCAGATTTCTCCGTGTCAAGCCGCGCGTGATGGGGCGCGTGGTCCAGACCAGCATCGGAGAGCTGCTCATCCTCGCGTTCCTTATCGGGGGCAACATCTACGTGTTTCAGTACTTCTATCGAGCGCGCGTGACCCGCATGAAGCAGAAGAATCCAGAGCTCGACTTCGTCGGGTACCTGGAGATCGTCGCGCTCACCTTCGGCTTCGTCTGCATCTACAACATGGCGTTCCTCTTCCTCCCCGCCACGCGCAACTGCATGTGGATGGAGTTCCTCAATATCTCGTACGCCAACGGCATCAAGTATCACCGCTGGCTCGGGGTTATCACTGTGCTGACGGCCTTCCTGCACTGCACCGGGTTCTACTGGGCCTGGATCAAGGAGGGCACGTGGGTCGAGGAGGCACTTCCGTGCTTCAGGAACTGCGCGGTTGGAGACGACGGCAAGGATCGGTGGATGAACACGTTTGGTACCATCGCTCTGCTGTGCTTCCTGGCCATCAGCTTCACCTCCATCCCGTGGGTGCGCCGCAAGATGTACAACACGTTCTACTCGGTGCACCACCTCTTCATCCTCGCGACTGTGTTCGTTGTACTCCACTGGAACAACACGCTCGCCTGGCTGTTCCCGTCCGTCATGCTCTACACGTTCTGCCGCGTGCTCTCCAGCGCCAATGGCTTCACGCCTGTGACTGTGCGCGAATTCACGACGCTCTCGCATGACGTCGTCAAGGTTGTGCTCGCCCGTTCCTCCACGATAGCCGGAGACTACAAGGTCGGGCACTTCGTGTACCTGAACGTGCCCGCAATCTCCAAACTCCAATGGCACGCCTTCACTATCAGCTCGTCGCCGCGCACCAGTCCCGACACGATAACCATTCTACTCAAGTCGCTCGGTGACTGGACACAGGAGCTCGTCGCGTACTCGGAGGACTGCAAAACCAAGGACGTACTTCCGGTCGTGTACATGGACGGCTTCTACGGCGCGTCGCTGGAACTGTACGACGAGTATCCGACGCTGTGCCTCGTTGGCGGCGGGATTGGAGTCACTCCGCTGATTGCCATCCTGGAAGACGTGGTGTTCAAGCTGCGGCAGGGCGCGCCACTGCGTCAGAAGACCTTCTTCATCTTCACATTCCGTGAGCTGTCGCTGCTGGAGGAGATCCACCCGCTGCTGATGCAGATCAAGCAGCTCGACCTGCAGCAGAGCCACTTCACGCTGTACTTCAGTCTCACACGCGCACCAACCGACGACCAGCTCGCCGTTCCGATCGATCACAACCGACTCACTGGGAAGCCGCACGTGTCGGCAACGAGATATGACACCACCATTACGTCCACAGCAGCTCAGCCGTTCGCCCAACCGCTCACCCGTTATCGCGCCAGTAAGGCGGTCGTGTACACGCTGTCGTTCTTCCTGACGCTGGTGATCTGGATCGCGGTCAAGTACGGGACCAAGGTACAGGTGGACGACAAGAACCTCTGGCCACTGCAGAATTTCGTGGAGATTGTGGTGGTGATTCTTGTCGTCATGCTGGTGGTCTACGCCTTCACCTTTGCGGAAGCCAAGACGAACAAGGAGACTGTGGACGCATTCGGGCAGTCGGTCACACCGGGAGGTGTCCAGCCATACGCCAGCGACGTGCACACATTCCGCGACCTCATCTCGGAGTACCAGGTGGACGTCGGCCATCGCCCAAGTATGGACGAGCTCATGCGGAAAGTGTACGACTCGCACAAGCAATTCGTGGCCACGCACCCGGAAGTTGTTTCCAATGGGAACTCGACTGTGGGGGTCTTTGTGTCGGGATCGGAAGCATTGAAACGATCCACTGAGAACGCCATCACGGCTATTGGCATGTGCCACTTTGACGTCCACGAGGAAGAGTTCGATCTCTGAGTCGCTCGCTTCCTGCCGCGGCCTCCTTCACCAAACTTTGCACATTTCATAGACCACTAAATAAAAGGATTCTCGCATCATACTCAGCAGGTTCCGTCCTGTCCGTCGAACAGACTCCAAATACTTCTGTGACGAGTCTGTAAATGACGATGGTCGTTACGACTCTTCACCAAGCCAACAGAGCGCAAGACGGTTGCTTCACCTTACCTTTGAAGCCGCCGGTCATGGCTCACTCGCGCTCTTCCTTCTTCAGCGGAAGCAATGGATCTAGCGAGCGCCTTGTCGTAAGTCTCCCTCCGCGTCCATATTCGCTTAGCATCATCCACACTTTACCTTTGCTTGGCTCATCGGTCCCCAGGTGCCAGCTGCAATTCGTCTGCAACGAGCCATGGAAGCTCACGCTGCTCTTCAGTCCGGAACTTCTCAACATCCGACGGGCGACTCGGACGCGCCAACCTCCAGACAGGCAAGTGATGAAGCTGACCCAGGCCCTGATCTCGCCAGTTCGCCGTCAGCATCCGTCGAGGACCTCGCCATACAGCTCAGAACCCTGTGGCAACGTGAGAAAGACCAGGAGCAGACCGGTAGTGTGGACGAAGGATCCTCGCCTACCGTAAGAGCGGCGCTGGAGAAAATCGGGTCGCGTGAGAAAGATGAACTGCTGCTCCATCTGCTGGAACAGCAAGACGCTCTGCGCACGCAGCGCTCAGAGGTGGCAGCACTCGGAGAGAAAATCGCCGCGCAGCTTCTTCATCAGCAGGTGAGCCTTGGGTTCCCGTCGTCGCTTTTTACACTGGCCTGCAGTTCTCTCACGAATATTGTCAGCACGAGCTTCGTCAGAAGTATCGCGAGCAGATCAACGCGCTGGAGGAGCAGCTCCACGAAGCCACCCACTTCAACCCGACAGTGGCCGCCCTCCAAGCGAAGGTCGAGGAGCTGGAGCAGAGCAACCGCGAGCACGAGCAGAAGCTTCGCTTTGCGGTGCGTCACTTGGAAGTCCTGGCGTGGGAGACGAGTCACTCACTCACTCATCGGATATGACACAGGTCCAGAAGTTGCAGCGCAGCCGGAAGCGAGAGAAGGAGCTCAAAATGATGAACGATCCATTGTGGGATTGACACCTCGACCCTACAGAGTACAACGAACTCAATTCACAGACGGCTAAGAGCACGGCAAGCTTACCTACTAGACCTTTCAGCAAAGCCCCACGGCTTGTTTTAAGAAGCCACGTGGGAGTCCGCGCAGGCGAGAGGCGGCTTGTAGCAGTCAGGAATGTACTTGAGCTGGAACGAGTTGAATGCGAACTTGGTTTTGCCGGTATTTGCCAACACGTTGACCCGCCGCACGCCGCGTTCCCTCATGGCGTTGCAAAGGTGCACCCCCTGCCTCACGTGGAAGTGGTCCACCAGCAGCCGCGAAGTCTCCAGCGTCACGGACATCGCCGTGCGGTCCTTGCCGCTCTTGCAGCACGTCGTGCGTCCTGCCCCTAGACGCCGACAGATATCACTGGACGTGATGAGGATATTCACGAACTTCTTCTGCACATTCTCCGTGCGAATGTTGAGTCGGCCCGTCAGCGCTTCAATTTCTGACTGTAGCTCAGCCAGCTCCGCTAGATCTGCTCCCCGCTTCTTGTCATCAACTGCGCCAGCCATCACTTGGGTCTGGTACACTCGGAAATACCGCTGCAACATCTGCACACTCTCGAAGTTGAGCTCATCCTGCAGACTGGAGTTCAGGTAGTGATTAGCCACTGACTGCATCTCATTGATGCCCTGGGTGAACATAACTCCGTGCAGTTTAATCGCGTGGCCTTGCTGGAGCACTTCCGGCAGTTTCGCAAACACGTCAGGCGGGACAGCGAACGCAACCACGACGTGGTCGCCGGTTGGGGTGCTTGTGACACTAACGCACTTCGACATTTCCATGCGCGGGTTGGTCTCTCCAGACTGGACAAGCTGGAAGCTGACAACACTGTTGAGCCACCGCACGCCCTCGGACATATCCTCAAGCATTCCCTTCTCGGCACCAACCGTGCTCAGCAACGACTCGATACTCAGCAAAAAGCCCGTCGAGCAGGACAACTGCAGGCGCTGGCGGTGCAGACCACCGCGAGTTGCAGCCAGACCTACGGCATTCAGGAATGAAGCACCCGCAATAGCCAGCACCTGCGAGCGCACAATGTCTTCTCTCATTTCAATGCGTTCGCGCAGACGAGGGTCCGGTGGGCTTTGAGACACCAACTGCTGCTGAAGGCGACGCAAGCCACCCTCCTTGAACCCCATAATGTGAGCGGCAGCACAGCCGTGGGTCACCACTGAGTACACGTACTCGGATGCGGCGGACGTCTCGCTATCGCTATCATCAGATGTAGAGTCTTCGTCCAACGATGTGGAGGCTAAACTGCCTCGTCGAGCCTGCTCGCTTCTCTCAGCATCGTCTGCCAGATGCACCCGCCTTCCACGCACTAGGTGACAGTTAAGATTGGTTGCCATGAAGGCTGTGGCCTTGTCCTTCTTCATATTGCTCCGTTTCAGGCATCCAGTGATGCCCTGCTCTCGTCCATCTTCAAGCGAGGCCAGCATCGTCTCATATCGCTTGAGGTTCTCTTGATAGGACGCATGGAGCCGCATGTAGTGAGCCATCTCAAGTTCCACGTCCCGCATCCGATCCTCCACATCTTGCACGCGAGCGCTGGAAGAAGCATTCGCGCCCGAGTTGGCCTGAATATGTTGCCGCATGTCATGGATCACCTGCTTCGCTTCGTCGATGCGGGTGACGTTACGACGCTGGAGATACTTGAGAAAAGCGACAGTCATCGAGACTGACACGTACGATGCCGACAACTCCTCGGAAACCAGAATGTGGTTGGGCGTGGACGAGTCCACCTGACCGCGAAGCATCTCACTGTAGCTTAAACCGCCCCTCAAGCTGATAGCAGAGCTAGCCAGGTCCCCTGACTTGCGCTTCTCCATCTGCTGGGTGTCCACCAAGAAGTGGTGCTTCGCATACGTGTACGCGTGGCTCACGTTGATGCTGTGGCTGGGCGGGACAAATCGGTCCAGGATGAGATAGTAAAGCTGTTGCTTGGCTGAGTCCTTCTGGTGACACTCCAGCAGCATGGACGATTCACGCGAAAACAACACGTCCAGCGCTGAAACCCGCACGAATCCAAGCGATTTCTGGTGCTCAAGAGACTCGGAGGAAGGATTTACCACAGAGTACACCTCAAACTGCAGCATCGAGCGCGCAGCACGAGGAACGGACAGCAAGGCGTTGAAGTCTCGAGCGTAGTAATCGCCGCCGCATGACCGGAGTGAAAGTGAGCTCCGCATCTCCGTCCGTGATATTTCCTCCGGTCGCTGTCCCTGACCGATATTGAACAGAACCACTAGCATCTGCGGCACATCTTGCACCGCCTTGCAGCCCACCGACACAGCCAGCTCCACGCTCGGGCGAGGTTTGAATCCGGGCAAACTCAAGCTTGGAGCGCGCGCAGAGTTGGACGTCCCTTGAGCCGCGTGCAGGTTGCTTGCCGAGCGGGACGGCGAGTGCATCATCATCGCAATTCCGTTGTCGTCGTACGCACGAACCGCGCCGGAAATCGACGACGCCTGCGTCAGAATGGATCCAGCACTGACTGAGCGAACGAGCCGAGGTTTCCCCTTCGCCCCGTCCAGGGGCGCAGACACCACGCTGGTGAGCCGCGAGTTCCGGAGTAACCTGTACTCCTGTTCCTGCTGCTGCTTCTGTTTCTGCTTCTGTTTCTCCTCGTTTTCTCGGATGGACCTGGAGTCGTTGGCGGCCTGCTGGATCACCGTCGAGTCTGTTGAGAAGCGCTTCATGGCGTTCATGCCGCTCGCAATGTGCGGACTCTCCATGCGCGAGAAGCTGGCGCGGTCCATGCTGAGGTCGTCCAGCATGGGCGAGCTCTCCGAGGTGCGCGCCTGCAGCTGCGTGCGGAAGGATCCGCCTTCCGACCGGCGATTGAACGACCCGTTCATCGTGGCGCGAGTCGACGACCTGGCGCGCTGCGAGATGCAGCCGTTGATGCACGAGATCCAGGCGTCCATGCTCTCCTTGCCCTGCTCGGCGACGAGCGTGAGCTTGCGGCCCTCCGTCTCGATGGTGAACCTGTGCGGGAAGTCGTCCTTGGGCGTGGGCTGCACGCGCGTGTTCTCGTCGATAGTGACCTCTCCGAGCTTGGCCAGCTCCTCCGCCGACGTGTAGTAGCAGAGCACGGGGCGGTCCCGCCGCAGGATGAAGAAGCGGCGGCGCCACGACTTCCAGAAGGAGCCCTGCTTGACCAGGTAGCCGCTCGTGATGATGTCGGCGTCCGAGAACTGCTCCACGTCGTTGCCGCTCATGTGCACCGTCTTCTTCTGGTACGCGCGCTTGCGCAGCCTGGCCATGGCCTTGCTGCCGTCGTGCGCGTGGTAGAACTGGTCCTCGAAGCGGCCGCTCTCCGACACCTTGAGCTTGGGCTTGGCGTGCTGCGCCACGCCCGTGAGGTGCGACAGGTCCGTCAGGTGCAGCTTGGCCATGGCGTCGTCCTCCACCACGGCCGGGATCGTGGGCGCCGCGTCCTTGACGGGCTCGCGCTGCTGCTGCTTCTTCTTGGCGCTCTTGCTGCTGCTGCTGCTTCCGCCGGTCGCGGGCGGCTCGGCCACGGGCTGCGCGGGCGAGCGCGCGGCCGGCGCGGACTGCGGCGGCTCCGGGACGTCGACTGCTGCGGCTGCAGCTGGAGGCACCTGAATCGGCGGCGGCTCGACGGCCTTGCTCTTGTTCTTGCTCTTCTGCTGCGCGACGGCCTCGGCCAGCGTCAGCGTCTTGGCGCCGCCCGCCGGCGCCCTCACTGGAGACGACGCGCTCCTGGCGCGCGGCGACGGCTTGGGCGCAGGCTGCTGCATCTCACTACCTTCGGGCTCGACTAGAGTTCTGACACAGCCGGCGGTATAGTGAGACCAAGTGACGGACGACGTCGGTAGAGTGGATTTTGGTGTACCCACCCGGTCTCTGGCCGGCACCTGTGAATACCGAAATTGTCGGTATCGGAGTCCGAGTCGACATGGCAGCGGCGCACTCGCACGTCAATGTCGCGACCTCCGCGGGCGACGCCGCCGCGTACATGGCGCTCGTGGACCGCAGCAACGAGGCCACCAAGCTGGTGAGGGCCAACAAGCTGCGCGAGGCCGAGGCGCTGCTGCGCGACGTGCTGCGCCGCAAGCCCGCGGCGGGCTTCGACGCGCTGTCCGTGGCGCTCACGCAGCACGAGCTGGGCGGCGTCCTGCGGCAGCTGGGGCAGCTGGACGAGGCGCTGGAGCTGCTCTCGGCCGCGCTGGAGGTGCGCGACCGCGCGGACGAGGCGGCGGGCATCCGCATCGAGCTGCGGGACGGCAACCTCACGCGGGACGAGATCGGCAAGGTGTACGAGGCCAAGGGCGACTGCGAGCGCGCCAAGGAGGTGCGCCAAGTGGGCAAGCGCATCTGCGCCAACGAGGCGTGCGAGGCGCTCGACTACGAGAAGGTGCAGGCCTGCACGCGCTGCCGATGCGTCTACTACTGCGGCAAGACATGCCAAAAAGCAGACTGGAAGAGCCGCCACAGCGCGCTCTGTCGGCCGGCCAAGAAGGCGTAGGACGGCACAAGGCGATGGAGACTTTAACGTTATTTCGCAGGGGCGGAGGACGCAGGGAGAAGCAAGAATTGGTACGCTAACAAGCAGCAAGGCAAGGACGGCATGGTGATGATCTATAAACGATTCTTGTTTAGCAAAAAAAATAAAAGCAGATCGTGGTCAAGAAGGCGCTCGGAAGGCGTTCCTGATCACTTCTGCTTGTCCTCCTCTTCCTCCTCGTCCTTCCTCTCCTCGTCTTCTTCGTTGTCGTCGCCCTCCTCGACCTCTTCGCCCTCGTCCAGCTCCACCTGCTCGTCCTCGGCGGCCTCGGCCTCGTTGAGCGGGGCGTCGTCGCCCTTCTGCTCCAGAGCCGCGAGCTCCTCCGCGCGCATGGGTGGCGCGATGAACCACGGCAGCTTGCCGCGCTGGTAGTCGTTGATCATCTGCACGGCCACGTTGTTGTAGTCGGGCTCGCCCTTCTGCAGCAGCTTGCCGCACTTGTTAGCGAGCTTCTCGAGGAAATCCCATTCGTCGTTCCACTCCTCGATGCCGTACACCTTGACGATGAACTCCTTCTTCACACGCTGCAGGATGGTCAGGATGAAGTCCGTCGGCTGCGGCAGACGCTCGGCGCGGACGACGCCCTTGAGCACCGTCTCGACCTCGTCGTCGCCCGTGTCGTACACGATACCGGGGCAGTCGATGAGGAAGATGCGGCGCATGAGCGTAATGTACTGCCACACCTTGGTCTCACCCGGAATGGGGGCCACCTTGCACACCTTCTTCTTGCGCAGCGCGTTGATGACCGAACTCTTGCCCACGTTCGGGTAGCCGATGAGTCCCACCGAGATCTGCTTTTTTTCCTGGTGCAGCTTGGCGAACTGGCGCAGCAGGTTGATGAGCGCGCCCTTGCCGAATGGGTTGCTCATGGACGCGTGGAAGGCCAGCGTCGGGGTCGTCTCGCTCAGCTTCTGCACCCAGCGCTTGGTGACCCAGTTGGGCACCAGGTCGCACTTGTTGATGACGAAGATCAGGTGCTTGTGCGACGCGTTCTTGCGGATGTGCTTCTCCACGTGCTCGCAGCGCGTGCCGGGCACGTTGCGCGCGTCCAGCACCTGGATGACGACGTCCGAGCAGTCCAGCACCTTGTAGAGCTCGCCCCAGATACGCTTGGACTGGCCCTTGTTGAACACGTCGTGCGAGACCTCCTCCTTGAACTCCTGCTCCACGGCGATATTGCGGTCCGGACCCTTGGCCTCGTACTTCTCCGTGTTCTCCTGCGCCCTCGAGAGCAGCGACGCGTAGTCCGTGGCCGCGATCTTGGCGCGCTTGCGGCTGCGCTTGCCGTTGAAGACCTCGTCGTAGCTCTCGGTCTCCAGCAGCTTCATGCGCGTGGCCTTCTCCGACTCTTGCAGCAGGCCCATGGGCAGCTTGCGGGTGCGCAGCACCACCGAGTACGGGTCGGCGGCCTTGAGCGACATCTCGTTGCGGAACTTGTCGAGCTCCTTCTGGCCCACGACGCGCGTGTTGCCGAACCAGCGGCGGTCGGGCTGCACGCGGCCGCTGGCGCTCGTGATCTCCTGGCCGCCGACCTTGTTCTTCATCATGAGGCTGCCGCCCACGACCTTGCCGGCCTTGTTGCGGATCGGGCCGCTGTTGCGGTACATGTTGAGGCGCTTGATGGTGCTCTTGTCGCGCATGTTGGCGGCCTTCTGCCGCTTGGGGACCTTGCGGTTCGGGTTGTCGGCCGACGCCTTCGTCGTGTTGATGCCCTTCGCCATGGTGTCCTGTCCTAGGCTGTCACTAAGCTACTGTACGTGCGGGGACCCGTCGGGCTGCTGCGGCGAGGGGGACGGCGACGACCTCCCGGGGCAAAATGACACAGCACACAGTATGGAGCTCTTCGCAGACCGGCCGAACGGTTGGCTGGACGAAGTGGTACCGTATTTATGGTACGCTGTACCAGTCGTGACACGGCCGCGTCATGTGACGTTTCGTAGTTCTTAATATTATAGCGTGTGCTGAATTGTATCCACAACATCCTTGCTAACTAAAGTTTAGGTTACTACATAAATGATCACGTCCTTGCTATCCTAGCCTTATGTGCGACCAGACTCAGACTGCATCTCATTCTTCGTCCCGGCAGGCAGGCGAGCATGGCGACGATGGCGCTGGCGGCGCAGCAGCAGCAGGAGCGCGCGGAGATGGCGTCGTACCTGTTCGAGAAGCACCTGACGCACCAGGACGGCGTGGCTGGCACGCTGAGCATCCGCCTGGTGGCCGCGCGCAACCTGCGGGCCGCCGCCTCCATGTTCTGGGTGCGCACGTGCAACCCGTACGTGATCTTCCGCGTGGGCAGGCAGAGCGTGCGCAGCTCCACCATCCCGAGCAACGACAACCCCACGTGGCGCCGCGAGTTCCTCGAGGTCAGGCTGCCCAAGCTCGACCTAAAGCGCCAGCCGCTGGCCGAGCACTCGGACGTGCGCCTCGAGCTCATCGTGGACGCCATGAACGAAGACTCGCTCACGGGCAAGGCCACGGAGGCCGTGGGCATGGCCAACGGCTCAGTCATCGGTACGGCTGTCGTGGATCTTACGCCGCTGATCGAGGGCAAGGAGGACGTCCTGGACCAGTGGATCCCGCTCAGCGGCGCGCTGCCCATGGCCGGCGCCGGCGGTGGCGCCCCCGCGGGCAAGAAGCAGCAGCAGCCAGAAGCAGACTTGAGCTTGGGAGAGGTGCGCGTCGTACTGCAGTACGAGCCGCACGGCATGGAGCCGCGTGTGGGCGACGTGGTCAAGTTCGAGGGCTTCGGCTCGTACCCGTCGGCGCTGCTGGGGCCGATCGAGGACCTGGAGCTGCACGTGAAGAAGACGAGTGGCAGCTATCTGTTCTGCAGCTACACGACCCAGTCGGGCTACGAGGCGGCGCTCCGCGTGCACCGCAACAACGTGTTCGTCGCGCACCGCGGCAGCTTCTTCGACCGCTTCTACGAGACGTGCGTCGTCGAGCCGCTCGAGTTCGTGGGCAGCACGCCCATCGGCCAGACGGCCAAAGAGGCTCTGCGCCCGTACATGAACGTGGCCCGCGCGTTCAGCGGCCCGGCGCTGGTGGCAACGAAGGCCACGCTCATGACGACGTACCGCGCGTCCACAGCTGCGATCAGTGCAGTGGTGGAATCTCTGGACGAGTAGGGGAGGAGGCAGCGTCGAGCTGCAAAGACGTAGGGAGGGGGAATGAGTATTATGTAGCTAGGTGAGGAGGCCGATCGGTGCAGGCAGAGCGCAGCACAGCGCAGTGAGTGAGTGATAAGTATGAGCCTGCGTTCATGAGAAGCTGTACATGGCCACTTCAACTTGAACGACCGCGTCTGATTGGTGGAGACTGTAGCCATCTTCGACTCAGGGGAGGAAGACGATGAGGTGGCCAGGGCTGTGACAATGTGACGAGTGGGTTAGTTAGTTGATAGGCAACCTCCGCCGAGGCCTCACACCAGAATACAAGCACTGAACAAGTGAAGTTGCGCCTGCTGCCGAGATGGCGTCGCCTTCGCCGTCCCGCGCGAGTCTGGACGCGTTCCGGTCGCCGGCCGACAAGAAGAGCTACCGACTCGTGACGCTGCCCAACGGACTGGAGGTTCTGCTCGTGCAGAGCGATGCCGGGCCAATTGCCGCTGACGCACGCAGCGACCACGACGACGCCAGCGTCCGAAAGAGTCTCAGCTCCACGGACGGCACGGACTTTGACAGTGCAGGCGAAGACGTAGAAGAAGACGAAGAAGATGACGAGAGCGAGCAAGAGACCAAGGATCATGCTCCTCCCTTGGCGGCAGCGTGCCTGACTGTAAACGTCGGTAGTCTGTCCGACCCCGAGGGACTGCCGGGTCTTGCCCACTATCTAGAGCACATGATCTTCATGGGCAGTGCCAAGTTCCCGGCTGAAGACGCGTTTGAGGCTTTCCTCAGCGCCCACGGGGGCTCCAGCAACGGAGCGACGGAGTGTGAGAGCACCCGCTTCGTCTTTGACGTGGACGCCGCCTACCTCGAGCCGGCGCTGGACATGTTTGCGAGTCTCTTCGTGGCCCCGTTGCTGCGACGTGAAGCCATGGAGCGCGAGCTGAAGGCAGTGGAGTCGGAATTCCAGCGAGTGCGCAACAACAACCCGGTGCGTCTGCAGCAAGTCATGTGTGAGACGAGTGTGCAAGGACACCCGTACTCGCGCTGCTTCACGTGGGGCAATGCCGAGAGCCTGAAGCAGATTCCAGAGCGCGACGGGGTCGACGTGCGTGAACAAATGGTGGAGTTTTTCAATCGACACTACGTGGCGCCAGCTATGAGGCTCTGTGTCTACGGGTGCGAGTCTCTCGATGTTCTTGAGCAGTATGTGACTCAGAGTTTCCGGGATATTCCACGTAGCCGCATCGATTACGAAGAGGTCTCTGTGATTGAAAAGCTTGGCGTGCCGTATGGCGGTGGAGCGGGGCAGCGACCGTCGATCTTGCGTGTTATTCCCGTGGGAGAAAAGCGCTCCTTGCGCTTGTACTGGATGCTCCCGGCAATGATGCACAAGTACCGACAGAAACCCTGGTACTTTGTGGGTCATTTATTGGGACACGAAGGCCCAGACTCGATTGCCTCGATCCTCAAGCGGCGGAATTGGGGTACCGACGTTATCGCTGGCACTTCGGATCGAGACGCCTACGAGTTTGGGTCCTTTGGTCTCGTGTTTGAAGTTCGCGTAACTCTAACCGAGGACGGTCTCGCTTGCTGGGAGCAAGTCGCGCAAGTTGTCTTTGACGTTCTTCACCTCTTCTCGGCCAAAGCAGAGCGCGGGGACTTACCCGCTTGGGTGTTTGACGAGCTTCACTCGTCTAGTGAAATGGACTTTCGGTTCCAAGAGGACACGAAAGCGCCCGTGTCACTCTGCCGGGAACTCAGTGAGCTCATGCTGCCACGTCACAAGGTCCAGCAAACGTGTGAAGGAGACTTGTTGCGCTACGACCTGCTCCAAGGAGAGTTTGATGCTGATTTAGTTCGCGCTTTGCTGGCCGGACTCACCGTCGATAACGTTCGTGTTGTATTGCTCGCGTCATCGCTGGAAGATTCTCTCAACTCCGAGGAGCTTCAGACTGAGCAGTGGTTTGGTGCCAAGTACACCGTGAATTCTATCCCAGACGCTGTGCTTGAAGCGTGGTCCCACATTTCTGTTGAATCTGCCGAGTTATCGCCACTACCAACGCCCAACCCGTTCATACCTCGAGACTTTTCGGTACTACCTTGTGAGCCAGCCAACAAAGGAGACGCCGATACCCCTCCCGACCTCATTCTCTCGACCTCACAGACGCAGCTCTGGTACAAGCGCGACCGCACATTTTTGGTGCCCAAGGCCAGCGTCAGCTTCCTCGTCATGTTACCAGCCTCCACCGCAGCGACTCATATGCTAGCTGAATTGCACGTTGAGTTGGTGCGGCATCGATTGCAGCACACGCTGGAACAAGCAACTGCAGCGAATTTCGATGTCGAGCTGGACGTGCGAGACGAAACGGTCGAGGTTGTCGTGGCGGGCTTCAGTGACACTTTGCCAGCTCTCGTTCGTGCTGTCATGCTAGAAGTTTTGCGGTCATCGAAGGCGTCGGAGGTTGCGTCGGAGCTGACTCTGGCCCGAGAAGAGCTGGAGCGCGAGTACCTCAACGCAACGTTGTCTCCTCGAGCGAAGGCGTACGAGTTGCGTCTGCAAATGCTCGAGAGTAGGGCCGTGACCACAGACGACAAGCTGGGGGCGCTCCAAAGCAAGGAAGGTCGTGAAAAGGAGCTCGCAGCAGACCTCTCACGCTTCACGACCACCGTTCTCGGTCGGAGTGAAGGAGTGCCAGCGATACGCTGCCTGGTTATCGGCAACATGAGTCGTGAAGCTGCCGTCAAACTTGTGCACGAAGTCGAGGGCGTCACGACAGGAGACTCTACTGCACAGTTGACTTATGAACCAGACGCGGAGCTCGAGCCTGAGCCGCCTCTCTTGGCTCCCCGATACCACACAATCGCGTTGCCACCGACCAGCAATGGATTGCTAGTTCGTCGAGAAAGTGAGCGCGTTGGGGAGCGGAACTCCGTCGTGGAGGTGTACTTCCAGATCGGCAAAGTCGGCGCGGAAGATCGAGCGTATGCACTCTTGCTGCGGGCTCTGTTGGCTCAACCTCTATTTCACGAGCTCCGCACCAGACAGCAACTCGGTTACACGGTGACGTGCAGCATTCGCGATACGCATGGAGTGCTGGGTCTCAGTGTGAGCGTGCAGTCCGCCTCCCACGCGGCTGGGGCTGTAGCGAAGAAGCTCGATGTCTTTCTGCATGAAGACTTCCCCCACGAGCACCTCCTCTCGGAGAAGCGACTGTCGCCCAAACGCTTTGCAGCCCACGTCCAGACACTGCAAAGAGTATATGCGCGACCAGACTCGACGTTGGTGGAGCAGAGCGAACGGTACTGGGAAGAAATCGTTAGCGGTCGGCTGGAGTTCGACTTGGACGTTCGCATAGCCAACGCTCTGGGAAGCTGTACGCGTCAGGGCCTGGTCAAGCGGTACCAGTGCTGGCTGCAAGGCAGTACTAGCTGCTGCAACGACTGCCCAAAGAGTCCCCACTCAAAGCGCAAGGTGCTTCACAAAGCGAGCAACAAAGGCCATCGCGGCCCTCGAAAGCTCAGAGTGCACGTAGTGGGCAAATGCAGCCCGTTCAAGCCGCTCGAGCAACTCGTGCCTCCAGACAAGACGCCGGTGATCATCACAGGCGACCTTCATGATTTCAAGCGCGAGCTGCAGTGCCATTGCCACGTTGAGGATAATGCTGCTGGATGTTAAGGGGGCAATCTATTGGGACTACATGTAGTCGTTGTTGTCCACGGCTGACTAACGCACGGATATCTACATACTATTGGTCTCGGACCCGTGTATTCGTCAACCTTCGCCCTGCTCCTCGTTGGCTTTTTGGTACTCGCTCAACTCTGACGGTGTCACGAAGTTGTGTATGGACGGCCGGTGTATTGTTACGGTGCTTCCCCGTCGAAGGCGTGAAGGCGGCGAGGACGCGCTACCTGCGTTTGATCCGTCGTCGCTCGATTTCGACCCACGCCGCAGCAGATTCCTCGCCGAGCCTCGAGACATGGACATCTCGTGCAGGGCATCGGCCACCACCAGGCGCTTCTCTAGACTCAGAACGCGGTTCTCAAGGTCCTCGTTATGCGTCGCCATGCGCGTCTTCATCGCCTCCACCTCGTCCGACACGCGCGACACCTGCTCTAGCAAACTTTGCAGCGTCAACTCGAGCACGAGAGCCCAGGTCGGAACGTTTTCTGGCGACGTCGGCGCGGACTGAGCTGCGCTCGAGCTGAGGATACTTGCAGCTTCATTCGACAAGGAGTTTCGCGGACTTAAGCCACTGCGTTCATTCTCCTGCAGCGTTGACATGGTTGGTACGTGCTGGCGGAGCTGATACGGTTGCTGTTGCTGTGTACGCGGTGGAGAGCGCTGGAGTTGGTTCGGCTGGAGCTGAAGCTGCTGCATGAGAGCGAGCGGGCCGCTGGTAGCGGGCAGTGATAGGGACCCTCCTCCTCCGCTCGCCGGTGGCGCCTCGGCCTCGGCGGGTGATTCTCGTATGGCCGCTGCTGCTATAATGCTGCTAAGCTTCCGCTTGCTTCGTCCCCCGCGGTCGGCAGTCTGCGTGATGAAAAGCTCCGACAGTTCCTCGATCTTGGTGCGGATGTACTCGACGTTGACCTCCATCATTTCGAGCATCGTCATCTGCGAGTCCATGGGGTCGCTGACGTCGTGCGAATGCACCTGCCGCTTCACCTGTCGGTATTTGCCCAGCACGGTGAACAGTTTGAGCTCTGCGCGACGTAAGGCTCGTTTGGTGCTGGTGGTGCCTGTGGGGTTGCCGCCTTTGGGGCTCTCGACAGGAACTTCCGTGGTCGTGACACTCACAGACCCATTCTCTCCTCTGTCTGGGCGGCTGACTAGACCCGAATGCCGGCGCTGTGCTGCTCGGAGCTGTACGAACGCCTGAAGAGCTCGAGCTGCGTGATCGTTGATGAGCCGGCGGTTTTCGTCCTTCTTGAGGAAGGCGTTCACTTTGTGCTCCGAGCGCGTGAGCACCAGGTAGTTGCTCATGACTGCGATGGTGACAGCAGTGGAGAGAGTGCCGAAGATGCCGGCGCACACAGCGATGGCCCGCCCTAACGTCGTTCGGGGCACAACGTCGCCGTATCCGATGGTCAAGATGGTGATGATAAGCATCCACAGCGCGTCGTCCAGCAGCATGGGCTGGCAGCACGAGTTTTGTTTGAAGGCGCAAAGGAATCGCTCCGCCACGTACAGCGCGTAACCAGCGACAAACCCGAGCGCGGCGAAGCTCGCCATTAAACAACTCGTCGGGTGGTTCTTGAGCGTCGACTTTAGGAAGAACGTGGCCGTGAAGTCGACGTTGGTCAACGCGCCGATGAACCAGCCGTTGCTCGAGTTGAACGAGTTGCGGAACTGCACGACGCGCACCACGAGAGCCACGCGCGTGAACATGAGCAGACTCGTGGCCACCGTCAGCTGCGGCCACTTGGGATCCACGTCCTCGATTCCAGGGAACGGGTGCACAGCGAGCACGGCCATCTCGAGCAGGAGTATTCGGCGCAGCGACGAGCTCAGCAGCGTGGCTTTGGGCGGCATGATGTTCTTGAGCTTCATGACCTCGCACTCGGCGGCGTAGTAGAGGTAGACGTAGTACAGCATGAGCGCTGTCGAGAAGGTGATGAGGATCCGCAGCGCCAAGAGAATCATCCGGCCCTCTTGCACCGGCACAGACGCGCCCAGAGCCTCGAAGCACTGCGGACACTGCGTCGTCGACTCCACGGGACACGTATCGGGCAAAGTCTGCGTGTTGGCGAACCACAAGTACTCCATCTGCACCATCATGAGCGCGAGGCCGAAGAAGCCGTAGAAGAGCTGGAAGGCCGTGTGTCTCCGCTGCGCGCGCACGAGCGTCACGCGCTGCTCCTGCACCGAGGCCATCTCGGCGCTCGTGGCTCGGGCCTTGTTGCTGCTGCTGCTGCTGAACGTGTGAGTGGCATTTGCTTTGGGCTTCTGCGGAGCTGGCACGGTCACTGCGCCTGGGCCGGGGCGTGCGTGCGCTTCAGTCGCCTCGGCCGCCGCAGCCATGGCGGACGTGTCCAGCGGCACGATCTCGTTGCGGCTCGGCATTTGGATGGAGGCTGCTGGCAAGAAGGACACGTACGCGGCACCACAAACTCACGCGGCACCACAAACTCACGCGGCACCACAAACTCACGCGGCGAGACTCTGGGGCGGCCAGGACGCTGCGCAGGCATTCACTCGCGCGCGGCTGGAGCTGGTCGGCAAAGTCCTCGGTCCGCACGCACGCCCGGAGCTTGAAGATGTCTCTCGCCCGCTGTAACTTACTACGCAGTAGTGGCGAACTCCATGCAGCATGCATCGGCGTATTAATAGGGACCCAACTCAATCAGTTTCTCTCCTGCTTTCAGCCTCTCGAACGTGTGAACGAACCTCTCGCATCGCATGACCGCGACTGGAAATAGCGTCGCGACCAGACAAGCGCGCCACTTAGCTGCATCACCGTGCCTACATATGTGCATACGTGCAGCACGACAGTCACCAACAATGGCACCCACACACACACAAGACTGCCACAACGAGAACACCGAGGCGTAACGCAAAGAAGCCTGCCGTTAAATTAGCCGAGTCTCTCTACGCGGATTAAATCCACTCAAATCCTCTCCTTCCTCCTCCTGGCACGACCACTCAACTGAGATCGATCGATCGCACTAGGGCGGGCGTCAGGTCATGATGGGCGCAGTCAAGTCGAGCAACTTAGTAGAAGAAGCCGATGATCTTGCCACCCGTGTGTTTGCGGCGGGCCTCGTGGTGGTCCATGATGCCGTACGTAGTGCTGACCACGATGTGGCCGAACTGGCGCGAGGGCAGCAGGTTGTTGATCCACTTCTCGTAGTCGGCCAGCTTGACGTCGAAGCGGGGCGAGATGACACCGCACTTGTTGATGCGGCCCTTGAGCTCCACGACGATCTTGCCGGCGCGGTGGTCGTCCACGATCTCGAACTCGCCGATGTAGCCGTTCTTCTGCATGACCTGCAGGAACTTGACGATCACCTTGGAGCTCGGGCGGATGAGCACCTGGCGCTTTCCGCGCTTCTCGGCGTTGTACATCGTCTTAAGGCAGTCGGCCAGCACGCTCATACGAACCATGGCTGTAGGGAGAACAATACAGCAACACATTAATGCCTACGTCTACTAGCCAAGGTCAGCCGCCGCCCGCGCCCACAGCCCTCCACACTGCGAACCCTCCCCCTAGAGGAGAGAGGGCGAGCGACGGAGACTGCAGCACGCGGGACGGACGGAGCCTCCAAAGCCGCGCGGCAGCTCGCCCCGACTGCTGCTGCTGCTGCTGGAAGGGCAGAGCAGAGTCGATGGGAGAACTGCCGCGCGGCTTCTCTGATGCTGCTGCTGGAGCGGCGGGCGGCGGCGTGAGCGGTGGTGGCGATGGTGGCGGTGGGCGGCACGTACTTGCTAGTGGGGGTGGTTAGCTTCGAAAAGACTGGAGAGAGATTTGCGAATGGCAACGAAGAGCTCCATTGCGGAGGCAAGCCAACACCACTCGCGCTGTTGACTGGTGGGGAGGGGATGGTGTGGAGCTACATACTTTGGAGTGGTGCACATGGATTTATCCTTTTGATACCGGTATGACGGATCGGTAAAACACAACATCTACGTTAAAAAGGACAGTTCCGTTGCAAAACACCGACATAGTCGTAAGTAAAACACAATAGATTCGCTATAAAAAAAACGTCCTGATGATACGTTGAAGGTCAAGTTGAAGCCGTACAGCAACTTATTATCTTTCTTTCTCTAGCATACATATCGACAGGAATGTACACTTGCTATGCTTTTAGTGACTCTGCTGCCTACTCGCCGCTACTTGCGTCGGTGGCGTCTTGCACCTCAGGAGAGAGGCCGCCACCGTCCGTCGGGCCCGAGTCAATGATGCGCAGGCTGCGAAGGAACTCCGGATACGAGACGTACGTCCGCGTCTCCTCCGTCTCCTCCCCCGCGTTCGACGGACGCCGCACGGTCGTGTGGTGCGCGAAGGCGTCAGCGAGCTGCTCCAGCTGCGAGAGCTTCAGCGGCGCGCCGTGCTCCTCGTTGATGGCCTGCATCGTGGCCACGAACTGCTCCTTCGTGACGTACCCGTGGCGCTTGCGGTCCAGTATCCGGAACAGGAACTTGATGTACAGCCGCTGCTCGTGCAGCGACTGCTTGACGCTGTCCACGAACGTGTCCGCCCACGCCTGGTTCTTCGACGCCTGCCCCTCCTGCGCGATGTCATCATCACCGGACAACGAGTCACGGACGTCTAGCGCGGCCAAGTTCGTGTTGGACGCGCCGAGACTCGCCAGCCACAGGCGCCGCTGGAAGGTGCTGTCAGGTGAGAACGTGTCCTCGAACACGACCCAGTCCAAGCCCCGCGTATCCCACTGATGCCGCTGGTTGATGCCGTAGTAGCTGAGAAGGATCGAGTTGAACAGCAGCTGCGCCTCTTCATTGTCCAGCTCCGGCACCATGTTCAGCTCATGCGTCCCCTTCAAGATGTCGTCCACCGAGAGCTTTCCTGTCTTGCTGTGGTCAAACGCGTCGAACGCATCTCGTAGCGAGTTGAACTTGTTGGGATTCTGCAGCAACGTGGCGCAGCGGTTCAGAAGCGATATGGCCTTTGTGTCGTCCACCTCGAAGAGCTCCTGCAGATAGTCAGCGCGGCTGAACTCGGCGAAGAAGGAACAGAACTCCTGGTAGTCCACCACGCCGTCGTGATTCTGGTCCAGGTGCTGCATCAGCTCGAAAATCTGCTGCTCTGAAAGCGTGTCGCCAAGCTGCAGCTTGCCTTGAATGGTGTTCCGGAACACCTCGTACGTGACCAGTCCGTTGCGCAGGTAGCTCTCCTTCGGCTGGAACTTGCCGTCTCCGTTGGTTGGAATAACTGAGCCATTTTCGTCGGGTTTCGAGGTGGGTTTCGTAACCAGTTCCTTCTTGGCGGCTCCCGCAGGCGGCGACTGGAAGAGATTGAAGGCAAAGTGCAGCTTGTCCTGTAGCGTCATTTTCTCCGAATCCGTCTCGGAAGGACGAGGTAGCGCTTGGCAGAAGCCCACCCACACCTTGCGGATCAGGTTCCGTCTCCACTCCACATTGCCTCCGTCCAGTTCAACCGTGTATCGATTCAGGAACTTCTGGTAGTCAACGCCACCTTGCTGATCTTCTTCGGCCAGTTGGTGAAAGTAGGAGAGGAAGCTCGCCTGGATGCCTAAAACCTTCTGTAAAGTTGCCTTCCACTCCAGTTTCGTAACGCGCCCAGATCCCGTCGTATCCAACTCGTTGAATGCAGAAAGCAGCGCATTCTTCTTTTCGCAAATGATCTCCACAAGAGACATCAATGTTCTGCGCTCCAACCGCTGAGCTTTCTTTCGCCACTCGTTTCTTCCAGCATCCTTGAGCTTCTGAAGCGGTTGGGAGGAGAATTGCACCACGTGCGGCTTCACTTCGTTGTCTTCGCCCAGTTCAAGCTGGACATACGCACCCTTGTTGGTCTGGGAACCGCAGTAGCTCGACGCCGAAAATACTGTCAACAGCAAACCATCGTGGACGATATCGAAACCTTCTTCTCGGCATTCGTGCGACCGAATGATGAGGCTGATCCCATTTTGCGCACAAAATGCTTTCGTGATATCCGGTCCGAACTCCACACCAGCTCCGCGACTTGACGGCTTCCAGCCATCTTCATCGCGCGGGTCGCTCCACAATAGATGCGTGAACACTTCGTCAGCCCGGCTCGTGCCTTGCGTAGGGATTTCACGTCTGTGGTCAAGCTGGAGAAGCTCCTCGATCGTCACGTTTTCGTGGTTACTCAGCCCGCCATGCACAATGAAAACACGTTTGTTGAGTAGAGCGAAAATCGGGAACAGGCCGAAGACCGTCTCGAACATCTGGAACAGCTTCATCGGTGAATAGTTCATCGACGTACCCAGACCGCTCCATCCGGCCACCTCGTCATTGTCCGTGCCGTACTTGGTGTACACTTCGTCCTCAAAGCCGAACACCTCGTTAATCATGCGCTCTTCGTGGTTGCCGCGGTTCAAAAACACGAAATCGGGGTACAGCAGCTTGAATATTAGCAGAAGCAGAATGACCTCGATGCCATGTGATCCACGATCCACGAAGTCGCCGTTGAAGAGGTACCACGTTTTGCTGCTAGGCACTCCGTTCTTGTCCATGATCGTAAGTAAATCCTCCAACTGCCCGTGGAGGTCGCCCACTACAACCAACTGCACACCCATGGGGATCTCGATGTCATTCATGGGCGACTCGTGCATCTTTCGAAACAGCTTCTCCGACTCGTCCAGGATCTGGCGGACGAACACGCGGTGCAGCAAGATGCCATTGCGGAACTGGTTGATGAGTTTCTTCACTGTGTCGAGCCGCAACGGGAACGACACATGGACGCCGCGGTAGTGCGAGAGCGACTCCTTCACTCGGTCCTTTCCTGATACATCGTCGTCGGGGAACTGCATTGTGTCTAACGAGCCGAGCATCGGCACCATTGAGTGCAATTCGTTGATACTCGTGGACTTGTTGAGTATTCGCACCATCTGCACTGTGCGCTGCTCCTGAACGGTCTCCAGCAGGTTCCATGTGTTGAAGTTGAGCTGCGTCCTGAAGACCGCGTACGACAAGTGCTGGCGGATCGCGTTCTTGATGCGGTTGGCCGACAGAACCGCGTCAGAGTAGAGCTCCACGTGCTCCAGCGCAAACCTGCGCATCTGGTTGTCCTTCTTGACCAGCTCCACGTTCACGAACGCACTGCCGTCTACGGAGTCGTCCGCAGCGTCGACCTGCACAACTCGGCCGACCAAAATGCCGTACACCAGGACGCGCGTGCCCACCTTGAGCGACGACTTCTGGATCTTGATGGGCGAACAGTCCCGACAGATGCGCACTTCGTCGTAGTAGCCTTGCATGGGCAGTCTCGGCACGAACACCGAGCACTCGTCGCACATGCACGTGCCGCACTTGCTGCACGTCGCGTCGTCAACGAACCACGAAGCAAATACATCGCGTCGTCAAAGAACCACGAAGCAAACACACACAAGCCAATGGCGTGTCAGATCAAGCGAAACGGCCTGCAAAATAGCGTGACGCTGCGTACCGGCAGTGGTGCGGGCGGATGAAGAAGCTGAACTCCTTCTTGCAGACCATGCAGCACTTGGAGTTCTGCACCCAGATGGGGCGCAGCGCGAGGCGGAAGGCGCGCTCCCACTTGAGGTACACGGCGTCCTTGCCCGCGCGCAGCTTCCAGCTCATGAGCTGCCCCGTGGGCGAGTAGCCTGTGAGCTGCATCTCCAGCTTCTTGCGGTTGAACACGAGCCCGCGCTTGATGAGGTCGGCGTCGTACTCGTCCTCGCTCTTGGCCAGGTCCTTGGCGTTCACGGACGCGTTGAGCATCATGACGCCGCGCAGGTGCTTGGACGTGAGCGTCAGGTGCACTCTGCGGGGCCCCTCGGGCCCGCCGCCGGGCGCCGCCGCGGGCATCGGCAGCTCGTAGTAGCAGAAGCGGCCGTTGCGGAACAGCAGGAAGTAGCGGAAGTGCGCGTAGTCGCCCAGCTTGATGAGCGCGCCCTCCATGAGCTTGTGGTCCTCGTAGTAGTTGTTCACGGGCTCCTCCTCGCCCGAGACCCAGTGGCCCAGCCACGCGCGCGACGTGAAGCCCTCCGTGTCCATGCTGGCGGCGGCGAGAACTTCCCGTGCAGCCGGCAAACGATTACTGTAACTTAGTTCGCCGCGATTCCGCTGTTCAGTCCTCTCCCTCTTGATCGGCTGGGCTAATAAATAGGTAATTGCAGGCTTGCTTTTGTCTGTTTTATTGGCATTTCAATCAATAGCTACGATTGGTTAGACAAGGCGATACATTAGTAGAGGTTATACGCGTGCCCTATCATCGGTCAGAGTTCAACGGCCGCTGAATGTGGCACCAAATGCCAGAAACAGCGGCCAAATTGACATTGTTCCTGGCATCACAGCGCTGTTTGAGGACGGTATGAAGCGTAGAAGTGGCGATTTAAATGTGGCGTCTGAGTGATAAATGTGGTATTTGTCCAAAACCTGACTGAGCCGGTATAATCATAACGAGGTTCACGTAGTTGAAGCGAAGGAAGAGACGTCGTGCGCCTCTCGCTGGCGGAGGGCTCCGAGCCGCTCGCGGGGCCTCTCGCGCCGCTGCTGGAGCTGCTGCGTCACCCTCCGACGCTCGAGAACCCCGTGCCCTGCGTCGTGCTGAGCATCCACGACAGCCAACTCTTCAACGCGGTGGACGAGATCGCCAACCTCTTCCTGGAGCAGGTGGCTGTCGCTCTATTCATCTGTATTCCACAGCTATAATGCTATAGTGACGAGGGGCTGACGGACTGTGTGCAGGGAATCCTGACAGGCATCGTGGCCTGGCAAAAGGCAGGCCAGAGGGGCCTATTCGTGCCGGTGCCGGTCGACTCGACGATCGGAATCATCAGCGGCAAGATGGAGGAGCTGGCGGCGTCGGGTGGGCGCCGACGTGCAGATGAGAGTGGAGAACTTTGCCAACCTCGCATCCAACGGTGAGCACTCAGCTTAGATGGTGCGTCTACAGCTTGAGAGCTAATTAAGGTGGCCTCAAACTGCGCCTTTGTGTTTGCAGCGAGCGAAGTCTTCGACATGCTGCTGAGGACGGTGCTCAAGTTCCAGTTTCAGTCCAGCGGCTGTCTCCAGTTTGAGAGGAGGAACGAGGCGCCTCAGGTGCTGATGATAAGCGAACCTCGCTCAGGAGACGTGCCGACGATTGCCATTCTGAATGTGCTGCTGGTCACAGACGCGACAGGGCGGCCAATGATCGAGCTGGTACGATGGATGCTGTGTGATCGACCTTTACACGCTCATTAGGCTGACTGGACGGATCCTTGTGCTGCAGGAATGCATGCCCAAGATGATGAGCTTGGTAACGCTAGCAGAACCCATTGGACCCAGGCAACACGCGCCCTCATCGGGCTCTGTGATGGTCTTACCACGTCTGGGCAAAGGCTGGCTAGTCTCACGTTTCAGCAATACCCCAGCCACGGGAGCGGAACGAGCGGGCAAGGCGAGACTGGCTGGAGATGTCAAGCATGACGCGTTCGTTCAACCAGTGAGGTACGCAAACCAGAATGATTGTGCGAATTGGTGTGTTATCTGGTGGATAACACATGTGGTTGGTTTCCAAGCTCTGTGAAAGGATTTCATCGCTACGCTCCGAGGACCGACGAGAAGTTTCGGCGCTACTGGCTTGGCGTTCATCGCATTCGTACGTCCTGAAGATACCTGATTATTATTCATGAAATGTGAACACGTGTTAACATTGATCCTTGTGAAGGCTTGCCGGAGGACTTCGGAGGCTACGCTCACGTTACGTTTGCTGGGAGGTTGGGGTTGACGCTAATACCCGGCTTGCTGCGTCGCGTGCCAGTGGCTCGCGAGACGCGCGCGCAGTCTGTGGAGGTGATTGAACAGTTCCAGTTCCTTTTACAGCAAATGGTCGGCAAAAAAGCGATAACGGTGAGTAGGGCCACCGAGCTGCCCAGCACCACAAACGCGCTCCCTGCGATCGGCTTGATCTCCCAAGAGATCCTATCGCACCCCGCGCTCGATACAAAATCTGCAATGAAGAGCGAGCCGACGCAGAACCAGCTCAAGAGGCAGCTCCAGGAAGACGTGAAGGAGCAGAAAGTGATGGTTAGTGCCAATAAGCAACGGAAGAAGCAGCGCGCAAAGGCCCCACGAGTGAAAAGCCAGCGCGTGAAGCGTCAAGGAGTGAAGAGCGAGCAGCTGAAGTAGTGCTTCTGTAGCATTGTGAGTGAAGCAAGAGCTGTGTTTGGTAAAGTTGCCTCTGAGCATTACTGGTACAGTGTACCAAGTGTCTCTTGATGCGCTAAGAAGTATCTTTCGGTGGTCGCGTTTCGCGTCCCTTCGAGTGCAAAGAGGCATGCAGTGCTGGATTCCACTTGTGCAGCGGAGAGGATGGCGCGGACCAACAGCGCGCTCATGCTGAGCATGGGCACCGTCAATATGTGGGGGTTCTCGCCCGCCTACGACGTGTGCAGCGGACTTCCCGAGTGGGAGAAGAGCGACAAATCCAGCGCAGCAGGCAGCTCAAGTGCGGATGCCAACGAGGAGAAAGCGTCTGCGGAGCCGATCAACATTTTGCTGGCTGGGCCCGGGGATGTGCGCCACGTGCTGGCGACTATTGCGCGCCGCCGTCGATGGGACCCAGCGCTGACCCATCGACCCGTGCACATTTACCTGTTCGAGAAAGCCATCGAGACGCTCTCACGGGACTTACTGCTGCTTCAAGTTGCACTTGACAAGAGTCTCCCTTTGCGCCAACGCTGCAACACCTTTCTGGAGATTTTCGGCAATGCTCGAGTGCAGGTACGCGGCGGAGGAGAGCGGTAAGCGACGTAACAGAGCGTTGTACTCACGTTTGAATGCTATTGTGGATTGAAGGAGAGGACGAGTGCCTACATCGAAGAGCAGGCAAAGCTGCTGATGGACTTTGTCTACAACGATCGAGGTCCGTTTGCGGGTCTTGTTGATCTCTCGCACCTGAAGATGCGAACTCACGACGACCTCATCGACACGTTCCGAAGCTGGTTTCAAAGTGTCAAGTTTGATGGTAAGATTTCTCGTAACCCGGGAAGAAGATAATTTCCAGAGCTAACGGGTCACGCCTCGTTTCCGCAGTCGACACACTTCGAGATCATCGTCTCCGTCACTACTACGAAGTTCGATACGACTACCGAGACAACCTGATCGACTGGGACTACACCGTACGTACTTAAGTATTGCAGTTCCTAGGATCAGTGTGCGTGTTATTTTGACTCCGTGTTATTTCAATCTACCCTGCGCACCAGATGAATCTCAAGAAGATCGAAAATGCCAGCGTGATTCACATTCGCCAGTATCGCGACTGGAGGAACTCGGGCGTGGCGTTTGAATTCGGTGACCAAACGTACACGGTGCCAAACCGCACGATGGCAGCGTATACGGAGGTAAGCGGGCGTTGGCACTTTCAAATTGCAAGCCAATTAATCCGACTGTGATGTTGATTCAATCGGACAGGCAAAGAAGAAACGCCACGGGTCCGTGTTGTGCCGAGGCATGTGGACTGACATTATCGTGAGTCCCTATATATCGTTCGGTGTCCACTGTGAGAAGCCAAACAAGTTTGCAGAGCAGCTCTTCGAGATTCACAACATGGGGACGGGCGTTGAGCAGAACCGCCATGTAAGCTATTCTGTAGTTGACTGGAGCTTCCGTGTTCATTGTTCAATCTTATTGTTTCGAATGGGCAGAACACGGTGGAAGTTGCAGTGTACAACGTGCTCTCGTATCTGTACGAGATCGAGACGGGGGAAACGTACAAAATGGAAAAGGTACGTGTATGCAAGCTTTTGTCTTTGTCCGTGACAACTGACACGATCATTTCTTTTGCCAGGAACACGACATCTTCAGTGGCATTGGTGACGCTGAGGGGGGCCAAGATTCTGGCAATCAACCAACGGAAGACAAGCCCCACCCGCGGTTTGAAGAGCTAGACGAAGAAACGAACCAGCCAAAGACGACTGAAGAGTAATGCTCACGCTGACGAGTCGCTCTATCACTGTTGTTTGAATAACTTTCTGGTGCATATAGGGAAACTCTGAAGCTGCAAGCAGAAGCTGAACGTCGCGATAAGATCATCAGGCAGTCCTTGCAGGATGTAAAGGTACGCTCTATTGTAGCTATGCTGAGGACTCCCGTGGTGCAGAGATTTTCACGAGTAACCATTTTCCGCTCTGATACTGCAGATCATTCCGCTGACAGGAAACATGGAGGATTTATTATCGAAAAAGCGCTACACGAACCTATTCGACTACGCTTTTATTTCATCACAGCAGTGCCACACACTTCAGCCCTCTGACGACGTGGAGGAACATGCGAAAGCGACTTTCACGAACATTTTGAAGTGCGGTGCAGCTGTCGACGTCGAGTCGTCTGTGTACGTACCGAAGCCACCATGCCATGACTTGTACTATATTCAGACCAATTGATAATGGTTGCTTGCATAGGTTCATGCTGCCCCTGAAAGAAGAGCAACGTGCTCTCTACGTGGCGAAGTTGCAGGAGTGGATGGCGCGCCATACACTAAAGCCCACCTACCGCTTCAGCAGCAGGAGCGAACCCTCCTGCCAAGACATGACCGAGATCAAGAACGCAGTGCTGCGTTTTAGCTACACTGGGAAAACAGTCTGATGTTCTCATCACCTGCAGTGGTCAAGGGCGAACGGGGTAACAGTAATTCATTGTGTATTCGCGAGAACCAACCGTACTACTTGTACTTGTATGCTCTGTTTGACAACCAGGCTTGTACTACACTGTGTTTTGCGACTTCACGGCGCGGAGTTTCTATTTCTATTTCTAAATCCACGTCAGCCGCCCATCACCCTCTGTGCCCTTTCAGGATCGCCCCCCAGCTGTCTCAAAACGCGGTATGCCGCAGCCGGGTTGCTCGAAAACATGCGACCGCCTGCCGCTGTGCGCACAGCGTGGTGAGCTCGGACCGCCGTGGCGCCAGCACCTGTGCCGTGTTGCGCTGTGTTGCGCTGTGTTGGAAGGAAGGCGCTAGCCCTACTATCTATAGACTGTAGACTGTGGACTATCGCTCTGTCAGCAGCGCCGCGCTCGGGTTTCCACCGTTCCACGAATGCACATGAGGCAGAAAATCTGCAGCAGCAGCAGCTGATGGGAAAGTTTTACCTGGATCATGCGGTTTCTATCGTTTGGGCGCACGGTTTGTTCTGCACAATGCGTCTGCGAGCGAGCGAGTAGCGTGAAAATTGCCATGTCGTCGCGCGCGCTGTGTTACTTGGCAGTTCGGCCTCGTTCCCTACTCCAGCCAAAACTGTGGCAACTGGACTTTGCGTGCGTGGTGGGTCTCTGAAGTGGCATGACGCGCAACGTAGTAACCACATTTCCGTTCACCAAAGGCAGCAAGGGGGTCTATGATTGCATGCACTACCTGGCCAGCTCCAACTGTGCTTCACGTCTTCAACACCCATCGTCACCGTGTGGAGTTCTCACTCACGCGGCCAAGCCTTCTTACGACAGATGAGCTAGGGGCCTCTGCTACTTTACTTTCAGACATCAACACGAATTGTTGCCAACTAGTATCCACACATCCTTCTAGAGGCGTTTGCTCTGTGCACTAGCCATCTTCGAGTCTCGAAGGTGCCGCCGCTGTTGGACGTCCATGCCGCCGCAGCCCCACCGCCTTTCAGGTCTACCCCACCGTGTTTTGCGAATCCCGCGTAACGGATACTTCAACGTGCGGATCTTTTTCCGTAACGGCCGATGCCAGTCACTCGAAACGGCCCGCGACGTTAGTGCCGCGCTCACGCTGGTTGTGTTGTGCGCAGCCGATGCCTATCAAGCGCGCGGCATTCTCACGGTTACCCGCTGGGACTCCCAGTGGGAGATATCAGCAGCGAGGGGAATGCATACGATAATGTCCGTCGTCAGCGTGCGTGCTTCCCGCCGCCTTCTTCGCTCCGGATTCGGTCGAAAACGGTTTTTCGCTGGTGTAGTGGGGCACGATCGATAGAAACGTGGAAAGTTTGCAACAATAAATCATGCCAGACTTGTCTTTACAAAAAGGCAACAAATAATGAGGCTGCTATGATAGTAGCAGCAGCAGCAGCAGCAACAGCAGCAGCGCGAACACCATCGACCGGCCGCAACAACAGGCGTACGCTCTAGCTTGCTGGCCTGTGGCTAGTAGACCGGCAAGGCTGGATGCAGGACAGCCGCGAGTGATTCACGACGCAAAGGCCTCCGCCAGCGAGCTCCACATGAGCCGCGTGTCGTTGGCTGCGCTGCCGCCGCCCGAGTAGTCGAGCGTGTCGGCGTTCCACATGCCCACGCCGCGCAGCCCGAGCTCCCGCACGAGGCGGTACTTGGCGCGCAGACTGCGCGGGTTGTCGAACCAAATCTGCGACTGGTGCCCCTCCTGCGCGTACCACACGAACGGGGTCTCCGTCGTGGGGTCCCATTGCTCGACGAGCCCGTGCCGCTTCACCAGTCGCTGGACGTCGGCGTAGTCGACCTGTCCACCTGCCGCGTCACTGCAAGGGGCACCGAAGAACGGCACCGGCCGGATCCGACACCTCGAGGCGTCGTCAATCACCGCGCCTTGCTGCGGCCCCAGGCACGGGTAGTCGTAGCCGTACCACGGCACCCCGAGTACCAACTTGTCCGGCGCGATGTCGAACGCGAGCAGGAACTCCTCCAGACCTTGCTGCACGAGCGCCCGCGGGGCGTTGGCGCCTGCCACGCACGCGTCGTACACTTGGCTGCGCATGTCGTACGACATGACGAACAGAAAATCCGCTGCGTCCGCGAGCTCTCGCCACGGGTAGTACCGACCATCCACGCCGCGAGGTGCCCAGGGAACGTCAAACGTGATCTGCATACAAACAAGTCGAGCGTGACGCACGGGACTGGGGTCAGTAGTAGGTAGATAGGAAAGTAGGTAGCGCTCACACCAGCTTGATAGTTTGTTTGGGTTGATCCGAGCCATGAGATCTCTGTGCCGAGAACGAACCTGCGCGTTCTTCGTGAGTGCGTGCTGCTCCAACTCGTGCCGCAGCTCGTACACAAGCGACGCCATGCACTGGGCAGTGGCTCCGTGCATGGGCTTCTCCGTGTCAATGTTGACGCCGTCGGCGTAGTTCTCTACGATCTGGGTGTACGTCGCCTGCAGACCGCAAAACAGAGGCGCTCCGTTAGTCTGCTTCTCAGCCAGCCCGAGACAAAACGACAGGCAGGCAAGCATCCCGCTGGCCGCACCAAGCTGCGGGTGATACCAGTAATGCATGAGATAACGCCAGCCGTGGCTGTACCCCAAGCTACTCGCGCACTCACTCACCTTGATCCAGTTCTGGCGAGCTGTGGTGTTGCAGAGTTGCTCCACGTCGTCGAAGTTGTGCTTGACCACGACCTTGACGCCCTTGCTGTGCGCATGGCAAAGCAGTTGCTTGTCTTCATTCCACGCCACGGTCGTGAGCTGCCAGTGGCAGGCACCGGTCAACAAGCAAGCAAGCAAGCAGCAGTGCGTCAGTTAAACGACGATACCGGTCGACGTGGGTCAAGCAGCAGCGCGTACAGTACCTGGTCCCAGTCGTAGTGCTTCCAGCGGTCGTCGGTCGCCACTGAGAAGGCGAAGACCTCCTTGCGCGGCCTCTTGCCGGTGAAGTCGACGGGGAGGCACAGCGACGCTAAAGAGGAGAGCTGCTCGTCACTGTTGTTGGGGCGCCCGCTGCATGGACAGCTGCGCAGACGAGCGCGGTCGTCGTGAGTCAGGCGGTCAGCGAAGAGTCCCCTCGCGTCGTACACGGGCGCTGAGCGGGCAGCGCTCTCCCGTGTCGGGCCTAGCAGCAGCAACCACGACAACCAGGCCAGCGCGAGCATCGTCCGCTCTCGGCTTGAAGCTGGTCCACCCCACAAGATCTGAGTTGGGAATGGTACAGGGTACCAATATATCGTGTTAGAGAGGAAAAGATCGGTGTCAGGCTACAATTTGGAAGTCTAAGTGGTTCTGCTTAGAGATGCAAGAAATCCCACGTAGCTGTCCATAGTATATGCAAAACCTTAGCATCACAGCCGCCTCATGTACCAGTAAGCTCTCCATCGCTGCCCCTAGTCGAGAGCCTCTCGAAGAGGGCCAGCACGTTGAAGTGACGACCACCGAAAGATACCCTTTGCGCACGAAAGGGCACGATCCCAGATTGATTGGTACCCTGTACCATTCCCAACTCAGATCTTGTGGGGTGGACCAGCTTCAAGCCGAGAGCGGACGATGCTCGCGCTGGCCTGGTTGTCGTGGTTGCTGCTGCTAGGCCCGACACGGGAGAGCGCTGCCCGCTCAGCGCCCGTGTACGACGCGAGGGGACTCTTCGCTGACCGCCTGACTCACGACGACCGCGCTCGTCTGCGCAGCTGTCCATGCAGCGGGCGCCCCAACAACAGTGACGAGCAGCTCTCCTCTTTAGCGTCGCTGTGCCTCCCCGTCGACTTCACCGGCAAGAGGCCGCGCAAGGAGGTCTTCGCCTTCTCAGTGGCGACCGACGACCGCTGGAAGCACTACGACTGGGACCAGGTACTGTACGCGCTGCTGCTTGACCCACGTCGACCGGTATCGTCGTTTAACTGACGCACTGCTGCTTGCTTGCTTGCTTGTTGACCGGTGCCTGCCACTGGCAGCTCACGACCGTGGCGTGGAATGAAGACAAGCAACTGCTTTGCCATGCGCACAGCAAGGGCGTCAAGGTCGTGGTCAAGCACAACTTCGACGACGTGGAGCAACTCTGCAACACCACAGCTCGCCAGAACTGGATCAAGGTGAGTGAGTGCGCGAGTAGCTTGGGGTACAGCCACGGCTGGCGTTATCTCATGCATTACTGGTATCACCCGCAGCTTGGTGCGGCCAGCGGGATGCTTGCCTGCCTGTCGTTTTGTCTCGGGCTGGCTGAGAAGCAGACTAACGGAGCGCCTCTGTTTTGCGGTCTGCAGGCGACGTACACCCAGATCGTAGAGAACTACGCCGACGGCGTCAACATTGACACGGAGAAGCCCATGCACGGAGCCACTGCCCAGTGCATGGCGTCGCTTGTGTACGAGCTGCGGCACGAGTTGGAGCAGCACGCACTCACGAAGAACGCGCAGGTTCGTTCTCGGCACAGAGATCTCATGGCTCGGATCAACCCAAACAAACTATCAAGCTGGTGTGAGCGCTACCTACTTTCCTATCTACCTACTACTGACCCCAGTCCCGTGCGTCACGCTCGACTTGTTTGTATGCAGATCACGTTTGACGTTCCCTGGGCACCTCGCGGCGTGGATGGTCGGTACTACCCGTGGCGAGAGCTCGCGGACGCAGCGGATTTTCTGTTCGTCATGTCGTACGACATGCGCAGCCAAGTGTACGACGCGTGCGTGGCAGGCGCCAACGCCCCGCGGGCGCTCGTGCAGCAAGGTCTGGAGGAGTTCCTGCTCGCGTTCGACATCGCGCCGGACAAGTTGGTACTCGGGGTGCCGTGGTACGGCTACGACTACCCGTGCCTGGGGCCGCAGCAAGGCGCGGTGATTGACGACGCCTCGAGGTGTCGGATCCGGCCGGTGCCGTTCTTCGGTGCCCCTTGCAGTGACGCGGCAGGTGGACAGGTCGACTACGCCGACGTCCAGCGACTGGTGAAGCGGCACGGGCTCGTCGAGCAATGGGACCCCACGACGGAGACCCCGTTCGTGTGGTACGCGCAGGAGGGGCACCAGTCGCAGATTTGGTTCGACAACCCGCGCAGTCTGCGCGCCAAGTACCGCCTCGTGCGGGAGCTCGGGCTGCGCGGCGTGGGCATGTGGAACGCCGACACGCTCGACTACTCGGGCGGCGGCAGCGCAGCCAACGACACGCGGCTCATGTGGAGCTCGCTGGCGGAGGCCTTTGCGTCGTGAATCACTCGCGGCTGTCCTGCATCCAGCCTTGCCGGTCTACTAGCCACAGGCCAGCAAGCTAGAGCGTACGCCTGTTGTTGCGGCCGGTCGATGGTGTTCGCGCTGCTGCTGTTGCTGCTGCTGCTGCTGCTACTATCATAGCAGCCTCATTATTTGTTGCCTTTTTGTAAAGACAAGTCTGGCATGATTTATTGTTGCAAACTTTCCACGTTTCTATCGATCGTGCCCCACTACACCAGCGAAAAACCGTTTTCGACCGAATCCGGAGCGAAGAAGGCGGCGGGAAGCACGCACGCTGACGACGGACATTATCGTATGCATTCCCCTCGCTGCTGATATCTCCCACTGGGAGTCCCAGCGGGTAACCGTGAGAATGCCGCGCGCTTGATAGGCATCGGCTGCGCACAACACAACCAGCGTGAGCGCGGCACTAACGTCGCGGGCCGTTTCGAGTGACTGGCATCGGCCGTTACGGAAAAAGATCCGCACGTTGAAGTATCCGTTACGCGGGATTCGCAAAACACGGTGGGGTAGACCTGAAAGGCGGTGGGGCTGCGGCGGCATGGACGTCCAACAGCGGCGGCACCTTCGAGACTCGAAGATGGCTAGTGCACAGAGCAAACGCCTCTAGAAGGATGTGTGGATACTAGTTGGCAACAATTCGTGTTGATGTCTGAAAGTAAAGTAGCAGAGGCCCCTAGCTCATCTGTCGTAAGAAGGCTTGGCCGCGTGAGTGAGAACTCCACACGGTGACGATGGGTGTTGAAGACGTGAAGCACAGTTGGAGCTGGCCAGGTAGTGCATGCAATCATAGACCCCCTTGCTGCCTTTGGTGAACGGAAATGTGGTTACTACGTTGCGCGTCATGCCACTTCAGAGACCCACCACGCACGCAAAGTCCAGTTGCCACAGTTTTGGCTGGAGTAGGGAACGAGGCCGAACTGCCAAGTAACACAGCGCGCGCGACGACATGGCAATTTTCACGCTACTCGCTCGCTCGCAGACGCATTGTGCAGAACAAACCGTGCGCCCAAACGATAGAAACCGCATGATCCAGGTAAAACTTTCCCATCAGCTGCTGCTGCTGCAGATTTTCTGCCTCATGTGCATTCGTGGAACGGTGGAAACCCGAGCGCGGCGCTGCTGACAGAGCGATAGTCCACAGTCTACAGTCTATAGATAGTAGGGCTAGCGCCTTCCTTCCAACACAGCGCAACACAGCGCAACACGGCACAGGTGCTGGCGCCACGGCGGTCCGAGCTCACCACGCTGTGCGCACAGCGGCAGGCGGTCGCATGTTTTCGAGCAACCCGGCTGCGGCATACCGCGTTTTGAGACAGCTGGGGGGCGATCCTGAAAGGGCACAGAGGGTGATGGGCGGCTGACGTGGATTTAGAAATAGAAATAGAAACTCCGCGCCGTTTCCGTCGCGAGCAGCGCCGTTTCTAAGAAGGTGCAAGCTCGAAAGCTACAGCTCCATTCCCAGATTTGCCTCTAGCCTGCCAGCCAGAAGATCGCCCCGCTCGCCACGATGGAGATGGAGCTTCCGGCCACGCCCACGCCCGCCGACTCGAGGGGCATGCACCTCAACTTCCAGTCGCCCACGGCCGACAAGGCGCAGCAGTCGCTGCGCATGCAGGTGGCCGCCCACAACTTCAAGAAGCGCGCGGCCTGCGACTCGCCCGACGAGGCCTCGGACGACGTCGACGGCCCGCTGCCCGTGGCCACGTGCAACTTCGCGGCGCTGAGCCGCCACTTCCACTTGCCGCTCAAGGTCGCGGCCGAGAAGTTCGGCGTGCGCGCCACCGCCTTCAAGAAGCGCTGCCGCGCCATCGGCATCCGCCACTGGCCGTACCGCAAGGTGCGCAGCCTCAAGCGCTCGCTGCAGGAGCTGGAGCAGTGCCAGCAGCAGGCGCAGGACGGCTCCGGCCCGCCGCTCTCGGACAAGCAGCTGCGCCAGTTCGCGGGCTACCAGAGCCAGCTCAAGCGCCTCCTGTCGCCCGAGACGTACGGCATCGACCCCTTCGGCCAGGCGCTGCCCGCGCACTTCTTCCACGCCGACGGCGACGGATGCAACACGCCCGACGACCACGACTCGGACGAGGACTCGTGCGGCTCGCAGAGCCCGCGCCCCGGTCTCGAGCACTTTGTGCACCGAAACAAGGCGCGCAAGCACCTCTTCACAGACTCGCCGTCCTCGGCCTCCGCCTCGTCGCCCCACCGTGAGAACCTCTTCTTCGGCAACGCCGTGGCCATGAACGCGGCCGCCGAGTACGCCCGTGTACAGCAGTTCAACCAATACAACGCCCAGACGGGCATGATCCCCGCGCAGGCGGGATTCGTCTTCGACTCGACGTACGACCCCTTCGGCGAGCTCAGCGCCTCCACCATGGACCCGTACGGCGAGAACGACCACCCGTCCTGCGGCTACTCGCTGGACGCCGTTTCGTACGACCTGTTCCCGCTGCAGCCGTCCCCCACCATGGCCATGCGGAAAGCCACCGCCATGGCGCAGCAGACGATGGCGACCACCGCCCCGAACGCAGAGGAGCCCGCCGTCTCCTCCGCTCCGAGCGGACTCGAGGGCCTCGAGGACGACATCTTCCGCCACATCTCTCCAGAGTACGGCTGCCTCGTGTAGACGGACGGACTCTGCTCGGATAGATGTGTCGACAGTCAGCTCCTCGTCCTCTCCTCCTCGGCTTTTTGCTTGCTGCTTCCTTTTTGCATTTTGCGACCGGCGTGCAACAACCACGCCTTCATTGTACGAGCTTTAAATTATTATGATGGAAGATATCAATAAAAAACACTTGCGCTCTCCGCCAACGCTGCTAGCCAGCTACAGTATTTGCCACTGTCACCTCACAGCCTGCCGCGCGCGGAGCAGAGCTTGCACGAAGTCGGCTACTTGTCGGTACACTGCGACTGCGACAGCAGCGTCGGTGTTCTTGACGCTGAGCAGGTTTGGCGCCATCACGATGGCTGCAATGCCAAAAAAACATTGGTTAGCTGCAGAGCCCAACGCTCATGTGGAAAAGGGGGAAGGCCGCACCCATGCTCTTCGCAGTCATCTTGTTCTCGCGCTCATACTTGACGATTTCATTCAGCAGGTCTAACAGCCAGAACGTGACAGTTTGATGCAGGGCTGGCAGCGCTGCCAGACTCTCGAGCACAACCTTGGGTTCCGGGTCCTAAAAGTACAGAAGTACAGGAAGCCTGCGTTAGAGTACAGTCCCCTGCAGCTTCCGTTAGTTCCTCGCTGCGTACCACGAGTTCACAGGTGCGAGCGATTTGGTTCTCTGGGAGCATGTTGAAAAGACTAACCGGTAGTTCTCGAAACCAAACCTAGGAGGCGTATGAAGAAGTTGCTATAAGTTTTGCGTTTAAAGGAGGTCATCGCTGGGTAGTAAGTCATACGTACTTTGATTAGATTCGCCATGATGTGGACGTCCGAGCAGTCCTTGAACGTGCCGTCGTCGATGGAGCGCTTGACCGCGATGTATTCCTGCTTGTCCGGGGCCAGGCGAAACACCCCTTCCGTTCGCGCTCCGTTGTGCGCTAGGAAGCAGGTCTTCAGCATTACCAGCACAGCCGGGAGTTTGGAGTCGTAGCCTTCCACCCCTCGCTTGAGCACCGCTTCAAGCGGCAGACCGAACTGCTGATTCAACTCGCGCCACTCGTCCGGCAGCCCCTCGAAGCGCGCAAACTCCGCGTTGTACGTCACGTGAGTTTCTTCGCGCATCTTGTACGGCCGACTGATCCACTCTCCACGCGACTGGGCCCTTTCGGGGGGGAATCGAGTGTCCTGGTCGACACCTCCAGCAGTCTCGAGCAGAGCGACGGGAGACGTAGCCATTCTGCCAAACTCCTCCTCCACTTGGTTTTTGTGTTCCGACCTCCTCCCCACTGAAGACAGTGCCTCTGCTGATGTAGCGGTTCTGCAGGTCCTTAGATCTTCCGCGACAGCTCTGTCATAGTCGGTGAATATCTGTCGAGATCGAGGTCTCACTGCATCCTGTTCCTCGTACAGGTCCTGATCTTCCCGCGATGGTGAAGAAGCCTCTTCCTCCTTGGGATAAATGGTCCGATTGGGGCTCAGATCGTAAACGCGCGGCGATGAGGAAGACGAAGGCGTCGTCTCTGAATAAATACGGGGTACTCGCGCCGGGTAATGGATCGAGTGCAGTCCTAAGCCTTGCCATGCCATAACCAGCTGCAATTCCCTCAGTCACGCACACACAGCAATACATGAACGCAGCAGACAAACCGATCACGTACGCCTTGTAGATCGATGTTCGCGCGCATGAGCTTCTTCACGACCTTCAGCACGCCTGTAGTTCCAACACACGCAACAGCATTATCCTAACGTTGGCCAACAATCGGATCACTTGACTGCAGGCAGACAAAAGATGCTTCCGAACCTGGGACATTGGTAAGAATGTGGCTAACAATGCGTGAGCACTCGGCCGCCTTCGCAGCGGAGCGGAATTGGAACCCGTACGTGTGGCAGTCCACGCCCGAGAGCCGCCGGAATGCCGCGTCATCGCAAACGCTACGCCACCAGTGACACCCAGCGCCAAGGATGTCGTTCACCACGATGGCACCAGACTCCAGGAGCCAGACCACGATGCGGAAGCGCGCCTCGGCTGTCTGCGCGTCGATCTCCACGCAAATGTGGACTTGGGACCAGGCCCCACATGAAACGGGCTGCCAGGTGCACGGAGGCTGGATCCTGCGGCCCCGCGCCGCTTCAAGAACAGCTGCGGGTACTGTTCTTGCGTCGGGCTCAGTTGGCAGGTGGTCTTGTCGACGGCGGTGCACTGCAGCGACGGTCGTGTATAGCACAGCCTCGGTCGCCATCCTGACACATGAAGCACCAGGCAAGACAAGCCGAGGGCGGGCGCAGATCGAGAAGTACCTCGCGTCGACCGCCTGAGCCGCCTCGGGCTGCACCGAGACGCTCAACTCGACAGGGCGAGCCAGAGTGCTGCCGCGCCGCGGCCGCGGCCTCATGGGTGCCCACTGCATAAGACGAAACGCACCTTCCGGCCTCTAATCCGAGCGCGAGGGTGGACCAGCGGCCGAAACTGAACGGAACTGGCGCGGTGCCGCTAGTCGTCGAGTGCGCTGAACAGAGCAAGAAGATGCGGGTAAGGGGGGTAAGGCAGGCAGCTTCATCTATTCATCGGATCTACGCGGAGCTGCTCCTACCGTATACTCGCCCGTGTGCTGCTACGACTCGTCTTCGTCGTCTTCGTCTTCTTCGTCGTCGTCCTTCTCGCGGGCCTCGATCTCGCTCAGCATGAGCTGGTACTTGGTCACGACGCGCTGCAACGCGCGATTCGCTGCGATCGTCGGCAGGATGTGCGACTTCAACACGTCCCGTTTCACGAGGTCCTGCGATCAATCCAGTTGTCAGTCGTGGCAGCACAAAGCAAGCGGTTCGGCACTGAGAAATAAATGAGCGAGTTCACATACCAGAACCATTGGATCCCACGCGCTGCCTTCCTCTTGTTTTGCGGCGGTGCCGTCGCGGGTTGACGGTCTACACAACGGGAAGCAGGAAAGATTACGCTTTAGCTTCGCACGAAACAACTCCCTATGCAGGGCATAATGCATCACAAGTACGTACGCGTGGAAAGGACCCATCATTTCGGCACACAGGTCATCAAGCCGAGTCACGTCCTCGTCGTGCGTCAAGAACCTCGCATACGCCTGAATCCTGTTGGTCCGCCGCGAAGCAAATATGTCAGAGGTTGTCAGCTTGAGGACTATTGAGCTCATGGTGCACAGTGCGGACGCACCAGTAGCGATATTCAGCCGAGCTTTTCAGGATGATCGCCGCGGCGACCTGATGCTCGAGATGCGAGCGTGTCACGTTGCGCTGCATCAAGGGGTCCGACATTCCGGAAAGCATGGCCGAGGCGATTCCTCTTTGCGTTCGGCCATAGCCAGAGGCATTTTGGAGACGCCGCAGCGGTCCGATCTGCCGTACGCACGCACACAAACGTTAAAGGGATTAGTGCCTCTTACGGAAAGTGTCTGCCCAGCATACAGATGAAACACACGTACCGGTACACTTTTGACCGACACCGCATCTGTGGGAAGCGCGGAAGCAAAGTCCGAGAACACGAAGCTGTCGTCTGCCACTCGCATCCTTCACGAATGGGAAATATTAGCCCTGCAACAGGAGCCACCCGCATGAATCGAAAGACCGTACCAGGAAGACATCGCCGTATCATACGTGTACGAAAGCAGGCTAGAACTGCTCTTGGTTTCGGAGTTCGACTCAGCAAACGTGATAAGCGGCATCCCCTTCGTTGTCACTTGGCACCGAAGAAGAGTCAGCTTGACATGATCCTCTGGTGTCACCTACGAAAGAACAATGAGAAAGGTCGTTAAATAAATCACCAGTTCGAATGACGTTGCAGCAGGTAGACTTACGTTCGTAATCGCCTCGATGGAGCTAGCAAGCACAAGCTTGCGCTCTGCTAAATCCCAGATTTTCAAGTCGCCCGAAGCCAGGATCACCAGCAGATAGGGTGACTCGCCCACGCTGCACTCCATTATTGAGATAGAACTGCCCAAAGCTGTAGTAGGACACGGCCAAGAGTATCAGTATCCGGATAGAGTCGTAGGAATATAACTTGCAGACGCACCAATGCACGGAAACAGTCGCCGGCCACTGCTATTGAGGACAAGAAGGTCGCCATCATGAACGCCAACTGCATAATAACTTCCATTGCCCACAGCACACACGGCCCGGCCAGGGATGCGATCAATCCACTTGACTTCGCTCCCCTCCGAGCATTGAATCGTCGAATAAACTGGGCCTAGCTCTGTTGGGAATTCAACTCGAAAGTCAGCAAACAATCCTGGAGCGACGGCGCAATTTCATAGTTCCAGACTTACCTATAATTTCCTCTGGCTGAGAATTTTTCAGGTTGTGAACAGTAACTTCTACCACCGCCTTGGAAGACGCCACTCCGGTGCTTGTTCTGCCATTCGACGTTTTGTTTGACACGTTCAATTGTGCACTCGTCTCAATCTCAACAGAAAACTGCAACCGGAACGGGAATTCGGGTAGTAACTGACCCCCATTGGCCACACCAGCGCTACTGTTTGGTCAATACAAGGCAGGATAGTTATAAGCCCCTCTGACATAAGCCACACGAAGCTAACGAACCTTTCGTTCAGCAGTTTAGGCGCTCGCACAACCACCTCCCTCGACTTTGCTACCACAGAGGTAGCTTGACTTTGGGGTCGCTCGTTCTCTCTCTTCCGTTTAAGAGAATGGCCGTCGACCCCGTTCTTTTTCGTCTCAGCCTTGGACGACTTCGCTGGTGCATCGTTGGGCGCTGCCGACGCAGCCTTCTCCTTGGTAGTGGTCCCAGCAGAGCTCGATTTGAGCGTAGCCGAATTGTTAGTCTCCGGCACGATACCAACGTCTTTTCCGTTCGTTGACGCCATCCGAGAGTCCAACAGCGTAACATCCGACGCTTTCGGAGACACGATCGTAGGGCCGAGGATATTGCGAATATTGTTCTGCGATGACGCTGGATTGTTGTTCGGCGAAGGCTGTACCTCTCCTTGAAGTAACACTGGGGCGATCCGCTTTTTGTCGCTCTTGCTAGCTCCAGTCGGCGGCCTACTCTGTGGGTTACCTGATGTCTGGGTGTCCAGCTTTTTCTTCTTCTTTGGAATAAGGGTATTCGTTGTATGGGTCACTGTTGGCGCAACAGCAGTGCTTGAGTTTCGGTTGACCGCCAAACGGGGTGAAGTCGTTGATTTTTCTTCAAGCTACAACAAGACAAAACATATTTTTGTCAGACACCAGCCTCGTCCCACACTAACTGGCACAGAAGCACCTTGAGCATACCTGAAGCTGGATAGGATTTTCAACTAGAGTCGATGCAAGCGTGATTCCCGCGCGAGATCCATACTGTATTCACCAAGGTAGCAGTCATGTCGTGCTCGTTAGATAACGCAGCGGCTGTTTACAGACTTCACTGGGTATCAAAACACTTACCTTTGCTTGCAGCAGCTTGCTCTGCTGCGCATCCGAGATGGGGGTGCCGATTTCGTCCCCTCCGAATTGAAAGCAGCAAATGGAACCATCAAGGGAACAAGCAAGCAGGAGCGACTGAGAACTGGACCACGTTAGGTCCGTGACGGACGAGTCGAAGCAGTCCTTGATGACTGCTAAGGGGCGTGCCAGATGCGCCAGCCAGATGCTTACGGTCGCATCTTCGCCGCCCACGGCACAGCAAGCAAATTCCTTGTCTGGGTCTACCTTGGTCACTACGTAGCAGCGGAAAGCAATACGGTTAGCGGGCGTCAATTTGGACGGAATCCGACTGTCCACACCTCCTTACCGAGAAGCTTTGGGTTGAATCGTGCACTTGTGACAACGCCCTGGTGGCCCACAAACTTCAAGTCATTTGTCCACGACCCACGGTTCAAAAGTGCCGCAATGTTTTTCTTGGAGCTGAAGGCGTGCGTGGCACAAAGGACAGAGCCATCCGGCGACCACGCAAGTCGGCGGAAGTGCGACGTAGAAGCACAGCCCTCAAATGGCTCGGTCACGACGTCCGACTCCTGCCAGTCGGCCACCTTCCACATCCGCACCGTCTTGTCCTCTCCAGCGCTCGACAGATACTGCACACAATCCAGTCTCGGTCAGATACACAACATATTATCTGCATCCACTTCCTGCCTGCCACGAACGCACTTTGCCGACGGGATCCCACGCGACGCCCTTGACCCATCCGTTGTGCCCCGTGAGCGTCTGCAGCGGCTGCGTCATGACCTCGCTCACGGCGCCGACGCCCACGTCCCAGATCAAAATGGTGTTGTCGATGCTGCAGGTCGCCAGCATGCGGTCGTCGGGCGACCACGCCACGTCCGCCACATCTACACCCCCAGTAGCAGCAGTGTCAGTATTACTACTTATTACCCATTAGCCACAGAGCGCTGTGACTCACCCATCGTGTGTCTCTCGAGCGTGGAGCAGCGCACCCAGTTCTGCTTGTTGGGTCTCGCGTTGGAGCCGAAGGGGACTGGCGCCGGGGCGCCCGCCTGCAGCTCGTAAAGCAGCACCAGCTGGTCGTCCGAGCCCGAGGCCAAGTAGCGGCCGTGGCCCGCCCAGCGCACGCAGTTGACGGCCTGCTGGTGGTTGGCCAGCGTGGCCAGCAGCTCGAACGTGGCGATGCCGCCCTCGTCCGGCGGCTGCAGCGACCAGATCTTGACGCTGTTGTCCCCGCCCGCGGTCGCAAACAGCTGCAGCGTCGGGTGCGCGTCCACGCCGTAGATGGCGCAGACTGGAGTTGGACACACGAGCGCGCAGCGACCAGAGCGAGTTAGAGGGTCGGAGCAGCGGCATCAGCTGCGCAGGCGTGTCAACTAGAGGATGGAAACGCACCGGTGCCCGATGAGTTCTCGTGCTTGACGTCCTCGGGCTTCTCCAGCAGCATCTCGGCCGCGCGCTCCGCCTGGCGATCGAACAGACAAGTGCGTTTAGTGACCAAAGACCTGTGTTCTGGAATATCGATGCGATTCGTGAGGATTGTCGTTAAGTACGATTTTAATCTAATTGTAGCCACTTTTTGAGATGGCTACATGGCTGCACATTGTTGAAGTTGTCGTGAGGTGAGCTTAATGCTGTGCTGCCGACTTTGGTGGGCCTCCGCGCTCTTGCTGCTGCCGTGGGCGAGCGGTGTCGCGGCGATCACGCGGAATGAGCGCGGCGCGCTGAAGCTGCTCTACTGGGCCACCCACGGCCAGCGTTGGGCGGCGCAATGGGACATTCAGAACGAGCACAGCGACCCGTGCCTCGACAGCGTACGTTGCACAGTTAAGCTGGTCGCTTGCAGTTGGTCGTAGCTTCTATCAGAACCTGGAAGTGATTTTGTGTAGTGGTATGGCATTGTGTGCGACCGCAACGGCCGCATCCGGTCCATGTAGGTGGAGTTTTAGAGTGTGCTGGAGAACGCTGCAGCTGTACTAACTTGCGGTCACCCGCACCACTCGCTGAAGACGCCTCGCTAATAACAACCTCGTGGGCGTTATCCCACCGGAGCTCCCTCGCCAAGACCTTAGCGGCCTGCAGGAGCTGTGAGTTTCCCTCTACTTTTCAATCATCTCTCCGTTGTCTTATAGAGCTAACTGAGCTTTACTTTGCGCAGAGACCTGAGCTCCAACTTCTTGACGGGTTACGTGCCTGACACTCTCTCGAAGCTCGCAGCCCTGCGCACGCTACGTCTCGATCGCAATCACTTTGTTGGTCCTGTTCCGGCTTCGCTAGCGGAACTGACAAAACTGGAATTCTTGTGAGTACTGCGTGTGTCCTGTTCACATGATCTGTTGGTTTAGTCATTATTAATTTGATTGTTGTCTTCAGGGAGCTACAAGAAAACAACTTTGACCCCGTGAACGCATACGGAGGCGTGATACCTGCCGCAGTTCAACAGCTCACGGACTCTGAAGGACAGCACTGCCACATTATCTCTTGAACACCTTAATTAAACTTAGCTAGTGCCAATGCTTGCTCAGCAGTATCGTAGAAGAAGACTTTAGAGTGCTACTAAGTATCATTTTTAGTCCGCTCGTAGGCTGGGCTGGGCTAAGTGTGCCAACCGCACCACTCCTTCTCAGTCATCGTCGTCATCGTCGTCGTCGTCGTGCTTGTGGTGGCGAAGGCTGCGCTCGAAAGCGTTGGCATCTTCTTCCATTGGCGTCACAGCCGTGGCTTCGTGTGCTTGGTCCGAAGCGCGCGTGGTGCTGCTTTTCGTGCTCATCGAAGACGCCAGCACAACAGTGGAAGCAACAACGAGGGCAACAGTAGCGAGGGCCAGCAACAGATAGTGCATTGCTGTCAGCAGGCAGGCGCCGATGCGAGAAAATTGGGGAATGAGAATGCAGACAAAACGAAGCAAGACACTGAAGAGCTTGTCGCATTCAATAGAGTTTGATGGACTTGGCGGTTGGGATCTCTTGCAACTTTCAGCAAAACTTCGGTCCCCTAACTGGTGCAACCTAGCAGCTATCGTCATCATCATCGTCGTCGTCGTCGTCGTCGTCGTCTCCGCCGAGGAATCGCCAGGGCTGGAGATTTGGTCCTGCGTATGCGAAACCATTCCCCACTTCGGTTCGCAGTTCACGCAACGAGCTTGACGGGGCGCCTTGAACATCGCGAAGGGCGAACGCGATGACAGCAATGACGACGGGCCTCAGGATTCGCATGATGAAGCTGGCAGGAAGTGTGTCGGTGAAGGGAAAATGGTGAATGGACTGTTGTTAGCCCCTGAAGCGTTCAAACTTTGGCTCTTTTCATCGAGTTAACTCGGAATCGTTCGTACAGATACAACTACATCGCTGGGATTTCGCCAGCCTCTCTCTCAAGTCATGGAGCATTTTTTTCGTCGACGACAAGCTACGATGGATGCGGGGGGACACGACATGTTGCAGTTACAGTGCCTCCACCGTTGGCGATCTCATCTGTGGAGTGCTGCCGGCCTCTTGGTACGCGTGCAGGCAGCCGTCGTCGGTCAGTTTGGACGCGCCCAGCATGCGCACGGTCGAGAAGGGATCCACCACGAGGTCGAAGAGCCCCGAGGCGAGCTCCGCGCGCGGCTCCATTCTGTAGACTCGGCCGGTCGAGTTGAAGTGGAAGCGCGACACGAAGGGGAAGTCGTACGTCTTGCCGACGAGCCGCTGCACCATCTCTTCGTCTGCCAGCAGGGGCTGGAAGAAGTGCTTGATGGTGTCGCGCGAGATGCGCAGCGTCGAGCGCCCCACGCACTCGACCGTGTACGTGCCGGGCTCGTCGCCCTCCAAGGGCTCGATCTGCTCGCAGTGCAGCGCGATCTCGGCGTGGTAGCGCGAGTAGTTCGCCCACTGCACCAGGAACGTGTCCAGGTCGCGGAACGCCGGGGACTGCACGTCCGGCAGCATCATGCAGCGCAGCAGCGACTCGGTCTCGGCCGCGTTGCTCCGTGTGGGGTCGTACCCTCGAGAGAAGCTCGCGTAGTACGCCCTCACCTTGTCGGCCACGAGGTGCGCGGCGTTGGCTTGGCGCGCCATGTGCAGCGCGAACAGCAGCGACTGGCGCCGCTCCAGGGCCGCCACCTGCTCGCGCATCCGCAGCATCTCCTGTCTCGCCAGGATCTCGCGGCGGCGCTGCGTCTGGTTGTTGTTGGGCGCTGCGCCCTGCACGCGCCAGAACTTGGCGCTCGTGGGCCCGAACTTGCTGAGCGTGCGGCAGTTCTTGGACTGGCGGCGCGCGCGGCGCTGGCGGCGGCGAGAGGTGAGGGCGTCGGCCTGCGCCGTCGCGCGAGCCACGGCCTGCTCCAGCGCCACGATTTGCTCGGGCGGCCGGGGCACGAGCGTCTCGCAGTGAGTCAGGTGATCGTCACCCGCGCGCCCGTCCGTCAGCGCGGCGACAGGCTCCGGATCGTCCTCCTCGATCGTCCAGCGCGTCCGGCTGCGCTTGTTGAGGCATGACAGCATGGCGTCCGTCCTGCGTGCGGGGTCGGGCGGAGATCTCGAAGTGAGCTCAGGAGGGAGCGAGGGACCCTATTTTAGCGCCGCCGGCTGGACGTTCGCTGGCGACACGAACGGCAGTGTGTTCTTCCACGGTCGAATGCTGATGACGCCGGCCGGCAGCGGGGGCTACTGTATCCGCAAAGCATGCTGCCGTGGCCGCCACGAACGCGCCGGCCGGCGCTCTGCTCTGCTTCGGCACGCGCATCCGCGCCTGCCGTCTGCCCCAACTACTATCACTCGCCTTCGAAGCGCTCACGGACCGCCGGCATGAAATAAAGCGGCGCCTCGGGCCAGCGCGATCGTTGGCATTTCGGCACGCGTGGCGAGAACTTGCCGGGATCCCGCTGCATACTCTTCCACGGTGGCGAGCATCGCAGACGCACGCAGCCATCGCTCACAGCTAGCTAACACCGCCGAAGTAGCAGCAGCATCATGCTGAGCATGGGAAAAGCACGCGCCTCCGTTTCCATCCCAACCTGCAAGTAGTGGGTCATGGAACATAACGCCGGCAGTTTTTTTCCTTACCGTAATTTACCACCGAGAACATTCCTGAAACCTTTCGGGACAGCAGCGATTTCAACGACCACTTGAGAGCGAGAGCCACGTCTTTTCGATATGAGGGTAGTTTTAGAACCTCTAAACCGGTCAGATCTAATGGACGTTGATTTGACGACGCCCACTTTATAGCGAGAGCCACGTCTTTTGGACCTTAGGGCGTTTCGGGACCGCTCGTTCAAACTATATTGATAAAACCAATAGAACATTACGCTAGCAGATTTTACAAGCAGTTCGGACCAGCGTCTCATCATTGGTTGAAAATCTATGTCACACACCTTCATGTTCGCTTAAGTACGCCAGAAATTCTACATCCTTCTTCCTCATTCCAGAATCTGCCGGCTCGAGGAAAGATGGTGAAGCTCTTCTGTGCGATCGTTGGTGCGGCGGGCAGTGCGTTCGAGGTGGATATCGACGAGGGTGCATCGGTTTCCGCGTTGAAGAAGGCGATCAAGGCGGAGAGCGACGGGTTGATCAGAGCTGAAGATCCTTGGACGAAGCTGCAGCTCTTCCTGGCGAAGACGGCGGACGGCGCGTGGCTAGATGGAGCTGGCGCGGCATCTGTGGCGCTCGATGAACGTGGATACCCGCAAGGCTTCGGGCAGATGGATCCCACCCTGTGGATCAAGAACCCCAAGCACTTTGGCGATAATTTTCAACCGGGTGAAGGACAAGTTCACGTGCTGGTGAAGGTCCCGGAGCAAGAACACGCACAAACTGGATTGTGGCTTGTCACTGGATCCGTTGACAACGCGTTGATCACGAAAGGAATTCGCTGCAAACTGTACTGGATGGCGACGTTACGCATTGGATACTACGATCCTACGCGCTGCATCGGCAACAAGAATGTCGCGTTTTGGTATGAAGACAAGAAATTGTGTTTTCATGTTTTATTCGAGACAAGTACGTGCCTCTATATGCTGTCGCTGCATCGTAATACTGCTTCATTGAGGGCTAACTCTGTTTCTTTTATAGAAGATGCTGCTTTGCTGTTCGAAACTGACTTGAGGACTGGGCCACAAACGCTGGGCTCTCCGTTAACTAACCAGGTTGTTGAGACGCGTGTTGCACCAGCTAACGCTGTGTCTACTGATCTCCAGCGCGTCTTCTACTGCGACTACGTTCCAGACGATTCGGAATCTCCTCAAAACACAGTTTCATCGATATCGTTGACTACAAGCGTTTCGAATCTGGACTCATCGACTGACGAGTTTCGTTTTCAGCGGATTGAGGACGCGAAGTTCTTCCTACCGTACGGCAAGGCAGAAAGCTGCCATTTGGTGTCGAGAAAGCAAAGCAGAGACCACAAACGGGAATTCGCCAAGTACGATCGCGACTCAAACAACAGGCTTGCGCTTTCTCGCGAAATGCATGGTTGGTTCGACGGTATGAGCATTGAGGTTCCCATCGTCAACATGCTACCCGGATCTGTTGAAGAGAATCAATCCATTGGCAACAGACGCAAGGTACTGTGTGAGCGCGTAGTTCTGGTGTGTGTAAGTTTACTGACATTTGCGTGTAGGTCGAGGTCTTCGTGAAGGTTCTGGATGCTCAGTGCACAGATCGCGTTTTCAGTCGTTTGAAAGGAGGATCAACCACGACGGACGATCCGCTCATGATGAAGACGTTTGTTCACGTGGAGGATCCAGAAACATTTTGTTTGTGCATGAGGTGGAAGCACGACGATAATGCGGAGCGTTGGAGAAGCTTTTGGGATATGACTCCTGCGGTCGATTGAATGGAATAATGTGGCTCCCGAGTTAAATACTTCGAAGTAGTATTTGATTTCTTGACATACTTTGATCCTGATAAATATAAAGTTAGTAATATACAAAGATGGCGTACTCTCCTGAGCAATACCAAGCTAGCAAGGAACGAATCAAAGCAGCGCAGAAGCGCTACTACCAGCGCACACGCGAAGCCCGTTTATCTTATCAAAAAGACTACGATGACAAGAATAGAGACCAGATTCGAGCTCGCACGTCTTTTCGATATGAGGGTAGTTTTAGAACCTCTGAACCGGTCAGATCTAATAGACGTTGATTTGACGACGCCCACTTTATAGCGAGAGCCACGTCTTTTGGATCTTAGGGCGTTTCGGGACCGCTCGTTCAAACTATATTGATAAAACCAATAGAACATTACGCTAGCAGATTTTACAAGCAGTTCGGACCAGCGTCTCATCATTGGTTGAAAATCTATGTCACACACCTTCATGTTCGCTTAAGTACGCCAGAAATTCTTCCTCATTCCAGAATTTCCCGGCTCGAGGAAAGATGATGACGCTTAGCTGTGCTGTCGTTGGTGCCGCGGGCAGCGCAATCCCTGTGGACATTGACGAGAACAAGTTGGTGGGCCACTTGAAGAAGGCAATCAAGGCGGAGAAGCCGAACGACTTCAAGGACGTCGACGCAGACAAGCTGCAGCTCTTCCTGGCGAAGACGGCGGACGGCGCGTGGCTCTCATCGAAGGACCCTGATGTGATTTCTATGCGAAGTGGAGGCATTCCTGAACAAGTGAAGACACTGCTGAACGTGGAAATGGACCCAGCAGATGAGATTGGCGACGTGTTTGAAGGTGCTCCAACGAAGAAGACGATTCACGTGCTGGTGGTTGCAGATCGGGAGTGCCTTGAAGTCCAGGACGCTGAAATTGCACCGCACCCGAGTCGCAAGAGACGATGGGACAAGTTGAACGAGGTTCTTGATAAGAACAAGAAAGCGAAGAAGGCTGCCGGCTCCACGGGTTTCTCGTACGTGTCGTTCCCGGAGATTGACAGCATCATGCCAGCGACCAAGTATCGACCATCGTCAAAGCCTATCCCTGACGAAAAGCTTGATGCGCTGCATAGATACTTTCCTATCTTGATCAAGGCTTTTGGAGATATCATTACTGGCAAAGAAGCAAAGCGACTGCACTTCATCGTGCCCGTGCTTGCAAGTGTCTGTGCGCTGTTCGATGGAGGCGTCCAAATCCTGGCCGAAGAAACCGTGATTGGGAAACGTGTTCACGGAGACGGAGCCTTTGATTTCGTGCTTAAGCGCGGCGAGAAACGAGTTTGCATTGTGGAAGCGAAACGTGACGATATTCAGCAGGGTCTTGCTCAAGCTTACGTGGGAAGTGAAGCACTTGCTGATGTAGAAGGACTGCCGAAAGTGTACAGCATTGTCACGAACTTCTTAGAATGGGTCTTCTCGAGAAGTCTGGATGAAAAAATTGAGCGTGCGACACCCGTGATGATGGTGATGGAGAATGACGTTCCTGCACCTGAATCAGTGAAGCAGATTGCGGGCATGATTTACTCCATCCTGTCGGAAGACAACTAGCTACGTGTGTGCTTGGACCCAGCAGTATTACAGGACCGGATAGCTTCATTTTGACGTGGCGGTCCGTCGACACTACTTTAAACTTATAATACACGATTCTGCCAATTCTCTGCTTCACCATTAATACTTGGTTTAGCTGGCAAGGAACATCGGCGATGTCACAAGGGGCAGTGACATTTTTTTCATCCTAATAAATATAAAGTTAGTAATATACAATGATGGCGTACTCTCCTGAGCAATACCAAGCTAGCAAGGAACGCATCAAAGCAGCACAGAAGCGCTACTATCAGCGCACACGCGACGCTCGCTTGTCGTATCAAAAGAGCTACGACGACAAGAATAGAGACCAGATTCGAGCTCGCAAGCGTAAACCCAAAACCGAACTTAATGGTGAAGTCGAACTTAATAATGAAACCGAACTTAATTAATTAATTAATTTTTTTTCTCAAAAAGTCAATCCCAATATAGTCAAAGACAATGGCTTAAAACCTCCAAAAAGGTATAAGCCAAATATTTGAATTAATTAATTTCAGAATATTTTGTAAATGACTAAGATATAAAGTCGATCCTGATACAAGGTCAAATCATTATAAAGTCATATCTACGGAGAATAATATAGTCAAGCATATATAGGCAACATGTTTGCATACGAACTCGAAGGATTAAAGAGATTAAATATTCAACCCATTCGATGGGGTAGTAGCTACCGTATTAAGGTACGTGGCAAGACGGGGCGCATGGTATACATTAGCAACATTTCCCACCCCACCAACCAAAAATTGGTAGCGAAGCAGTACCAGATCAGTCTAGGCAAGCTCCAAAAGAAGGTGGCTGCTGATTTCAAGGAAGACAGTAAGTACCGCTTCTACCAAGGCAAGAACATGGAGTCGCACCTCTACGAGGGAATTCAGCCTGCTGAGTTCTACGACAAGCTCGAGAACGTGCTCGCAACCCAGAAGTCTGCCTTCAAGGTCAACATCGCTCTTGGATACAAGCTTGTCAGCAGAACTGATGACAGCGAGACTCGCTACTTCCGCCCGAATATTAGCAACACGTCTGTATTTAGCACTCCTGTAGCTATCAACAGCAAGGCTGATATTCGTAAGAAGGTGATCTCGGAGATTCGCTCCATGGAGTTGGCTGACAAGCTCAACTACCCCAGCTCCGGGTACATGGTGAAGGGGATTACTGGCTTCAAAATCTATATCTACCAACGCGACCATGCTCTGGGTGATAGCGAGGCTGTCATTCCTAAGGCGATTCGTAATAACAAGCACGTCATCAACTTCCCCAAGACGAACAACAAGTGTGTCTTCCACTGCATTGCTTATCACAAGCAGGAGGGAGCCAAGAAGGATCCTCGCAGAATCCAGGCTCTGGTGAAACAAGCCTTCAAGCAGTACTGTTCGTACAAGGAGATCACCTACACTCTGGGTCTGTTCTGCAATTTCAAGCCTATCGACATTCTCCAATTCGATGAGCTTGAGGAGTGCTTCAAGCTGAACATCAACGTCTTCAACATAGATTTTGAGACGGGCAAGGTTGAATGCATTCGCTGCTCGGACAAGGACTATGATTCGATCAACATCCTGTCGCACGAGAATCACGCTCTCTACATCACGAACGTTGATATGCTCCAGCAGAAGTACCAATGCTCTACGTGTGAGATGGTGTTTGTTAGCTCTGATAAGCTACGCAACCACACTAAGAACCAATGCGAACTCGTGAACATCGAATCGTTCCCAGCTCAGCCAACCATCTACCAACCCGCTCCGAACAGCATTCGTTCCATGCTGACTAAGTACTCCATCAAGGATGCTGACCATTACATCGATCACTTCATTGTCTATGATTTTGAGGCTATCCTCAAGCCTACGGGTGTCAAAAACGGAGAGAATACTATCTTCGCAAACGAACACATTCCTGTGTCTGTTTCCGTGGCCGACAGCTTGACTGAGGAGGTGCGATGCTTTGTCAGCGATGACCCGAAGGAGTTGCTCAAGGATATGTTCCAGTACATCAAGGAAGTTGCGGCTAAGATTCAGCAGTACAACGTCTCGAAGTACGAGTCTTTGCTCCGCAAAATCATCAACGTCCATGGTTTGACTGACGCTGAGGTTCCTGGTCTAGACTTGGGTAAGACGTACAAGATGGATGATGTCAATGCTTGGACTCAGAACTGGGAGTTTGCTTGTTTCTTCGATTTCCACAGCAATCTCACATTCGGTAAGAAGCGCTCGGATTATGGCAAGCTGAAGCAGTGCATTGGTCAGGTACCAGTATTCGGATTCAACTCTGGACGCTACGACATCAACCTTATCAAGGCGGACCTGTTTGCAGTCATCGGTACTGACAACATCACATCAGTCATCAAGAACCCTGGCTACATGTGCATCGCCACATCAGACATGAAAATGCTTGACATTAGCATCTATGTTCCGGCAGGCACCAGCTATGCAAAGTACTTGTCGACATATCTCGGTGAGTGCAAGTGTGATGACAAGATTCGATGCGTCTGTGGCCTAGGAAAAGGCATCTTCCCGTACGAGTACATTACTTCATTTGACGTACTCAGTCAGCCGGAAGTCCCTCCTAAGTCGGCGTTCGACAGTGCTCTTCGTAGCACTAGCATCAGCGATGAGGACTATGCGCGGGTACAGTTCGTCTGGGAACACTATGGCATGAAGTGAATCAAGGATCTACTCATTTGGTACAACAACCTCGATGTATTACCCTTCATCAAGGCCATCAAAGCCCAGCGAGAACTATTCAAACGTTTCGAACTTGATATGTTCACTGATGGTGTGTCGCTACCTGGTCTCTCTGAGAAAGTCATGTATCAGACGTGCTTCAACAACCTCCAGCAACCAAGTAAAGAGCCTGCTGAAGCGTTTGACTTTCCCGCTAGTCGCTTAAGTGGATATAAAACCCAGGATGCTGATGCCGATCGTGAATTCAATATGACGCTAGAACACCTCAACGACTTGCTAGAGCGACAAAAGTACCTGTGTGGGCTATGCTACAAGCAACTCACAGCTGATACTGCCTCGGCTGACCGAATCAATAACAAGCTCGGACACATCGATGGTAATATCTTGATCAGCTGTGTGGGATGCAACGTTGCTCGCAAGAACATGTCGCTAAAGGGCTTCCGCCACAAGAAACTACTTGAATTCAACTCAGACAGGTTGGTGTACAGTATCGATAGAGAGGAGAAGGACATCTACACCAAGATGAAGGCGAACATTGCTGGTGGTCCTTCTATCATCTTCAACAGATACGCGAAACGCAACGAGACCAAGATTCGAGGGGGTAAGATCTGCAAAAAGATCATCGGCTACGATGCTAATGCTCTGTATTTGTGGGCACTTGGTAATGAGATGCCATGTGGACGGTTGAGTACCATCGAGGCATACACAGGGATCGTCGATGATATTGTAAATGACAAGATCTTTGGCTTCCTCGAGTGTGATATCCGTACACCAGAGCACCTCAAACCCTACTTCAGTGAAATGACCCCAATTTTCAAGAACACCCTTATCGACTGCAGCGATCGGAGTGTCATCGGTCAGAACATGTTCGAGTACAACGAGGAGCGCAAGCAAAGCCGAGCAAAGCCGGCTCGCAAACTCATCAGGAGCTACTTTGGTGAGAAGATCCTCATTTTTGCACCACTACTCAAATGGTACATTTCTCATGGCATGGAGATCACCAAGACTTACAGCTTCATCAAGGCTAGCTCTCACAAGGCATTTGCACCATTCATGGAAGCCGTATCGAGCGCGCGACGAGAGGGTGATGAAAATGTTAAATCCATCTGTAAGATGATTATTGAGAAGGTATCTGACTCTGATATGGATGATTTAGTCCAAGAGTTGAAAAAAATCATTACGAACCCTAAATCATTTGATGCGCTCATTATCGATAGATTCATGAATCGACAACCAATCCTAAGATTCATTTGGTTCTAGACTTGTTGACTAAGCTGAAAACGCTTAGTGAGGGTAGCAATAATAAGGCTATGATTGCTGAGATGATGAAACTGGTTGGTAATAGTGCGTTTGGTCGATCTGGCATGGACATGAGCAAGCACAAGGAGGTCAGGTATGAGCCGGACGATATGGCAATATGGCAATCAAGGCCAAGATTGAGCACTTCACCTTCCATGGAATGGAAGAGCTGAATGATTCATGTGAATTCACTATGAAGAAGCGAAAGCTCAACAATAAGAACCCACGATTGCAATCTATCAGCTCGCTAAGCTCCGTATGTTGCAATTCTACTATGATTGCATTGACTTCTACTTCGACCGTTCGGAATTCCAGTACCAAGAAATGGACACAGACTCGGCTTATATTGCGTTCAGCTGTGAGAAGCCATTCGTTGAGTGTATCAAGCCCGAGCTTTGTGAGCATTTTCAGCAGCATACGTACGAGTGGTTCCCACGTGATTATAGCGAAGAGATGGCTCAGTTTGATCGCCGAACGCCAGGTTTGTTCAAGGATGAGTGGTCTGGTGATGCTATGGTATCATTGTCCTCTAAGAACTACATTTGCTACCTACCAGACGAATCTTACAAGGTCAAGGTTTCAGCGAAGGGAGTCCAGCAGAGTGGTGGCCGCAATGGCGACGTCCTCAACCCAGATGGCTTTGAATCAGTTGTTCGCGATCGCATCACGCTACAGGGCACCAACAAGGGGTTTAGACTCAGTAAGGAGAGTAAGTCAATCATTACGTACACCCAGACTAAAACAGCTCTAAACTACTATTATGACAAGCGTCGTGTACTTGCGGATGGTATCACCACCGAACCGCTCGACATATAAGCAACTACCTGGCAGGGGATTTTTTGTTTTATAACCATATAGAGCGATGGATCAGCTGTTGTCCAAATTATACTATGACCCCAAAACGGGCTATGTGGGTGCCCAAGCCTTATACCAGAAGGCTAAAGAACTTGAGCCGAAGATTACGATGAAAATCGTCAAGGAATGGTACTCAAACCAGAGCGATATTCAGCGATTTCAGGAGCAGAAGAAGCGATACGATGGGTTCAAAATCGCATCGACTAACCCCAATTCATGGCAGATGGACTTGGCGTTTTGGGAGAAAAGACCAATCTTGACTGCGATCAACATCAACTCTCGCCTAGGCCACGCAAAACTACTAACCAACAAAACTGGCCCGACCGTACTAGTAGCAATTAGGGTTTTTGTCCGCCTCCATAAGGTTGACATTCTCACAACCGATAATGGTTCAGAATTCATGAACCAACAGGCTCAGAGTTTATTCAAAACTAAGAAAATTGACCATTTCAACAATGAGCCTGGTGATCACGCCAAAAAGGGTATAATTGAACGCTTCAATAGAACTCTGAAGCAGCGCCTTGTCAAAATCGAACCAAAGCGACTAACCCAGAAGCTCATAGCTGCTGTTATTGAGAACTACAATAGCAGGACCCATCGGACGATTGGTATGACCCCCAACGAAGCTAAAGGTAAGGTAATTGAATCTGAACTAGTCCACAACCAGGCTGAAGCCGAGAGGATTGAAAACGAGTTCGAGGTCGGTGAAAAGGTTTTGTATCGACTAACAAAGAAAACATTTGATAAAGAAGCAGCAAGATGGTCTAAGGCTGTGTATTCGGTGGTAGGTATTGATGGCTACCACATCCAAATCAAGTAGAAAAACGGACACACTCTTTACAAGGGGCCAAACGATCTAAAAATTGTTAAAGCAGAAACATCTGAAGCTACTATCAACAGAGGTGATATTTTAGAGGTGGAGAAGATCTTAGACCACAAAAAGATGCGATCCGGCAAGTACAAGTATCTCGTTCAGTGGGTCGGTAATGAACTTGACTCCTGGGAGCCACAAGATAATCTTAGATTAGTCAATAAGAACAAGAGATCAACCTTAGAGAATGAGTACTGGAAGTCGATAAAAAATGAGTCGAACTAGCTTCGAAATAAGTTTAATAGAGCAATCCTCTGTAAGCGTTGACTCATCTATATCTATCAATCTATTTTCCAAAAATAATGCTTAAAAATATATGACTTCATATATAGAATGTGTTGCAACTGCGTAGAGAATCAACGTGAGCTTGTACAGCTCCGAAGAAAGCTGTGAATAATTCAAGAGGTTAGTCGAATCAAAAATGAACTCAGAGATTTAGACCCAGTAGCCAATTTCCGGAAAACCGTGTGCAATCTACAGTACCGCGACCAGTTAGAAACGATATTTGGTGTGCCGTTTCATTGCATCAAGGATCGATACATCAATCTCCTCAATGAGCGAAACCGTATCTGTCATACGTATCAACCATTTAGGCATGACTCCGTTATGCCAAGCTATTGGTGAGTATGTATTTAATCGTTGCTAATATTTTTTTATGACTACCATGATATAGTTAGACGATGTTTCCCAACTTTACATCCCTCGCTCAACGAGAGCAAAAGCGGCAGGAGCTACTCGAACGAGCTGAGCGCCGAGTTCGTCAAGCCAAGTCCAAGCGCCTTATGTACGAAGGTGCATCATGGGCTAGCGATATCGCGAATGGTATCACTACTGTTCCAAAGAAATCAACACAATCCGCTCAGTCTGATATTTCGGTTGGCCCTGACGAGGCTACGCCGGAAGAGTTAAAAAAAAAGTCTGAATATTGAAAACTCCCAAAAAAAACCTGAGTCCTCAACAATGGTAGATGCTGAAGTTAATGCAACACCTGAAATGAACGATGCATCGACTACTGCAAAGCCTCAGTCCGTTGATGCTTCCAGTACTGCTAAGCCCAAAACCAGTGATGGTTGGGTCCACGTGAGCCCCGATATGACTGATGTTGGAGTTGATAATAGTGCAAGAATGACAGATGCTGGTGTTGGCCCTGATAGTCCACTGCCGCAAAAGCCCGTCGAAGAAGATTTGTTCGACGAAGGCAATGCTGAGATGAAAAATCAAACAAAGTCAAAGGAAGCGGTCGCTAAAATCTTCGAGGTTTACCCCATCCTTGCAGAACTAAATATTCACCCTATTGCTTCCAACGGCCGGCAGCTTACTAAGTATTATATTGGGATGGATGCTAAGGTGTACAGTATTAAACTGAGAAAATATGTACTAGTTCATTGATTGGTCTGAGAGGTATGACCATATTGGTGAGGTATTAATTAATGATGTCAGATTCCTCGCATACGTCAATGAGAAGGAGCGACGTAATGAGATGGGTAAAGAGGACAAAAATAGCCCATACCAGGTTTGGCAAAATATTGGCTCAAAAAGAAAAAGAATCAATGCCTCAGAAGGAGATTATTCAAACCGCTCTATGCAGAGACTTGACGACAGTTTTGTGTTCGATACTGGAACATCCACAAGATCCGATCAAATGGACAGCAAGATTAAATTATTTTTTGGACAATTAGCAAAAATTGGGAAGTCCTTGAATCTAACGGATTGATAAAGAAGATTGTACCAATTCTTAATGGTTCCGCAAAATCTTCTCCTATTGACAAAGATGGCTATGTTTGGATCAATGGCAATAGCATTAGCGTTTACGGGAAAGATAGCGATCGTGTGAAGCAAGCAATCACTCAGAAAGTGAACTGGATAATGACATTCCAATCTTTCATTAATATGACTAAAGCCAGGGGCCTCGAGTTAGAACTAGTTGGTAGCAATGAAACCAAACACATAAATGATTTTACCCCAGCTAATGGTGAAGCTCAGCATGGGTTAATGAGTGGTTTTGATGAAGACATGGACCCAAGCCTATCAAACGCTGATAACGAAGCCAAGAATATCTTAACTGATTACTACAGCCAGTTGCACGCTGATAGTATTGATATTCCATTTCGGCTACAACCAATCGTGAAAATCAACGGTGTTGTTAAGTCCCATCCATCATACTACTTTGGGCAGCCATCGGGGTCTAGACCCCTAAATATTTTAAATCGTGAAAACAAAGCACACAAGCAGGTGAGTGGTGTAGCTTGGAAGGGGCTAATGAAGAATATCATGTGGATGGATACCTTTTCGTCCCTACTCAACGGGGTTGAGGACTTGGACCGCTATCTTAATGAGGTTGAATAACCCTTCCCATCGAGCGATGAAGAAGCAGCTAAGATACTTGAAGAAAAGGAGCTTGATAAGAAAAGACGTAAAAACCTGGATGCTAATCTTGAAATATTGAATGAGGCTATTCTAAAGTCTGTACACGATATTAGACAGCATAGCGTTGAAGAGTATGAATACGATGACAGCTTGCAAAAGCTTCATGATGGGTCAGAAGCAGCTTTTCAGACATACGGTGAGGCTCAGAAACGCTATGAAGAAGCAAAAGAGGCTGGTAGAGGGAATAACTCAAAAGCAGCGAGATCGGTGTTGAAGGCAGCTACATCAGCTATGAAGGCGACAAAATCAATATATCAAACGAAGGCTAAGCGATACGCCGAGGCAAGCGAGGTATCCGGCAGTGGCGTTAAACGAAAGCTTCAAGGTCGAGGATTGCGCGGTGCAGGTGTTGCCCCGCTGGAAGGTGTAGTTAGTTCGCCGAGGCCGTACCTACAATCTCAATGAGATCCAAGGATTAGCAACGCCGTCAGCCTACACATACAAGCAGATCGGAAGCAAGTATATTCGTATCCCCGACCTTGATGCTAAAAAGCTCGTGATCGTTCAGCCGAATCGGCGTAAATGTGGTCCTAAGTGGGAAATCAGTGATAGCCTCCAAGCCATGATCAAGGCACTGGTCTATAAGAACCGTATCGATCAATCCGCTTACGATAAGCTTAGCGTTGAAGATAAGAAACTGTTCAAGGAGGTTCTATTGATTACTCATCTCCAATACAGCTTCCACGATAAGTTAGAGGATCCTCTAGATACGCTTAGGGCTGAATACGATAAGCTAAAAGGAGAGCTACAACTCGGAAATGACAACCCCAGTATCATCAAGCAGCTCAAGTCTCTCACGGTGGATATGTACAGCAATCGACTGATTGATGATAAAGAGTTCAAAGATATTATCACCCGTTTATTATAAAACCATGTTCTTCTTCAACTCGCGCATTATATCCATTTCCGGAGGCAGCTATGGTGACAATAGCGACCTCAACGTCGCTGAGTTGAAAGCTATCATGAAGAACCTCATCATTCATGATCGTCCCCAGAAGACCCAAGCCGCTTTGTAGGCTACTTACCTCGACAAGTCGACCAAGAAGGTGGAGGCATCTACCCAAACGGAAGGCGGCCGAGTCTGGGCTTACCAGCCAAAAAAAAAGTCAAAGTCTGTGAAGACATTTGCTCTATAGAGCAGAGCGGATATACTTAGATGTCTACGTCTGTTTTCTTCTCTCGATAGAGTCTGATTTTTTTTTATCTCCGATATCGATAGCCATGACAGCATTCTTGCCTGTACATTGGGATATAAGCATTATTCCCTATCGAAACCACTTCAGAGTGCATCGTTATTGAACCGATGACTTGGCCAGTTTCAGGGTTAGTCAGGTTCTTTTTGATCGTTTTACTTGGTCCGCAGCCCATGATACTCTATTACAACGAAGTACTCAAGATCTGTTCTATATTTATCGGTGCGAAATTATCCCTGAGCCAATATCATATATAACCCTCTCGTGGAATTCGACAATTCGATCACATTGTAGTTGATCAGTATCAACGACATTAGCGTTAGTAGTCTGAGGGCAAGCGGTCTTCGCCACGAACTGGGTTTGACAGATACCATTCTATATTTACTCAGAAATAATCGCTCTCAACTCATTGAGTTCATCTTTGAGATTATTGATTTGGCCTTGCTGTTCTTGGATAGATTTACACAGTACCGAGGTTAAACTGGCGAGATCGATTCCCCATGGATTCACTGGAAACCCATCCGGATTAAGTTCATCGTTTGCTCCGATATCTACTGCTTCTGGTATGACCCTATACAGCTCCTGCGCGATATAGCCAACATGGACAGTCTGCTCTTGAACCATCCTGAATTTTCTAGGTCTCATTCTCATAAGGCTTGCCAAACCATAGGGACAGTCTACAATGTCCGCCTTCAACCTCTCATCGCTTGCATTGGTATAGCTTCCTCCACGCACCGGGACATAGGCTGTCCACGCGTAATTAGCATCGCATTTTCCCAACCTGATAGCTCCTACGGTTGAATCAGTACCAATCGCTGGATAGTCAGTCTGAGACCAATTGAATCGATACCTAGCAAATCCATCGCCGCCTCCCTTTACGTGCATGAAATTATTCGCCCATACGTCTCCGCCTGAGTGAATGGTTGCTTCTGGCGACCACGTACTCATACCAACACCCAGTCTTCCTGAGCTGTTTAGATAAGCTTGAGTTGTGTTTCCAACCATGAACCTTAGCGGGTCGCTCGTAGTGGCGCCTAGAGCTACACCACTACTTCCTCCCGCGACATCGTTGTATACCTGAATTTCAAATTCGATTGGAGTAGTAGCATCGTTGGCTATACGCATTGCGCGTTGCCAAGACCCGCTTAGTAAATCGCGCTCGAAACTATATCTATTTTTGCAGTACTGGTAGCTGATCCAAAGCGAATGTATCCTGCTTGAGTGATTCTCATACGTTCAGTCATTGGTGATAATGCATTAGCTCCTGACCGTGTACTGATTGCAAAATCAGTCATTGAATATTGAAGACTCGTAGCGGTTCTAGTACAATATCGATTAACGCTAGGGGTGTACGTTGTCATATCACTAGTACCTTCAATCGTGAACGATAATCCGGCCTGAGCGCCAACCGTATTGCTTTGATTACGAATCATGAGATTAAATTCAGAGGCACGCGTTGTTGATGTAAATGATGTCCCGGCCGCAATCTGACATTGGGTAGAAGTAGTGGATATCAGATTGGTTGACGTTAGAGATGAAATACCTGATGAGATGCTACTATTAGAGTCTAGTACAAGAGCCTTTGATGCTTCTGCAGTTCCTGCTCCGGTGGTAAGATCTAGATAGTTCAGCTCAACGGTAGATGCTGCGCATCCAGCAAGCTTGTTCAGCTCCGCACCTGTAGCATTGAGAGTATCTCCCCTGAGTTGAAGCGTAGTAGGATTGATATTCAAGGTCGTTGCATTCATAGTTTGAGTACCTGACTTACTAATCGTATCACATGTGATCGTAGGCGATGATATTGAAGTCGAAGCTATAAAGTTTCGTGATATGGTTAGATCGCGAATGCCTGAGTAATCTTTCGTACTATTGAGAACCACAACGCTACTGGCTGAAGCGCCCCCTTCGATAACATTGAGAAAGTAAGCATGATTGAAATTTATCCAAGAACTGACTCCATCCCAAAATTTCAGATTCGGAATGAATAAACCGGTTCCACCAGCGCTAAGGGTTAGATTGCTAAGCGTACCTAGACTAGTAATATTAGGCTGAGCAGCGGTTTGTAGCGTTCCTGTTATCGACGTCGCTGTGAGCGAGCTCAGGGTTCCTAGGCTGGTAATGTTGGGCTGAGCAGCTGTTGTTAGCGTACCCGATACATTACCCGAGCAATTTACAGCGGTTAGAGTACCTAACGATGTTATATTAGGCTGAGCAGCAGTCTGTAGCGTACCAGTAATGTTAGTTGCAGTTAGCGAGCTAAGACCTGTAATGGATCGACTTGCACCAGTAAAGGTTAAACTGCCTCCGATAGTCAATCCAGTAAGCGTACCTAAGCTGGTGATATTTGGTTGAGCAGCCGTCGCTAGCGTTCCATTGATGTTTCCACTCACGGTGAGCGACGAGAGTGTCCCTACACTAGTTACGTTGGTCTGAGCAGCAGTTGCCAATGTACCAGATATGTTTCCACTCACGGTGAGGGCCGATAGCGTGCCTAAGCTAGTAATATTAGGCTGAGCCGCTGTCTGCAGCGTGCCAGTAATCGACGTTGCCGTCAAACTACTGATAGTAGCAATTTCACCTGATGCACCAAGCACCAGAGCTTTGTTGATAGCGGCAGTACCTGGAGTAATATTAGCTACATACGTTGGTACGCCTGAAACGGAAGCACCATTAACAGTTAGGCTACTACAGCTTAGTGCTCCAAGACCGCTGATGTTCCCACCACTTCCAGGGACAAGCGCTACACCAGGTGATGCTACGCCTTGAGAGACACCGGTAATGTACGTCAAGCGATAGTCATACTTGTTCAGATAAAGAGTCTGAGCATAGTCATACGTTAGAAACTCGCTGGCATCCAATTGGAGAAAGAATGCCGGATTATAAATCGGCGATGTGAATATCGGGCTAGGATAAGAAAAACCTGAACTCATCTTTGTTTGATCCTATATAGTTTAGACGATAATCATGAGCGGTATTCCAGATTTCGGAGCTTCAATCCCTAAAAAATTCAAAAGCGCCTCTATGGGTGATTTTCCAGCACCTGACATCAAAGCGCTGTTTAGAATGGTGGTTCTGGGGCCATCGTTCTCAGGGAAGAACAACTTATGTATGTTCATCCTCAAGCATTCTCCTCACGTATTTGCTCATCTAACGATCATGCTCGTAATCCTCACCAGGAGTTATATGAGTATCTTCGTGATAAGCTTGATGGCTTTATCACATTCATCGACCCTGACTCGCCTCCGAGTGTTGAACGGGTACGTCATACACCAATTAATTCCAATAAGCCTGAGCTGGTCATCATCGATGACTACAGCAACGATAAGCTTCTTCAGAAGAATTTGTTCTCACATTACTTCACTAGAGGGCGCCACTTCAAGCTATCAACCATCTTCTTGAGCCACAGCTACTTCGCAACGGACAAGATGATCAGATTGAACTCAGAGTACGTAGCGATCCTGAAAGCTAATTCTAAGCGAGACCTCCAGATGGTTGTGAAAGATTTTAATATCAAAGGAGTAGATGAGCGTTCAATCGTCTATTATTACAACAAAGCCACGGAGCGAAAGGACCAAATGCTCTTCATTGATTCGGTCAAGTGTCAGATCAGGTATAACTTCGATAGACCGATTCGTATCGAGGAATAATTCCAATTTATCAAACAAAAATATGCCTACAAACATATAATCAATATGTCTAGCTTTATCAAACTCGACAGCACCAATCTGGTACAAGATGGAACCAATTCAACCTGGAAATACTCCTTTCCCGGATCGGCGGCTGACTTCCGCGATGTAGTATGTGCCATTCAATCGATTTCGATGTATAACAGCGAGTATAATATTGATTCAATGCAATTTCAGAACACAACGTTCAAAATCGAAGTACCTACCGCTGCAACTACATCAACAATCAGTGTATCCCTACCTGATGGTATTTATTCGTATGACGATATCAACCGAAGCATTCAGACTGCTCTTGTCAATGCTGGGGCGTATCTAATCGATCCGTCGGGGAATAACGTATTCTATATCGAAATGAGTGCTAACAGTGTCTATTACGCTTGTCAGCTTGATTTATCTCCTACGCCTACAACTCTACCAACTACCGGTGGAACATGGACCAGAACCTACCTCCGGTTTATACTCCTCTGGTGGTACTGGATTGCCGACTACTACTCGCGTTCCTCGACTGATCATCGATAATGCTGAATTCGGTAAAGTAGTTGGTCTCACAGCGGGTACATACCCCTCCACATCAGCTACTGTTGCAAGTGCTCAGCTATCGAACACCATTCCTCAGATTCACCCGACCAGTTCCTACATCGTTCGTTGCGATCTGATCAAAAACGAATACGTGGATTCTGGTGATATTGTCAGTGCTTTTGATAGAGGTGATGCCGCTATTGGAAAGGTCATTTCATACAAACCGAGCCAGTATGCGTGGATGAACTGTCATAATGGCGCTCGAGCTAGTATTACACTCAGTATCTATAACCAAAATGATAAAAAAGTGATTTTCAGAGATACGTCGGTATCCATCATGCTTCTGATTCGTCCAAAAAAAAAGACATCCAGAGTATTTTGTTGACGGCGGCTACAACGTAAACGAACCACCAGTCTTACGACGTGCCCTGAGCGCAGCCATCTTAGCCTTCATCTCTGGCGAACCCTTCCCTGGACGTTTCTTTGCTACGCCTACACCATAGCGGCGACGAACCTCCTTTCGCACAGATCTGATTAGATCCTCATGTTCCGGCTTGGTAGCTTTTGATAGTAGGAACTTCTCTCCAGCATCGACCGCGTCGGTGATGACCCCCTTGCGCTTCGTGTATGCAAGAGCATTCTTTGCAGCCTTCTTTACGTCAGCCATTGATACGCGACCTCCTTCCTTGTCGCTATCGGAATCATAAATACCAATGCCGGTTAGGGACTTGATTGCAGCTCTGGCTGGAACAGCAGCCGTTGGCTGACCAGCATAAGTAGCTAAAGCAGGAACCGCCGCATCAACGGCTCTGCATAGTAGACCTGAATCCTTAGCAAATTTGTATGCAGACTTGATCCCTCCCCATACTTTGGACCAGATAGAGCCTCCTTGAGCCTTTTTGTAGCCCTTCTTCACTTCGTGCTTGGTAATGTCGAGTCTGACAGCGCGTCCAGCTTTACGAGCCTTGAGCGCCTTTTCAAACGAAGCAGGGTGGAGATGGATGACTGAACCACTACCCTTTAGTTCGCTTGAGGTGAGGCTAAGCTTACCAGTCTTGAAAGCTTTGGTAAGCTTCCGCGCAGGGATATCACTGGAGATTGTTAATTCGCAATACATGATTACTATATACGTTGAATTAAATTTATTCCAGAATTGTCAAATTTAGATCTTTCATTGTTTTGAATACATCTGGCTTACGGTATTGCTTCGAATATAGCCATAGGACACAGAATGGTCCACAGTAGTCTCCATAGGATCCTTGGTATTGCTTGGTGTTCTATCGATCGATACCATACTTCTTTGGTGGTCCTTCCCCTATACTATCGAATAATTCACCATTATGAACCGCCATCCAGTGTCCTACCTCAAGATTAGGAGGGCGAAGTAGAATCAGAAATGACCCTTTCTTGGGGAGATGGGACTTTATTTCATTTGATTCGAATATATTATCGAGTTGAACGTTCATTTTCTCAGCGAGTTCGATGAGATCATGATCTGAGGTGATTGGCTTGATGAGGTGCGACATAATATTTAATTTTATCAAACTATATTAGGATCCATATAGATTCAACGATGAGCGAAACTCAACTATCCGATCAGTACTTGTACCAGAGCTCGCTTAAGAGCGACCCAAGGTATCTTCGAGCAAGCGTGTACCGCACGTTATTGACCTAAATCAGGGTTCGTACCAGAATGGTGTCATCACTATCGATGCTACGGCTCAGCTTAACGGTTCCGAGGGCTTCGCAAGCCTTCGTGATGCCTACGTTATGCTTCCCTACAAGGTGTCAATGAAGAATGGTGGCACTGCTCAAACTGCCGCTATGTGGTACTCTAAAATGCGGAAATTGGAACGTTGTTGATAGTCTGAGTCTGGAACTAAACGGAAAGACTATCGTCTCTATGGCTGACTACAAGCTCTTTTGGAACAACGTTCGTGCTCATACTGGCTACAGCCCTCAGTACGTTGAAAAGCACGGAGCTGAATCGTTCTTGTACCCTGACGCTGCTCAGTCGGTATCATACAGTTCTGGATCCGCATCTACCAGTGGTGATGGATATTCAAACACCATGGCATTCTCGTCTTCTTTTGCTGTCTCGGCTCCTCCTGGTGGTGCAACTATTCCTAATGATGGTTTCGTTAAGCGCCTTCTATCGAATCCCCCTACGGCTGGCGCTGACTTCTCCAGCTCGTGGCCGTCGGTAGGTGGTGCTGCTGCATCGACTACCATTTCTAACCAGACCTCGCGTGGAGCTTTCGTAGCTGGTGGTACTGCTGCTAACGCAATCATGGGAACGTGGAACTACATGCTTAAGATTAAGCTCACCGATCTGCATCCTATCTTCCGTGAGCTTGACTTGATGGCTAACCCTCAAATTCGCCTGCGTTTCCGTGTGAATCAGGGAACGTCTGTAGTCGCGGTAGATGCTTCAAAGGGTATGTCGCTAACCTCTACTACTCTATCGTCTGGTAATAGTTGTCCGGTCATGATTGCCGCTTCTGCTACCGGTAATCTGATGAATGGTGCATCTGCTGGCTTAAGTGTTGCTTGGGGAGCGGTTGTAAATGCTCTTGAACCTACCATCGATGGTACATACATGCCTTTTACTACTGCTCGTTTGTATGTCCCTTTCGTTCATCTTGAGAACCCTCAAGCTATTATCTCTAAGCCGGTTAAGAAGGTTTGCTACAATGATTGCTACGCACAGTGGTTTTACCAGCGTGCTGGTATTGGTAAGTCCTCGACTCAACTAAATGCTTCTTTCGATTTACAGCTATCGGCAAGTGTTAAAAACGCGAAATATGTTGTGCTTTTACCATTCGCGGAACAGACAAACAACTTTGCTTCTGCTACTGTTCAGCAGTTCCAGAGCCCCTTCGATAGCTCTCCATACACGCTTCAGCCCGGGTCGTCGATTCGCAACTTTAACGTTCGTATTGGCTCGACTCAGGTGTTCGATATCAGTCATGATTATGATTTCCACCACTTTACCGACGAAATTGCTAAGATTTCAGCGATTAACGGAGATCTAACCCCTGAGCTCGTAAATGGTCTACTTGACTATCAGACGTGGTCGCTCACAAACCGCATGCTTATTGCCGATGTCAGACGCCTGACTGAGCGCGATGTACCTCAGGCTATTCAGATCCAAGGTACGAACGCCGGATGCCAAGGTGTGAATATGCTGATCCTCGTAATTAGCGAACAGGAACTAACGTTCGATAGACTAACCGGAGAGGTTCTAGACTTCACTACAGCGTAAGTAAAAAAAGATATTTTTCACGAATTGACTTTTTCTTAGCCAATCGAGATAGCCTGGATCCAATTCACTGATCTGCTGTAAAGATTTGCCTCGATGCTTACCCCACGTCATCATATAGGAGTTATCGTTATTTAGGAATCTTGAGTGAAGAAAGATTTTCATTTCCTCGCTAATGTTGAGACTGGGTTGGTTGTGAATCCAACGACAGTATCCAGGATCATTCTTGAATACATCCTCAATGGATTGACCTTTGTATTTTCCGAAAGATAGTTCGATCGTCATGGGTATCTATATACATAGCCTCTTAATTTTTTTGAAAAAAATTTAATTCTGAAAATGACGTCGTAATGTGCCAGTAATTATTGGGAGTTTCATCTTACCCTCGCATGTGCGACTACAGGGTCGCGCGTCTGGTCGCTGGCTAACGGACGCCTCCTCGAGCTCTGAGGTGGTTGAGAGGTCGTGTAGGTAAAACGGACGACTATCCACAAAGATCGTTCTAGCACCGTTCTCGGAGGTAAAGTACGGTAAGAAATTATGAAAATAAAAAACTGCCGGCGTAATGTGCCGCGACCCACTACTCCTGCTCTCCTCCACGACGCTGTTCGTCAGCTGCAACGCGCGCTGCTGCGCGTGCCCATTGAGGCTCACCCGGTCCTGTTGCGCGCCTTGGTCGACTGAATTGAGCGTGAGCGTGATCGCCGCTTGGTCAGTGGTGTCTAGCTGGGCTTGACGCGGCCGGTTAAATGGCCAGGGGGGGCATTGATTAAGGTCAGAGACTCGCTGGGCAGAGCAACTGACACCACTTTAATCCACTTTAATCGAAATTGCCTTTCTCACACGTCGCACATTTCGGGGCGCGTCAGCCACTCATTTTGGTTTTTGTATAGGAGACCGACCGATGAGCGAGCTCTACAAGGAGGCGGCGGCGCTGCTGCACAAGCTGGAGCTGCGGCAGGGCGGACTCAAGAGCCTGGCGTACGCCGAGTCGACGGTGCACAAGCGCAGCTCGTTCGCGCTCGTGTGCGAGACGCTGCGCTACAAGCCGCTGCTGCGCAAGCTGCTGGCGGCCGTGCCCGAGTGCCACAAGGCGCTCAAGACGCCCAAGACCGCCAAGGAGCCGCCCGCGCTCGTGTTCGTGGCGCTCTACGACCTGCTCTTCGGCCGGCAAAAGATCCAGGGCGGCGGCTACGTCAAGAAGGCGCTCGTGCAGCACCAGACGGCCTTCCGCGCGGCGCTGGCGCGGTTCAAGATCAAGCGCAAGGTGGCGTCCAACGAGGCGCTGCTGCCGCCCGAGAACCGTCAGCAGCACCTCGCCCTGCCGCGCTACGTGCGCGTCAACACGCTGCTGGCGTCCCCCGAGGAGGCCGAGGCCTTTACGCGCGAGTACGACGCCAAGCAGGACCGAGATGTGCGCGATCTGCTCGTGCTGCCCTCGGGCACGGAGCTGCACGAGCACGAGATGGTCAAGAGCGGCAAGCTCGTGCTGCAGGACAAGGCCAGTTGCTTCCCGGCCTTCGTGCTGCACGGAGAGCACGCCGACGCCGAGGACAAGCAGGGCGACGTGATCGACGCGTGCGCCGCGCCCGGCAACAAAACCAGTCACCTGGCCATGCTGCTGCAGCAGCAGGATGGAGACGGAGAGGACGGCGCTGAGCCCAAGCGCCACGTGTTCGCATTCGACCGATCGCCCAAGCGTCTGGAGCTTCTCAAGCGGCGCATGCAACTGGCCGGCGCTGCGACGCGCGTGCAGGCCGAGCTGATGAGCTTTCTCGAGGTCCCCGTGGACGGCGAGAAGTACCGCAACGTGCGGAGTATCTTGCTCGACCCGTCGTGCTCTGGGTCAGGAATGACGAATCGCTTGGATCACTTGCTGGACATCGCGAGCTCGCGTGACACGGTACTCGAACCGGAAGAGGGCGCCGAGTACGAAGAAGACACCGCCAAGCGCCTGCAGTCGCTCGCAGACTTCCAGCTGGAGGCTCTGCGCAAGGCGTTCTCGTTCCCGCAGGTGGAGCGCGTGGTGTACTCGACCTGCTCCATTTTCCAGAAGGAGGACGAGGAAGTTGTTGCTGCGGCCTTGAAATCGGAGGAAAATGTCCGCGCGGCTCGGCCGTTTGTGCTGAAGCCTGCTCTGACATCCTGGCCGCGTCGAGGACTTGAAGTCGCGGGGCTGTCGGCGGAGCAGGCCAAGACGCTTGTTCGGGCAAATGGTCTGGAGGACTCCACGAATGGCTTCTTCGTGGCTTACTTTGAGCGGGCTGACAGAGTTGGCGGCGAGGCGGTAGCAGCAGCAAGCGACGATTCTGACAAGAAAACTGAGGCACCAACGACCGCATACGTTGAGTCTACTGAAAAGGAGGGACTGGCTGAGACTGCTGCTACTGGTAAGAAGCGCAAGGTGCTGTCTGCTGCTCAAAAGGAGAACCGCAAGCGTCGGAAGCGCGAGAAGCGCAAGAAGAACGGCCATGCCAAGTCAAACAAACCGAGTAAAGAAGAGGAAGAGGAAGTGGAAGAGGAGGAGGAATAAAATGTCTCATATTGTTATAGCGAGTAGGTACGTTCGAGTTGTGTATAATTGCAATGGTTCCTTTGCTTTGAACGTTCAGGTGTGTTTCATAAGTGAGGGAGTTCTACTACTCGTTGAAGCTGCTGCTGCTTGAGCTGCAAGATCTCGTACGGTTGATGGCCACTCTCCATTGTAGTGCCTTCAGACGTTGCTGAAAGTATTCAACCGACTGCGCCCCCTTCTCCCGCTCAATCTCCTCGAGTTTGCTGTTACTTTGGACTGCAACGAGGTCGTATTGCCGGCGAGCGTTAAGCACCAACCCGCTCTTGGCATGCAGTCGGCGGTTGTTCGACGCCATTTTGTCCTGCTTCTTCCGAAGCCACTCCACGCGCACACCGTCCTCTTTCCGTACGTCTCCAGTGACTGCCGCCATGGCCAGCTCCAACTCCTGCAAGTAGTTGATGCCGCCAGTGCGCTTTAAGGTACGCACTTGCCACCGCGCGCAAGGCGACAGAAGAACCGAGCTTGCGGTCGCGCTGCCACTGCTGTCAGTGCGACGATGCCTCTGTTGCTTGTTGCCGTTTTCGTGACCATTTCTGTGAAGGTGCAGTACTTCTGAAGGCGATTCGCGTGTACCTGAGGATACGCGCATTCCTACACCGCGCTTCATGTCTTCATCGTACACGAGGGCGAAATCACTGAGCACAAGGTACACAAGTGAGCAGTTCACCATCGCGTCATTCACGTCTTGCTCGCTGTCGGCCCCACCAGAGCTTTCCACCTTCGCCACTTGTTCGTGCTTTCGAGGGGTGTATCTCACAAATCGCCAGCGCGCCAACCGCATAATGCCATCGTTAGTTTCCACGGCATACTCGCGCGTGGCGGCGTCATCACCGTAGTATTCTTTCGATGGTGTCAGCGCCTTCATTGCCACAATGCGAAAGCGCTTGTGCTTACTTGGATCCGTGGTGGTTGGAACCACCGTAGATTCTCCGTCGTCAAGCCACCCCGGACAGCCAAGATAATAGCTTGTGTCACTGAGAAGTGAAGTGAAGTCATCTCCATCGCCGCCGTCTTTCGTCGGGTCCAAAGTTTCATTGCGCAGTGATAGAGCTGCTGGGTCGACACGGAGCCAAAATTCGTCCGTGGCCGTGACCTCGTCGTAGCGAGACGGGTTGCGGAAGTCAACCTGCGCAGGAACACGAAACGAAGTCAGAGGTTGCAGAAGCCCTGATCCACCACAAAGGTAAAACAACGCACAATAGTGAAGGTCATGTGGGGACCAGCAGAGCTGTCTTTTGCGGGACGGCTGCGGCCATCAGACCCGATAGCGAGGGGCAAGTCGGAGCTGGAGGAGAGCAGACAAATTTGGTCGCCAAAGTGGATCGGCGTCTTGGTCGACGTATTGCCGTCCTGCATCCCAGCACTCCTGTAGCACACGAGCAATTAATACTGTTAGATCCTGTGACCAGTTGAAGTGAGCAGGAGCGGCTCGTGCCGAGACGTACGGGTGCACACGCTTCTGCGTCGAGGTGTTCACTCCATCGCGCTTGAACTGGAGGAAGGCCAAGTGCGCGTTCTTGATCTCTCTATACACCGGCGGCGGGGGTGGTGCCAACGACTTGGCTTGCTCAAACGCGCGTCCGCCTCGAAGCAGCGCCATGGCCCGCACGAGCTTCTCTCGCAGCGACTCACGCACCGCCGGCGCCTCCTCCTCACTCTCCATTTCCTTGAGCGCAGCAGCACAGACCGCCGCCAGCTTCTTGAGCAGATCGGCCTTTGGGACGAGCGCGGCGCGGCGGTTCTGCAGGTGCATGGTCTCCTCCCTGTAGATCTTGTTGGCCATGAAGTTCTGGTACTGCTCGAAGGACGTGGCGGCCTCGGACACCTGCACGCGGTCCTTCGCTAGGCGCGGCAGGGCGTTGCGCCGCCGTCGAGCTCGGTGGTCGTCTGCGCACTCTGCATCGATGGCCCTGCGGGTGCGGCGCTTGGACGCGACTGCGAGTGTCGGGGCTGGCGGCAGCAGTGGCAGCGAAGTGGAGGAGCGGAGCGGCAGTGGCGGCTGGCTCAGCTGCTGCTGCTGCTGCAGCACGTGGAGCAGGCTGTTGCCGGCGCGCACCCGCACGACGCGCTCGCGGCTGCGCTCCACGAGGTCGCGGTGCAGCTCGCGCTGCGCCATGGGGTCGTTGCTGGCAATGGCATATTGCGCGCAGTACACGATGAGACTTCAACCTCTTGACCTGGTCAAGTTGATGTAGCCATCGAGGACGTGGCGCCTACTGTACACAGCCGATACACAAAAGTCTAAAAGACCAAGATGTTGAAAAATATAAATTTGACGGAGATTTAGAGAAAGAGGACCGCCCGCCGCTGCGATCTTCCGGCGGAGCGGCGCGCTCGTCGAAGGCGACACCTTGCCATCATAGAATATACCGGAGCTACGATTCGTTACTCGTTGCATGTGCACCATCCACCCATCGTCTGTCTGAGCTCTGCGCGATACCAACTTACACTGAACCTTCCACGACGCTCGACTTCTTCTCCTCCTCCTCCACGGCGGCGTCCTCGGTGAGCGCCGTCACGCCGGCCTCCACGTCCTCGTCGCTGTCCTCGTCGCTGTCCGACTCGGACGCGGCGTCGTCGTCCACGTCGGCCTCGACCTCAGCGTCGGCGGCGCCGTCCTCCGCCAGCACCGACTTCTCGGACGCGCGCTTGCGGCTCTTGGCAATGGCCACACCGGCCACGCCCACGATGCCCACAGCCGCGCCGATGAGGCTGCCAACGAAGGCGCCGTTGTGGCTCTTGTCCTCGATCCAGTCCTTGGCCTCGGTGGCGAAGGACACGCTCTCCTCCTTGGTCTCGGTGGAGGCGGTGGCCACCTCCTCCTTCTTCTGCTCGGGCGCGGCCTCCTCCTCCTTCTTGGGCTCGGGCTGGGCCTGCTTCTTGGCGCGCGGCTTGGCGCCCTTGATGATGTCCAGGTCCACGTTGCCGCGGTGCACGCGCAGGTGGATGGACTTGGCGCCCTCGGGCACGTCGATGACCTCGTCTACGACCTCGTCGTCCTCGAAGTCGAGCTCCTGGCTGTAGTCCTCCGAGTCCTCCAACTCCAGGTCCACGGAGCCGTCCTCGAACTGGATCTCCGTGTCCAACTCTCCGCTGGCGTCCAGGCTGGCGTCGGCCGAGAAGTCCAGGTCGCCCGACGAGCTCAGGTCCAGGTCCTGCTCGCCCTCGCCGCTGTAGTCGAGGTCCTCGCCGGGGCCCAGGTCCACGTCCAGGTCGCCCTCGCCGCTGAAGTCCAGGTCCAGGTCCTGCGAGCTGGAGATGTCGAGCTCCTCGGAGCCCTGCAGCGTCACGTCGGCCGAGTCCGAGCCGTCCAGGTCGTACGAGTCGTACGAGTCGTAGGACTCCGAGTCGTCGCCAGGCGTCGCTGGGGGCGCGCCCTTGGGCTGCTGCACCACCTTGGGCGCGTACTTGGTCGTGTGGTGGATGCCCGACAGCGCGCGGCGCGGGTGCGGGCGCAGCGCCGACACCTCGCAGGCGGCCAGCGTGGACGCGCACAGCGCCAGCGCCAGGGTCTTCTTCACGGAGAGCACCATATCTTCCCAAATAACCGCTAGCACGCAAGTCTCGTAGTGAGCACCTCGCGCAAAGGCGGCTCACCTGGAAAAAAAATCAGGTTTCCATGAACCCGGGTCTCATTTCACTTAGAAAATGTATGCATCGGATTTAACGGGGATGAGATCTGCAGCTATCTCAAAGCCACCCAACTCAGAAAACCAGGGTTCAAAATGAGTTTTCCGATGCATTTGCTTCAAGCCTCGCCAGGCGTCGAGAATGGAGCCGAGTGCTGTTGCAGTGCTGGCAGTGCACTCATGTGCTGATGCACACTTAGTATTGCTAAATCCTTGCATCTGGATCCGCCGCCACATGCTCCAGGGCAAGCCCCAAGAACGAGATCTTCGGACCGGTCGTGCCGAAAATCTTTTGGCAAATCTTTGGACGGGAATTTGGACGGTTCCGGGGGCAACCTCGGGGCCAACACCGGCGCCGAACGGGCGCTCTCAGCCAACCGGTCGATACACCGAGGTCTCCTCTACTCCACATTTCCTTTGCTTCACACCACCAGCCCTTCGTTTTGAGAAGCGCCAATCATTTCTACAAGTAAGTAGGCATACTTTTTCTCATCATCTGCGCTGAGCTGTTAAAGTATATCTAGCCCCTACCGAGCCCCGAAGTACCGACAACGCATTGGCGATGCGGATTGTTTTTCAACAAAAAGCGCTACAACACTACCGTCGCGTATTCGCGGTCGAGCCAACAACACCGACCAGCACGCCTGTAACACAGTGTGGGAAGCAGCTACTGTGTTGCGTCGGGCTCACAATTGCGCGGCCTAAACTTTTGTACCTGCTTCACTTCTCGGATATCACGGGTCCAACTCTATGGTACCCAAGCGCTCTAGCAGAAAATCTCCAGCATGAACAACATACTTGCAGTCCTGGCAGTAATATGAGCCGATGCATGTTGGCCGCACTGACGCGGCATGCGCTTTGAGCAAGAGACTTTGCTCAACGTTTGTGTCCGTGACGTTGAAGATGTTGACACATGGCTACGTACAAGTTTTTAACGCATTTCTTAAGTGATTATAAGCGTATCAACGGGCACAAAATACTATATTATTTTTAATATTATCGAAATAATACAACTCGTGATAGTATTGTTATACAATGATAGTATGACTAATAGTACAAACAAATAGTAATTTACATTCACTACTACTAACAAATGAAAATCTGCCACCTTCCCGACAAGACTGTCAACACGACATACTATACATGCTTGTGAGAGCTCAGATGGCTTCGTGACTGTGCAATGACAGCAAAATCAGAAATCGGTCCCGCAACTTTGCCTGCGACTTGAATACTCGCACAAACTTTGTAACTTCGATAATCATCTTCTTATCACACTCAGAGGACCAACTTGAAACGTGAAAATGTTGTGCCCTCAGCTACCCCATTTTTCAAATGAAAACACGGGATCAGCTTTTGGGCGTTGCACCGCTACGTAGAACGCTTGGATGGGTTAAGCATTTACTTTGATTTGTGTCGCTGTCTCGAGCATGATTCATGATATGTTAATGGGGGTTATTACAGAATAGTGCGCCCCTACAAATAGATATGAACGTATATTAGGCAAGTTGTTGTCTAGTCGGCCAAAGCGCTGCCTGCACAACTTCCAAAATACTCCAAAGTAGGGAGCAAAGAAATACTTTCCCCGCAAATTTTATTGTCGGATCTCGTATCCCGCCAAGGATGTTGGCATCTCTCTCAGATGTTTGAAGTTCAATTTTTGTGCCTGAGACTCCTCTGCTGAACATCATAGAAAAAGTGAAAATCCGATGCCTGATTCGCAGTAGTAAAGAGTAGTAAAATAAAATATGTAGGCTTAATAATACTATTATTTAATGTGGCTTATTAATGGTATAGTAGACCACACGGTATCATTAGTCATAATACTTTTTTTAATCTTATCTATGTACTTTTGTCTTAGAAATGCTAACGGTGATATCAAATAACTTGTCTTTTGTAAAGGGCTATTTACTGCAAAACTATTCAATTTCTAAGGCTAGATATGTAAACTCGCATTCCTACCAGCCAATCAGCAGCAGCCAGCGGTCATAGTCGTCGTCTTCGTCGCCGCAAACGACGATGCAGGGGCAGAGCGTGACGCTGGAGTTCCTGCAGGGCCTGAGCGACGCCGGCAAGAAGGAGGCGCTGCAGTCCGCCATGGCCTGGTGCTCCACCAAGGAGCTGCGCAGCTTCTGCAGTGGCATGGGCGTGCGCGTCCGAAGCAAGCAGTACGCGGTGTACCACACCAAGGCCGGCTACACGGAGCTGCTGACGCATCTGCTGCGTGCCAAGAGCGCCAGCCAGGGGCTCACGGTGGGGCCAGCGCCGTCGCCGTCGATCGTCGTGACGCCCGTGCAGCGCACGCGCAAGACCAAGAACTGCAACCTGCGCCTGCTCAACGTGCTCTTCTCCGAGGCCATGGCGCCCTTCCTAAGCGGCATGAACGCCGAGCCCACACAGGCGGCGGCGGGGGCCGTGGGCGGCAACAACGCCTTCTGGACCAGGTTCCGGGCCGAGTTCGTGAGCGCCAAGGCCGAGTACAGCCGCGTGGCCTTCCAGGAGAGCTGCCTCACGGGCTTCAACCTCTCCACGCCCGTGCCGCACTCCTGTGTCAAGCTGAGCGAGATGTGGACGGAGCTCTGGATGGCGTACAACAGCGCGCTCATCCGGTTCACGCACTCGACGGACCCGAACTTGGAATTCGTGGACTGCTGCCCCAGTCGGAGCGATGTGTTCTACATGCGGTGCTGGCTGACGGTCAAGCCGGACCTGTTGTCGGAGATCTGCGCCAAACTGCCAGCAAGCATCGGGCTGGGTGGCATCTCGCTGGGCGCTCCTGCGACTGAGAACGAAGAAGTTGGAAGTGCGGGAGGAGAGCTAGTCGAGAGCACAACGCCTTCGAGGAAACGCCCGCGCAGTGCAATGGGCAAGGTGGTCGAGTCGGTGGAGAGTGACAGCGCACCTAAGAATAAGGCCGCCGAGCGAGCATTCTTGATGCAGTCTATCAAGCATGCGGTTGAAGTGATGACGATGGCTCGTGGAGCGGAGGTGGCCCCGGACGTGATGGAGACTGTAAAGTGCGAGCTGCAGCAGTGCACAAAACGTTTGAAGAGGATCCAGCAGGAAGAGAGAGAGGAGGATGAGGAGACAGAGGAGGAGAAAGACGACCAGTAGTGTGTGGTGTTTGGGACTATTTATCTGGATGGCATTGAAATGGAGTGGAGGAGAATGGTTCTGGAAATGTGGTTCAGGCTTCAGAGATGCTGTGACACAGCTCCCGACAAGGAGAACTATTGTACTTATTCAAAACCATGCCAGTGCTTGGCGGCCAAAGCGCTTGAAGGATTGTGGGTGTTCGGCCACGCCTGGACCGCTTGCAATAGAAACAACGCGCCCAAAGTGGAATGGACTCGTAGTCGCCGGATATCGTAGTGGTCGGCGACTGTTGTTTGATCCGCAGCACTGCCATCGCTCTCGTGAGAGCTATCGTCGCTTTCTAGCGTTGAGTAGCGGATTGGACTTTGCGGGGCGCTGTATCCTCGCCTTGAAGTACCGGGTTAGTCATGCAGCGACAAAGGACCGGGCACAGCTTCAAGTGTACACTCGACCGCTTCAGCTTCAGTCGTGGAGGTCCGTCGCCAGTCACATTTGATGCGACTTGCACCCGCACCGGCATCTCGAGATTCGCAGTGGCGGCGGCACCTGCGACGCAGGCTGCGCGGCTCCGACGACGCCGTCCGGTGCTGCGCCGCATCCGGAGCGAGCTCCGGCGCCCCCATCGCGGAGCCAAATCCCAGTGCGTGGCGGCAAGCAGCGGCCGCGCGGACAGCGGCCTGGTCTGCGCCTCAAGTCGCCTGCAACACCGGCACGCCGGACCGGCGGCGGCGACGACAGATGGCCCCCAATTACTCGAATCGCGCATAGCGCCGCGAATATCCACATCGACCGAGCGCGCCCGGCAGAAACGAGCCGAGACAAGCGCCGCCGCGCTGATGAGTGTGTGTGTGCGGGGCCTGCCGCCGTTGTCGCCGCTTGTCTGTGCTTCTTGGCTGCGGTGGCAACAGCAGCAGCAGCAGCAGGAGATCCTCATTCCAGAATTTGCAAGCAAGAGCGCAACAAGCCCCAACTCAAGTCAACTCAACTCAACCCGACCACCAAGATGCTCCCGCCGCCATCGCTCACGGTCGTCCAGATGCTCGCGTCGGAGGAGGCCGCCGCCGCGCAGCAGCAGCAGGTCCCGTGTACCTGCGGTGCCAAGGACTTCGTGCTCAAGCGCAAGCAGCAGCAGAAGAAGCTCGCCAAGGAGGCCGGCACCGTCGAGGCCAAGCAGGCGGCCAACGACCCCGCGGCCGGCACGCCCAAACTGCACCGCAGTCTGTGGCGCAAGCTGCTGGGCAAGGGACCCAAGTGCGTCTGCCAGAAGAGGAACGCCGCCACCTCCAGCACCAGCACTACCAGCAGCAGGCCCGGACTCATCCAGATCCCGGCCGAGTACGTGGGCTGCACCGTCGTGACCGTGGCCGGCAAGCGCGTGCCCTTCTCGCGAGACATGCAGCAGCAATGCCGCAAGTCGTGGACGCCGCTCGACGCCATTGAGGAGGACGAATAGCTCCGCCGGACCGTAAAAACAAATTCAAGTAACTTATTCACGCACTACTCTCTGTAGCTCCGTTCTACTTGCTTGGCTTGTGTTCTACCCTTGCTCTACAGTTGGTGCGATGTGGTAGGAACGGGACTGACCAATAGACGTCCAGCAGCCCATCGTTAGCGAGCGACTCAATGGCGCCGCGGGTGTTCGGCGTCGGCGTGGATGTGGCGCTGGTGTCGCGCTTCGAGCGGAGCTTCGCGCGCTTCGGGGAGCGGCTGCTGAGACGCGCCTTCCACCCGACAGAGATCGCCGAGTTCTACGCGCGCCCGAGCGCCGAGCGCGCGACGTTCCTGGCCTCGCGGTGGGCGGTCAAGGAGGCGACGTTCAAGGCCTTCCAGCGCTATCGCGTGCCGTTCCCAGAGATCCACGCGGTGCGAAGGGGCCTGGAGAGGCCTGCTGTGCCCACGGCTCTGCCGGTGACGGAGCACTCCAAGGCGCTGCGCCTGCAGTTCTCGGGCGAGACGGAGGCGCTGGCCAAGCGGCTGCGATTGGTGGTGAGGGCGACACGAGTTTTGGCTCGATGGGTCACTACTGTAACTAACTCGAGGGGGGCTATGGATGTTGTGCGTGTCTGGCAGGAGCCTCACGTGTCCATTTCGCACGACGGGGACTACGCGGTGGCGTACGTGCTGCTGCAGCAGGAGGTCGACGGCGAGCTGAGTGAAACAATGACAAGTTAAGATGCGTTGGCCTTGGCGTTGGTTTTGTGCGCGCTGCTTGTGCGGCCGAGGAATCTTGAGAATGTAGTGTGCTGCAGTAGGGGCCGTCTACCTGGCAGTGCTCGACTCGACTGCGTTGGGGAGGGAGCTTCTCTTCGCTGTGTGTTAACTTTCTTGGAGGCTTACTACGCACTAAGACATTCGCACCGGGAGGATATAATCGACTCCCTTCTGCGCCGACTCGGGTCTAGAACGACTCTTTTCGGATGCTGCGGCCGCTGTGGTCGCCGTAGATCTCGCGGATGAGGCCGATCACGCGCTCCACAGCCGGCAGCGAGAAGGTGGCCGCAGCCCTCGAGTCCCGACGTGCCTCCTTCAGCAGCTGATCCCATTTCTCGGCAGCCAGCGTGTCGGCCACGCCTCGGAATTCGCGCTCGTACTCCTTGCCCTCCGAGTGGGGGATCCCGCGCTGGGACAGCCAGAAGAGGTACGCGTTGGGCACGCGCTCCGTAGCGTCGCGCTGGTAGCGCGCCAGGTCGTGTGCGATGGAGCCTTCCCACTCCATGTACTCGCCAATGCGAGTGAGGAACTCTAACCGCTCGGGAGTTACCAGCTCCGACGCTAGCGCCAGCGAGTCGATTAGCAGCAGCAGCGTCGCTTGCCACCGCGTGGCCTGCACCGCCACGTAGGCCAAGAAGCGCTCCTCCAGCGGTTGGCCACCATCGGTGTTATCGTTGGAGAGCGTGCCGAGCTCGTAGCTCCTGACGATATCGTTCAGCAGTTCCCACTGCTCCTTAACCAGGCGAGCTCGGAGAAGCTTGTGCGGCACCTCCTGCTCGATGTGGTAGTGCAGCACCTGCCAAAGCGCGAGGAACAGCGGCAGTCCCGTCGACAGCAGCTCGTCGCCCGGCTCGACACTCTCCACCATCAGGTCGTGGAAGACCTTGGCGTCCAGCTCGTGCATTTCGCCATCATTGGCGCCGGTTGCAGACCCGCTGCTCGCCTCCAGGAGCTTCCGCATGAACGTGCGCACCTTCTCCGGACGCACCTCCATGAGGCGGTACGCAAGGATGTTGATGAGAATGGACAGCAGCTGCAGCTTGTTCTGTAGACTGATGTTCGAGCGCGACACCAACAGGTCGCTCTCCGAGTTCGAGGCGGAAATAACGATCGAGCGCATGGACGCCAGGAACATGAACATTTTCTCGAGTTGGTTGTAGCCCTTGTCGCCCAGCAACTGGCGCTGCAGAGTCGTCTGAGTCTTGTCGCTCTTGTTGGCAGCGTTCGGGGCCATGATCGCGATGTACTGCGGGTGCTTGTTGATGGCCTCAAACGCGATGTTCAGGCTGATTGTGCCCTCCAGGTCCGGGATCGGAATCTCCACGTAGAACATAGACGGCAGCGTCACTGACACTGGGGAGCTCGGAGGCGAGTTGCTCTGGATCTCAGAGAACACGGCGTGCGCGTGCAGGTACTCCTTCGCCGTCTCCACGTTGATCGACTTTCGCAGCAGCATGTAGCTGCACACCTCCGACACCAGCTCGCTCGGCGCACCAGCAGCTACCGCGATGTTTCGCGCGTGGAGAGCCATGTGGCCCTTCTGAATACCTGTCACGGCGATAGCACGAATTGCCGCGAAGTTCTGCGCCAGTCCGACACTCACGATGATGCCGCTCAGGTTGCGAGCCGTCGGCTGCTGCAGAATCGCGTGAGTCGCGGTGTAACCAGGGTGGGTCATCAACGCGCCTCCCTTGGATCCCACCGCGATAGGCATCTCCAGGCTGCCGCGCAGCACGCGCGTGCCGGAGCCGTCCTCAGCCAGGCCGATCTCGTAGTGCGAAAGCGACGCATACTGCCCCGAGCGACTGGCGTAGCAGTGCGCAGCCGACTCAATGGCGCGCCAGTCCTGGCCCGTGGCAACGGCCACGGCATCCACACCGTTCATAATGCCCTTGTTGTTGGTCACCGCGCGGTACGGGTCGATAGCCGCGAAGTTGTAGGCCTCGATAATGCGGTTGGCCACATCCTCGCCGTCCACGCCCTTCCAGCCGAGCTTCTTGAGGGGGATCTCGAACGTGGCGCGAGCGCGGCGCTGCATGCACAGATTGGTGAGAATGCGCAGACCCACGCGGCTCCGCGTGATCTTCGAGACCTCTTCGGAGAGTCCTTCGGCCACCGTGTTGACGATATTGGCGCCCATGGCTTCGCACACATCCACGTCAATGTGCACGACAAGGAACTGCGTCTGAGGCTCGGAGGCGTTCACTACGAGCTCATCGTCGCATCGGTTGTACCAGGCACTACCACCAGCGGCCGTGGCAGCCGCCCGTGCTGCCTGGCTGACCACGCGGCAGTAGATGTCGACGGCGCCGCCACCGCGCTTCTTCATGTTGGGGCAGAGCGTCGTGTTGGCGATCGACAGCAGCCGCTCGCGGTTGCACTCGATCGCAGCGATGGCGGCCGGGATGTCTTCCGTGCCCACGAGCTGGATCTGCGACGTCATGATGTTGCCGGACGTGGCCGTGTGGAAGCCGCCGCCAGCAGCAGCCACGAGCTTGGCGGCACTGGAGGCCGCCGCCACCACGGAGGGCTCCTCCACGGCCATGGGCACCGACAGACTCTTGCCGTCGATGACGAAGTTGAGGCCCAGACTGTCGACAAAAGGAAAGCGCAAAAGGGTGAGTGAACACGACGTCCCACAACGCAACAATTAGCTGCATGGTGATGGTGCACGCACCCGAGCGGGACTCCGAGCACGCCGATGCAGTTCTCGATCATGAGGTTGGCCGTGCGCAGCGGCAGCTCGCCGAGCTTGGCGGCCGGGTCCGAGGGCGGCAGAATGTCGGTGGCCGCGTCGCTGCCAGCCGACTGCTGGGCCTTGAGCGTCTTGAGCCGCGGGTACATGAGCGCCAGCACGTCGAAGCGCTCGCGCAGCGTCTTGTTGTAGAAGCCCGACCAGACCGAGGGCTGCGGAGCCGCCGCCGCCGCGTCCTGCTGCTTGGCGGCGGCGTCCCAGTTGTCGCTGGCGTCGTGGCTCGGCTGCAGCGGCTCGAACTGCTTGGCCGTGGCGGGGCTGCTACCGCTGAAGCACAGTCGCTGCACCTGGCCGGCGAGCGCGGCCACCTGCGCCGCCTTCCGCTGCAGCGTGAGGTCGGGCGCGCCCGCGTCTGGGGCCGCCTTGAGCGCGGCGCGCAGCAGCGCCAGGGTCTGGTCCAGCGCGGCCTCGAGCTCCGGGCGGGAGGAGCCGGCCAGCGCCTCGAGCGCGTCGCCGTGCGAGAGCTGGTTGGTCATGGCGGCCGGCGGCGAATCGCGAAGTGACGGACGCGGGTCCAGGCCAGGCAGGGACGTGAGGTGGTCGTCGCCGCCTCGGCAGCAGCTCGGGCTCGGGCTTTGGCCCCTCGTTTGCAGAGACGCTGCATAGACACGGCGCAAGGGCGCACTTTTTCGAGTACATGTGCACGCGAGCTAATTATACCCGCACATTACATGACAGCGCATGGCTTGCAGCAGGCGAGAGGCGGAGAGCCACAACACGACCAGGAAGCGGAGGAACCGTCGAGCAAGGCGCCGCGGAGTGGAGTGGAGATCGCGAGCCAAAAAGGGCTCTTGTTGTTCGCGGCACCCCTGGAAGAGCCTTTGAGCCTTTCCCCCGCCGCCCGGTCGATCCGACGAGATGCAGGCACCGAGATGCGAGAGTGCAGTGCCGCGTCGCGTGTGTGCCGTACAGTACAGTGCAGTGTAGCGTAGCGGCATCGGCTGTGTCGGCGGTGTGTTGCTCTGCAGCTGGATGAAGCTTGATGGAGTTAGTTCGTGCCGTCTCGCACTGGATTCGCGAGTTGGTCTCACTTGCAGGTTGAAGCGGGTCGTGCATTGCGGAGACCCGAGCGGCCCGGCGCGTTGATCATGACGTGGCGGGCGCGCGCCCGACGCAATCAGACGCTGCACATTGCAGAGGCCCCAAGTTGAAGTGGCTGGACCTCTCGCGAGGCAGAGCTTTGTGCCGGGCCGCTGGGATCGCTGGTCCTCGGCCACCGCAGAGCTGCCGTCCCTCGCCGTTGCTCATGATGCCCGAGTGTCATTGCGGACGCCGCGCGTTGCTGACGGCAGACCGGCCGCCCCGAGCGAGCACGTGCCGCGCAGGAGACCTGCGGAGACTCCGGATGCCTGCGAGTCCCGCCTCGGATGGTGACAAGGCAATTCAAGCGACGGGGGAATCGTTTGCTTTGACGACAAGCGAAATGGGATGTCGCGAATTAGATTGAGCATACTGCTGAGGTTTAGCAGAGAGCCCCACCTACATGCAGCGACAGCAATTGTAGTCTTACGCTCTCTGATGGTGTCATGCGGTCTAGTTTACGACGAACAGCTACAACTCACAGCTCGAGACCCCTGTTGGACCCACGTCTTGAGGAGCCGAGCAGACAGCGATGCTCGACAGCGGAACGCGCTCGCTTTGACACGTGTGCAGCACTGTGGCGTAGCTCATCTTGTGAACTTCAGACGAGTCTTTCGAGCGACTCGGCGACTCGGCAGCACGACGATCTCACGGCCGGGCCTAGCGCGGTCAAGACACAGATTGGTCCTCCTCTTCCCAGTCGTACTCGTCGTAGGACTCGTCTGGCCCCGGAGACCTGGCAGCAGTAGCAGCGAGTGGTTCTGCGGCGACCTCGAGTTCCGCTGGGGCTTCTTCCTCTTCTTTCTCAGTGGGCAACTCGGCTTCGTCCTGGCCTTCGGACAGCGCTGGCAGCCCCAATGAATCGTAGCTCTCCTCCTGGGCCAAGTCGTTGTCGTCGTCGTCGTCGTCTTTTGCTTTGTCAGCGAAGACACCTGCGACCGCTGACGTGCCGTCAAGCCCGTAGCCGCTCGAGTATTCGACTGCATCTCGCAGCTTCTTGCCGAGTACAAGTGCCAATTCGTCCTCCAGTTTGCTGTTTGGTTCGTGCTCGTTGTGCTGCTCTCTCCAGCAAAGCGCCTTCCAGTAGTGCGGTAGCTCCAGCGTATTGTCGCAAGTCTAGAGAAGCGTAAAGTGTAAACAGAGAGTGCGAGTGTCAGTGAAAGTTGCCACCGTCCACATAGTGCTGCTACACGAGACGTACATGAGCCTGTGGCAACATCTGAAGGCACTTTTCGTGCTCGGCTCCGGAGATGGCGGTGAACGGCATCTCAATCCGCAAGAACTGAACACGCGCGCACGAAGCATAAGAGCACACACACGCGGTTAGTCACAACATAAATATCACATGAAGTCCACTGCAGAACGTACCTCGGTGCCTGCCAGGGGCAACGTATCCACTCCAGTCACAAACTTGATGAATTTCCGCTTGAACGGCGGCTCAAAGCTGTTCACCGTTCGCCAGAACGCGGTCGCGAGCGGTTGACACCGAGTGAAGTCCGAGTCTGCGGCCACTCTGAACACTTCGTTGACCGCAAAATCATCGCCAGCTCCACCAACGCTGCCGCAGATGCTGTCCACCAGGTCTGCCTCTGAGATCCCAACTCGACTGAGCTGGTCGATGGCAATCACCCGAGTGAATCCGCGACGCACACAGTTCATTTGCCACCCGATCCCGGACGCTGGCCCGAACTTGTCCTCGAGCACTTTGGCGATGTACGCCTCGACGCTGAGGCTCTCGTCCGCCCCTTCAAACTTCAGGTACTCGGCGAAATCGGCGGGCTTCATGTCCTTTATCCCGGACAAAGACTTGAACAGCTGCGGATCGAATAGTTCAGTCTCCTCCAGCGTCACACAGTGGTGCGGGTTCAGCAGCAAGCGGAAGAAGAGCGGATGGATCCTCAACTGTATCGAGCTGAAGTGCGTCACGGCACTGGCAAAGAACCACCCGACGAAGGTCAAAACGTCGCGCGTCTCGCGTGAATGGACCGTGTTCTCGTTGAGCCAGTAGCTTTCGGAGCCTTGCACGTATTCGAACACGGCAGCATTTGGCGCCGAAACGCGCACTTGAGAGAGCGAGAGCGAATGCGTCGGCACGCCTCGGTCCATCAGGAAAGTGTCGTCCTCTACGACCTTATTGACAACGCGACAGATCGTTTCTCCTTCGCTGGTCTCCCATTCGAGCTGAAAACCAGGACACACGACGGCAGCGGCACCGGGGATTGTCACCGCATTCCCACTCGCGGTGATCTGGGTCGAGCTCGCCTCTGCTAACAGTTTGTTTGCCGGTACTTGCTTCCACTTTGACGCCAATTGTTTGCCCACCAGCACGAACCATTCCTTCAGGGGGCCCTTGCCTTCCCCTTCCTCTACCGTCACCCCCTCCACGAGTTTCTCGCCGAATGAACTCTTGAAGAAGGGGAAGAGCAAGAAGTTCGGGGTGGCCTTCTCGGACGCTAGATGCTGCTGCCAAACGTATTCCACGCTGGAATTCAGCACATCGTCTCGATCACAAATGACGGTGACTTTGGGGAAGACGGCAAAGTCGTCTTCGTCCTGCGAGTCCTGATTCGAGCGACTGCACAACTGCACCGCGAGGAGCAGCGTCTTGCACATGGGATCCAGCAAGACGTAGATTTGGTTCACCAGCAGCCCCATAGCTGTCAGGACGCTGCTGACAGGGTTCCAGTTATCGCCGAGCTCTTCTCGAGGGTGGGTGACCAGGTACGGGTAAAAGACTTTCACGAGACGGCTGAGGCCAGGCGAGACAGCAGGCCGCTCCTTAATCTGAACTGTGAAGGCATTGCCCTCCGACGCACTCAAAAAGACAAGCAGTGTAGAGGCAATCTTCAGATACTCCCACGCAGTGTCGTGATACTCCTGACGCACACTTTCGGCGACTTCGAGGACTTCGCTGATATCCATCTCAGACACGAGCGAGTTCTTTTGCTGGATCGAGCGCTGCATGGCGTCTGCCACAGTGGAGCACACATCGCCCACTACAGCGTGGCACTCGTCCACTAGATGCCTCGCTAGATCAAGCTCCTGTGCTACTTCGCTATTGAGAAGACTCGCCAGCGGTGACTCCGGCACGGCAAGTCCATACTGCTCTAGCATCGAGATGATAGAGCCCTCGATGCACTCGCTTATTGGCGAATGGCTTTGAAGAGCCTCGGTTAACGTTCGCGAATCGCACCAGGCCAGACTTGCGAGCGCATTCACCTCCGTAGGTCGATTTTCATCTTCCAGGAAGGTCCATCGTTTGAGCTCAGTCACCAATCGCTTCGATATCGTCTGCGGGTGTTCGGCCTCAGGAACAGCCTCCTCTCTCTCCGGTTCTATCACGTGCTTGCCCTGTTGCATCCCACGAATGGGTGGGACATTGCTATTCACCGTAGACGCGACCGCTTCTGTAGCAGAATCTGCAGTTGGTGACGCTGCGTCAGGCTCCAGTTCCTCATTTCCCTTTTCCTCGTTGGCATCGTCACCCTCATCATCGAAGCTGTTCTCGTAGTCCGATGGATTGTTCTCCTCCGTTCGACAACTGAGAGCTTTGTCGGGAGAAGCGGGTAGTTCAGTTGGTTCACTCGTGTCATCTTCTTTATTGTCCCCAGTAAGCGGGGCTTCGTCTCGAGTAGCAGGCTCTTGGGGTTCAGCGCGGACTGCTAATTCCACCGCATCCGAGGGTGCCGTATCAGCTTCTCGGTCTACTTCAGCATCTCCTGCTTCGCCATCAAAACTGTTGTCGTATTCTGAGTGGTTGTCACTCGCATTCGACCGCGATGAGCTCTGCTTGTTATGGTCGGGAGGATCACTCGAATTATTCATTGTTTCGGGATCGAGCGGTTCCGGTGATACCCCCTCTGCGAGAGAATTGTTGTCCGAGTGCTCTGCATCGCCGTCGTCACTAGCGACATCGGCCGTTTCGGGTAGCTCCGACACTGATTGCGGCGCATCTGGTTCAGAATTGCTACGATCGTTCCCGTCCATCGAGTCATCCTCGTAGTCGGACTGATTGTCGCCACCTTCGGCCTCCTCGTCCTGGAGCTCGGGGGTTTCTGTTCTTGGCTCACCTCCGTCCTTTGGCTTCAGCCTGTCGGGTGGGCTATCACCCGCAGCAGCACTCTTCGCAGAGGATGACCTACTGTCGCTGGCAGCCTCCTTTGCATTGTTCTCATCGCTGTTGTCATCGCCACCACTACTAGGCTTAGCCTGATTCCCATCGCCTTCTCGAGAAGAACTGTCGCGAATGAAGTCCAGGCTCTCGTCCAGCAAGTTAACGAGGTCTGCTGCGGATTCGTGGTCGTGATGCTCCGGCACTTGCCCTCTAGTCGAAATACGCCCTCCCGTTCCTATCCTGTCACTATGCGTGGCAGGATCATCGTTTCTATCCAGTCTACTAACGTTAGAAGCCCCACTCAACTTTGTTCCAGAGTCGACTCTTGTGTCGTTCACGTCGCCCTCAACGCGGCTAGAGTCGCGCATCCGACTGCTGAGCGCGAGGAGCTCCATCGGAGTCATGTCTTTCGCGAACTCGACCATCTCCATGATGATGGAGTGGGCAGCTAAGACGCGGCCCAGTTTCTGATTCGGCCTGACCAGGAGGGGGTTCAGCTTCCTGAAGCAGTCCAGGTTGACCCCTCTTGCCTGCAGCTCTGCTTCAGCAAAATCCAAATCGCTTACCATCTTCAAAAAGTAGTTTCGACCGCGCCACAAGAACGGAGGCGGGGTCCTGTAGGTAACGCAATGGCAAGTTAGTCAAGTCACAATAAAGAACGGTGAGCCAGCACTTAGCAGTACGTACTCCGCCTGAGCTCCAGCCTCTAGCATCCACTCAACCAGGGCTTCTACACACTGGATTCCGGCGACTTGTAAATCTGTGGCAAGCTGCTGCGCTAACTTCGTGGCTTCACGCGCGTTTGTCATTGCACCAGGAATCACCCCGTGGCGGCTAAGTGGCGTTGACGCGAGAGCCATTCCTCCCCTCGACCGCATCGGCTGCCGCCCAGCGCTGGTTGATGTCGGTGGCTCAGTTGGCCGAGACGGGAGAAACAAGGACTCTTGCACGGGAGTGCAGAGTATCAGCGCGCTCAACTGGTACAGCAGCGTCTCTCGAGCGTCGATCGCTTTCAACACCTTAAACCGCAGCTTCTCTTCCTTCGTGGCCTGTGCAGATTCCTGCTTAAACCATCAAATGCTGTTACAAGTCTGCCCCATCAAGACACAAACACGGAGGTGGTCCACTTACAGAAGGAGGCTTGGATAGAGCCCCCAGAGGCACCAACTTGCCGCTTGACGGCTTTTTCGGCTCCCGGAAGCGCTTCCCACCACGCTTACCTGGCAATAGCATCGTAAATGAGTATCAAAACTCTGATCAAACGCTGCGCTCTTCGCACCATATTGAGCACGCTCGTTGCGAATCTTGGACTCCTTCGTCAGCGGTGTTGGAGGGGTGCTGTACGTCGGAGAATGCGCTGGTGATGGCGCCTTATTGGATTTGGGCGGCGGGTCGACGGTGAAGCGGTCATTCCAGCCTTGCTCGCGGCGAGACAGCTCCTCTTCCGATAGCGTGACGAGATGGCGGTGGCCTCGCAGGGGGTGGTTCGGCTTGCGAGCGCCGATCTTCCTCGGGTGCCGCTGGTCGAGGAAGTTCTTCACGATTGATTCCCGCTTGGCAGTCGCCATGGCCCCGGCCGATTCCAGCAGTGGCGACGTCCAGCAGCGGTCGGTCCAAACACTTCAACGGAAATAGCTCGAGATGAAACTCCCCTATGCTCGTCAATCGACCACAGTCCCCATGCGCGCCCTTGCCGTGCGTGGGGACCAGGAGTACTGATCAAAACTGCGTTGCGTGTTAGTGGCGTTTTAATACCGCTAGTTGGCCCTCTTCTGCCGCTTGATGTCGGCTTTGACGGCCGTCTTGCACTCCGCTACTGCCTCCAGCTCCTTGTCGATCGCAGCGATCTGCGCCGGGTCGCTCACTTTGCCTCGCTCACGCCGCAGTTTGCGCCCCCGTTCCCGCAGCGACACCAGCAGCGAGAAGTCGGACGACGTGAAGGCCCCAGGAGAGTCGAGGGCGTCATCCATGGGCGCAGACACCTCGGACGTCTCGTGGAAGTTGGAGCCTCCGACGTAGAGACCGCCGGTGCACAGCAGCACGAGCCACAGGCCAGTGGCATGGTGCGCGCGGAAGGAAAGCAGGTGCATCTTGAGCGTCGACTTCCACTGCTTGACCACGCTGCCCTGCTGGTTCGAGCACGACTCGCACTGCGGGTAGAAGCGGAAGGCCGTCTTCCGGCCCAGCAGCCTCCGCAACAACTGCTCGTCCGCGCGCTTCGCCACCCTAGAGGCCATGAAGGTAACAAGCAGCACAGACAACAATACCAGCAACAGCAATGGTCAGAAGAGAAGAAAGAAGGCAGAGCGACTGCAACCAGATAGCCTCCGCTGATGCGGCGTACAGTTTGGGCGGCATGTGGTCGGCGTGGTAGCGCACGCCACGCTTGACGCCGCACGTGTGGCAGCCAAAGAGCCGGCCGAACTCCTGGATGACGCCCCTCTCCACGCTCGTGGCGTACTCGGCCGTGGCCGGCAGCGACGCCTTCTTGAGGTGGAACGCGCCCAGGTCGGCGAAGGGCGAGGGCGCCAGCGCACTGGTGCGGCCGCCCAGCAGCTTGAAGCAGAGCAGACCCATGACCGCGTACACGGGGGCGGGCGCGTGCGGGAGGTCCTCCCAGCGCTCGCGTGCCTTGCTGCAGAGCAGGCGCCAGGCCGTGGGCGGCTGCAGGTTCCGCGCGCCGAGCACGAGCCAGCTCCAGCCGCGCTGCTGCTGCTGCTCCTGCTGCTGGGCCAGCTCCTGGTAGACCTCCCGCGGGACGGAGGCGAAGTGCAGCGCCGCCACGGAGGACGCGCCCACGGCGGCGGCGCCCAGCGCCTGGGGCAGTAGGAAGCCGCTGGCCGAGCCCACGCGCAGCAGCTTCTGGGCCACTTGAGCCGCCGAGACGCCGCCCAGGAACAGCGCGCCGCCCGTGGCCGCGTCCAGCACGTGCGCCGTCAGCGCCTCGTACAGCGACACGGAGCGCTCGCTTGCGAAGTGCCGGCGCAGCCGCTGCGCAGCGTCATGGGCCCATGCCCTGGGGTCCTCCATGTATTTGCGGCGATTGAAGAAGAAAAAGTGGTCATTTACGCTAACTTGTAGGCATTTGAGGCAATTCGGAAGTTGAAGTGGGTGGAACATGGCTACATTTGTGACACAGGTTATTTTCACCCTCGTACTATTGAGATGAGCTCCTCAATGAGCTCTGCGCTGCCGGCTGCGGCCATGGAGGAGGGGGAGGAGGGGGCTGCGAACGCGGCTTTGAGGCGCAGGTCGCTGGCCTCGCAGATGGAGGAGATGGCCAGCGACGGCGCCTTCCTGCGCGCCATCGAGCACAAGAGTCCGCAGATAAACGTGTGCCGCACCATCCTGCGCAAGCCGACGGGGAAGCGGACGCTGGAAGACATCCACGTGGTGCGTTGCTGTGATAATTCTGTAGAGTGGATGATGGATGACAGCTGACTAAGAGCTTTCCACCAGCTGAAGTCGCTGTTTGCGTCGTCCAAGCTGCTCGACTTCTTCTCCAACCTCGACGCCTGTGCGTATTGGAGAGCACCTCATTGATATGCGGCTCTGGTGTTAACTTTTGCTTGCTACCCACTGGCTGTGACCTTTGCCTACTGCTAGTTAAGGTACACCTTGTTTATTGTCATTTCTACCTCGGTGAACCGCTTCTACTGAAGATCTGCGTTGTGTGTGCCATCCATTTCAGCTCGATCGACTCTACCAATCTCTCGAAATTGTCGCTTACACCGAGAAGGGGGCGTATGTCTTCCACGAGGTACGCACCGCCCTCGCTGCATTCCTGCCGTTTTAGCGCATACCGACCACGACTACGTATGATTATTTGACAAAGGGGGACGATGGGGATAGTTTTTACCTCGTTTACTCAGGTCGAGGTACGCACACTCTCGGCTGCCGAAGACCAGGCAACCTTCGTCTGAATTGTTATGACGCTGTTGTGGATGCAGTGGAAGTGGTCAAGAACGAGGTCGATACCCCGGCTCGCACCAACGGAACAATCCATTTAACCTTCCTGGGTCCAGGAGATACGTTCGGTGAGCGGGCGTTGTTATCCAACACCGACGTACGCGCAGGTAAGCCTCCCTTCCCTTCCTCGCATGCTCGATGCAGTTTTAGTCTTAGCTTTTTTTGTACCTTGCATTGCGCCGTAGCTTCCGTGATCGTTGCCAGTGCCCCGGCAGAACTGGTTTTCATCAACCGCGTCGTGTTCAGCGAGCTGCTCAAGGAATCGCACGATTCGAGCAACACTCACACACTCGAGATCACGAAGCGATTCCGTAGCAACAAGGACATTGTGCGCAACATCTTCATGCGGAGCTCCGCGCAGCGATCTGAAAAAGATCTGAAGTTCGCGGTCGAGTACCTGAAGAGCGTCAAATTCTTCTCACGATTCTCCTTTGAAGTCCGGAAGCAGTTGTGCAAGGTGATGCGGCTCATTAGTGCGGTCACCAACACGGTACTCTTCGCTGAGGGCCAAATCGGCCGACACTTCTACATCATCTTCACGGGTTGTGTCGACGTGTCCGTCCGGGTCAAAAACCGCTTCGAGGAGACGAAGGAGAGCGTTGTATCGCGCCTAGGCGAGGGCGAGTACTTCGGTGAGCTTGCGCTCTCTCAAGCGGATGGCGTTCGCCGTGCTACGGTTATGTGCACCGAGTTCTGTGAGCTGCTCGTGCTGGGCCGCGATGAGTACGAGCCACTGATCAAGAAGTACCAGAACGAATACCACGCGCAGTACGCGCAAATGCTCCGAAAGAACCCGTACTTCATAGGACCCGAGTGGGACGACAACACTATCGAAGGCATGTGCTCGGTCATGACCGAGAAGTACATTCCTTACAAAGGCGAGATCTGCAAACAGGTGGGTGGGTAGGTGGATGGTTGGAAGTAAATTACCTGAAGCGTTCATGCTGACGAAATGATGTTTTCAGGGATCGCGCGCCAGCGAGTTGTTCATCGTGACTCGGGGCGAGTGTCGAATCATCCACGAAGGCAAACACCCAATCACGAATGCGCGCCAGGTCTACGAGCTCGGAAGATATGGCCCAAACTCGGTCCTGGGCTGCGCAGAGTAAGGATTGTGTACCCCCCCCCCCCCCTTCAAGCTTCAGAACTGACTGAAGTCGTTGTGCTCAGGGCATCGGCAGGGAAATTTAACGACATTTTCATCCGTGAATACTCCATCTTAGCTGAGTCGCCGATGAAAATCCTTGTGTTGTCGCGGTTTGATATATTCCACCTAATGTCAGCTGAGGCTCGAGCAAGTCTGCAGCGGTCCTCGAATGGATACATTCGCGAATCCGTCCAAAGCCGAGCACTCAAATCGGTAGCGTGGGAAAAGTACAAGAAGGAGTTCATTGGCAGCGTCATGGCTGAGACCCACCATCAGCCGTTTGGATTGTTAGGTGGGCGCTCCGACAAAAGTGCGATCTCTTCTCATCACACTGCTGCGCTGGGGAGATCCCAATCTGCACCACTGCTGCCGCTTGACGGAGCTCGCACATTGGTTGACCCGGGCTCTCTGATGCTTGAGCGCCGTCGGGGAGTAACCAAACTCGCGGCATCTGGTGCGGTGCGCCAGGTGAATGGAAATTTCAGCAACGAGCCTCAGCCGAACAACCGCAACAACGCATTGAAGAGTGGTGAAAGTGATGACCAAGCCGTCTCCGCTGAAGCTGGATCCGCAAAAAGCCGAAGCTTGTCGCTCCCTCAAGACAACAGAGATTTAGTGGATCTGCACGCAAAGGTGAGTCGCTCGGCTTCTGGATCCTCGCTGCTGCAGAGAAGATCGTCAACAACGACAGTACTCGCGTTCAAAGTCCAGCAGAACGGACATCGGACGAAGTTGCCCCCTGTGGCCCAGGACGACTCCACGCCCACCATGCAGACGCCGCTGCTTGCCCTCGCTGGCTCTGGCAGCAGTAAGTCACTACACCGTCGTGCAAACGCTGCGGGGGACGTCAATTCCACTGAGAAGAGCTCTCGCGTGTTGCTTCCGGTGGTGTCTCCGATCAAAGAAGCAGCAAACGAGGAGACATCGGGTGCCAAGCAGTTCCGTAGTGACCTGCGTCGTTGCGGCCGCATTCGAGCGGAGAAAACCGACAACACCCTCACCGCCCCCAAGAACGGTCTAGCCGGAGCGTCGACCAGTGCTACAGCAACTGCAGCCACGATATGGGACCCCGTCCACGGTGTGTGCCAGCCTTTCGCTGTGCTGGGTTTCATGAAAGAGCAGACCCTTCGACCCGCGCCTAGGGGGATCTCCTTGTCTCTTTCGTCTGCAAAGCTGTCCAAGTCGGCCAAATCTGCGGCCGATCAACTCCGGAAGGCTGCCGCCGCCGCAGTGAGCGTTACAGGGCACATGGAGTTCACGCGCTTCCGCGTGTTCGGCAAGTTCCGGGACATCGACGACGCGCTCAACCTTTTCCGCCAAATCTGTGCCGTCGAGAAGACTGCGGGTCTGGCCGAGGGTCACGACTGCAGCCGCTTTGCTATCTACAAGGAGGATGAAATGACGATGGCGCTGGAAAACTTCCCCAGTGACGCTGGAGACGCTGCAGGGGCCTATACCGCCCAGTTCAGCGCTGCAGACCTGCCGCAGGCTACGGGTCAGAGGTTTGCCTGCGTCAGCGTCTCTCTTCAGCCCCCTGGGGCCACCTGCATTGAATCCATAGTGGTGCATGTCTACCAGTGCTTCCCTACACCTCAGAGCGCTGTGAGGTTTGCACGGCAAGTCGCGTCCACACTTTTGGCCCCGAGTACCCTGAGTATTGTACCCTTGTTCGAATGGATCGCACTGTCGGAGCTCGAGCGATTTGATGCGCGTAACAACGACCTAGAGCAGGAGCTGGAGCTCGCTATGCGGAGCGGCGGGCGCGAGAGCACATGGAAGGCAAGGAAGGAGGCCATCAAGAAAGGGGCCCACCATCAGCACAGGGTAAAATCACCTCCATCGACCAGTAATTCGTAGTTTATCGTATTCAAACTACCGTAGCATTCGCTTGCTCTAGGGCGACTTTTGTTCTGCGAGATTCGCGCAATCCATCTCGAACGTCTGGCGTCGCACCTGCGTCATAAAACTCTCCGTCACTTGCATCGATCTTATTGAGCACTTGAGAAGCCTAATGGCCCAACGTTCAGTTATCAACTCATACTTCGAAGTACAGAGTGATAATGAAGACCATGAAACTTGGATACCGAGTTTACGGGTTAGTGAAGCGTCGTATGCGTGAAGTGCAGTGTATTACTTTTCCAAGGCGTTCTCGCGGTGTGCGGTGTACGCTCTATTGAGCAGTGAATCATGAATCGTAAGAAATACTTAAACGTTTGTTCGGAGTTGACGGTAGGGTGTTTCGTAAGCACTCCTTTTGTCACAAAGGCACCTGTTGGACGTCAGTTGGTTACCGACCAAGAAGCCGTAAGCACCACAATGAAAGTCTCTAGTGAGCACTAAGTGTATTGCACGTATCAATAAGCACTTCCTTGTAATGAAAGCTTAAAACCCGGAAGAGAATCGCACTGCATGAATCTCATTTTAATACTTATTGAGTAATTGAATTTTTCGTTGTAGTCCGACGGACAGTTGTAAACTTATAGTTTCAAGTGCTGATAATGGCACATCTCAACAACTTCCGATAATACTTTTCAAAAGTTTTATTGAGTGGATAATTTATCGAGGAAATCTTGAGGCAACCCGAATCTCCCGCTCTCCTCCGCGTTCCCAGGATCTGCGCGCAAGCAGTGGCCCCTAACCAGTACATATTCATGTAGTTGCTGGCGTCGCTACTTCATTCCTCATTTTTCTCCCGGCAGCGTAACTCGCATCAAGAAGAAAATGCTGAATTTCAAGACCCTGGCTAACGCAGCGCTACTCGTCATGATGGGTGGATCAAGTTGCCTTACAGTGACAACGGGGCTTACGTCGGCAGTGACGTCGGATCCAGCGTCGGCCCGATACACGTTATCAGCTTTCGCTACTGGTGACTGGGGCGCGACGCCGTACAAGGGCTCGTGCTGTGGAAGCACGTACAACAACTACGATCTCAACGCCCAAGAAGTCGTCGCGACTCTGATGAACATCGAAGCTGGAACTTCCGTCAAGCCCAAGGCCATCCTCGGTCATGGCGACAGTTTGTACTGGACTGGCATCAACAGTGAATTGTCCCGTGACGGCCGCTTCGCTGAGTCGTTCGAGGCCAAGTACGACGGAGACAACATCAAGACTGTTCCCTGGGTGAACGTCATGGGCAACCACGACTACGGCGGCTCCGACTACTAAAGGAGGTCAGAAAAGGAAGACCACTGAGAAGAGTCGACAGCGCCGGAGACTCGAGTCCTTTGAGGAAGGTATATTTGAGAATGAGAACACACTTGGAGCAGAGGCTCCGTACGAACATGGATAGGGGAATTCCCCTTGGAGACGTGGGGCTAGATCTCTAACCTAGCTACACTTGTTGCTTGTCCTACTGCTGGACAGAATGAGCACTCGCAATGACACATATCACCTCATTGGTAACATATCACCGCTGAGTAATGCTTGCAAGGTTTTCCTACTTGCAACAACTACATCTGCAGCAGCGGGGACAAGCTGGTCAAGTGCAACAGCACGGAGGAGCTGTTCCAGGGCCTTGATAGCAAACTCAAGTGGCAGACGGAGTTTCGAAGCCGCAACGACAACCGCTGGCACATGGATGACCGCTTCTACGTCTACCGTATCGAGGACCCCACGACCGGAGTGAGCATCGACATCTTTAACGTCGACACGAACGATGCCGACGTTCATGGTGCCAGCCTCGTTTGCTGCCAGTGCTACAGCTACGCCGGCACTGACAGCGGCGGGTGCAACCACGTCGTTCGTGAAGACAAGTACTGCTTCGGCGGTCAATTAGATCTGTTTGACAGCTGTATGGCCAGGTTCTCGCAATGGGGCGCCGAATCTCGCGCTCAGTTGGCGGAGAAGGTGAAGCAGTCGACTGCGACTTGGAAGATCGTCAACAGCCATTTCAGCCCCTACGACCACTACTTCGAGCCGGGGATGAACAAGTGGTTTGACGTGCTGAGGAACTCGGGCGTTCGCGTTTTCCTGCATGGCCACACGCACGCAGAGAAGCACGACTACTCGGCGTCGCTGGGCGTCCAATTCATCGAGAACGGCGCCGGTGGCGGCAGACAAAAGGGTCCCGCGAGTGTCATTCAGCCCTACGCAGCCAAGTACGTTAAGAATGAGTGGGCGTACACGGCCGACGAGTACGGATTCTTCTCGCTGCAGGCGTCCAAGGACTGGCTGAAGCTGCAGTACCACACGGCGGACACCAAGTGGAACTTCGCGGAAACCTACGCGGACACGACGATCGGCGGCGTGGCGACCAAGCACTGCTGGTACGTCCCGGCGGACGGCTCCGAGGGGAAAGCGTGTTAGAGAAGAAGGCATACTGCCATCGCCAACGGTAAAAGTTTTTGGAGTGCTTTTTACACGTCTCTTTCAATTCTTACCTTCTGCGTGCCGGGTTCGCACTTGCGTTGATAATTAAACTCAATCGAGGAATCTGGTCGAAGCTACAAGCTGAATTTGAATTGAAGCGTCTTCGCGAAAACTGATTTTGCCTTTTTTGCGAATTTTTGTTGCCCTTGCTTACTCTGCTAAGAACTGTGGCATGGGTGGGTGGGTGTTGCTCATCAACTGGACGCCCATACGCTGCTGTTGGTACGGCGATCACAAATATTTTTTACTCTTACGAGCTACTGTAGCTGCCTCGACGAAACCTGTCTCCGACCACCAAAAGTCGAATAATCTGAGTGAAGCTTTGCCGTTGCGCGTTTTGTACGGACGTCTGCGTTGTCCTTCAAATACATTACTTCGAGGTACATGTCTAACGTAAGGAGAAGATTATATATAATAATAATAATACTTCAGTAATAGTTTATTTTATCGTTTTTGCTCTAGTGACGGCGATTTCCGTACTGCTGTCTCAGTTGGTCATACATGAAAAGCTGCCCACGCACTGCTACAATGACACACCATCGTCTGCCGCTACCCAACTGCCGGCAACTGTCGTTTCTCCATCATCAAAAGTGGCGGTTGCGGTGTCCACAGCAGTGAAACGCACAGTAAGGATGATACATGCTGTACTTCGAAGTACATACTAATAAGTCATCCGCTTACGGTCCGTTGAGTCGTAATGTAACATTAGATGCGCTTACGCAGCGTAAGCGCATCTAGTCTTTGTCACGTGCAGTGCTATTATGCAGCACATTGAGCGCTGAGCATGATTGATAACTACCGGTAGATCGGTGAGCATCGATCAATCCGTATCTGATGATACCAGCATATATGTAACCATTTTTGTCGTGACGACCGAGAAAAGCCCAGCGGCCTTCAATAGCTCAAGCGAACAGTAATAAGGTTCCTTCTGTAGTATGTTCACGGTTTGGAGTTTCGTAAGCAGGCCGCCCAAGCAAAATAATACTCTATGTCACAAAGACACATGCTGCACATAGCATATACTGTACTGCTTACGGTTCAAGCAACCGCAAGCACCACAACAACTCGCTGTCACGCTCTCGGTTTTCGATCTTTGTCATGAAAAACTGGTGCAATGTACGGACGTACAAACGTCGACATACTTAAAAAAAGACATCCAATGGGGTTTCGTCTGCGTCGTTGTGCTGGTGTACATGTCCAGTATTTACCAAATAGAATCTTCAGCTCAATGTGCTTCGTTCTGTTGTTCTTGTGATTAATTCAAATTCGACTTCAGTGAGTTACAAAATTCTATGACAATGCTGAATAATTAGGCTCAAGGAAACTCGCATTACAGGTATTATCCTCGAGGCAACCCGAATCTTCCGGCTCTTCCTCCGCGTTCCCAGGATCTGCACCGCATGCCTCAACCAAAAGAGATACATCGCCGCCGCCCACTCCGCGACTTGACCCCGTGCTCGTCGCGGTTGTCTTCATTCTTCATTTCACTGAGAAAAGCGCAACGCGAGTTCCTGCTTAGTCCAACTTCCACGAGGGAATGCTGCATTTCAAGACTGCAGCCAGCGCCGCGGCGCTCCTCGTCGTGATGGGGGGATCGAGTTGCCTCTCCGCGAAAGTAGGTGTCACGGCGTCGAATCCGGTGACTGCAAAGTACACGCTGTCCGCTTTTGCCATTGGTGACTGGGGCGCGACGCCATACAAGGTCTCGTGCTGCGGCAGCACGTACAACAACTACGACCTCAACGCCCAAGAAGTCGTGGCGACCTTGATGAACATGGAAGCCGGAAAGTCGTTGAAGCCTAAGGCCATCCTCGGCCACGGAGACAACTTGTACTAGACGGGTGTTAACAGCCTCGCCTCTCGCGACGGTCGCTTTGCTGAGTCGTACGAGGCCAAGTACGACGGAGACAACATAAGACGATTCCCTGGTTCAACGTTATGGGCAACCACGACTACGGCGGCTCCGACTACATCTGCAGCAGCGGGGACAAGCTGGTCAAGTGCAACAGCACGGCGGAGCAGTACCAGGGCCTTGATAGCAAACTCAAGTGGCAGACGGAGTTTCGAAGCCGCAACGACAACCGCTGGCACATGGATGACCGCTTCTACGTCTACCGTATCGAGGACCCCACGACCGGAGTGAGCATCGACATCTTTAACGTCGACACGAACGATGCCGACGTTCATGGTGCCAGCCTCGTTTGCTGCCAGTGCTACAGCTACGCCGGCACTGACAGCGGCGGGTGCAACCACGTCGTTCGTGAAGACAAGTACTGCTTCGGCGGTCAATTAGATCTGTTTGACAGCTGTATGGCCAGGTTCTCGCAATGGGGCGCCGAATCTCGCGCTCAGTTGGCGGAGAAGGTGAAGCAGTCGACTGCGACTTGGAAGATCGTCAACAGCCATTTCAGCCCCTACGACCACTACTTCGAGCCGGGGATGAACAAGTGGTTTGACGTGCTGAGGAACTCGGGCGTTCGCGTTTTCCTGCATGGCCACACGCACGCAGAGAAGCACGACTACTCGGCGTCGCTGGGCGTCCAATTCATCGAGAACGGCGCCGGTGGCGGCAGACAAAAGGGTCCCGCGAGTGTCATTCAGCCCTACGCAGCCAAGTACGTTAAGAATGAGTGGGCGTACACGGCCGACGAGTACGGATTCTTCTCGCTGCAGGCGTCCAAGGACTGGCTGAAGCTGCAGTACCACACGGCGGACACCAAGTGGAACTTCGCGGAAACCTACGCGGACACGACGATCGGCGGCGTGGCGACCAAGCACTGCTGGTACGTCCCGGCGGACGGCTCCGAGGGCAAGGCGTGCTGGACAGAATGGGAAATAGCCCCTCAAACTTTGAGGTTAAAGCGCAATTGAAGTTAACCCCAGTGGAAATATTCGATCAGCCAATCGCAACATTCGCGACAGAATCACATTCCCTTCCGATTCCTCGGACGATGGCTCCCCGTACGGCTGTGACGCTCAACATCTACGACCTGGTGGAGGCCAACGAGTACATGGCGCGTACGTGGCGTTCCCGTTGTTGCACCGCTGGCATTGGCATGCATGATGCCGCACTGGCTGCTGCGAGCTCTAATCTCTAGCATTCTAATGAATTATCCGGTTGCGTTTGGCAGCGCTGGGGCTCGGCATCTTCCACAGCGGCGTCGAGATCGCCGGCCAAGAGTTTTCGTACGCGAGTGGCGCCGGCGTCTTCTCCTCGAGCCCCCGACAAGCGCCCGGTGGGAGCATCACCGTCCTGTTCTACCCCTGGCTGGTAGAGGGTCTCTCTGACTGCTGCTGCTGCTGCTGAACAGGGGCCAAGTTCCGGGAGTCGGTGGACATGGGCTTCTTCGAGGGAAGCTTCCAGGAGGCCCATCGACTGGCCTACTCGCTGAGCTCGGACTTCGAGGGAGGCGCCTACAACCTGTTCACCAAGTACGGAAGTGCTTTTGGTCTGTCGATCTACATTCTACCAAAGTGTGACACAGTTGACCCCTTTGCCGCTGCAGGAATTGCAACACGTACGCGGACGCGCTCTGCCAGCTGCTGCTGGGCAAAGCCATCCCGTCCTACGTGAACCGCGCGGCCTACTTGGGCTCGTTCCTCAGCTGCCTCATGCCCGCGGACATGACGGACCAGGCGCCGGTGGGCGACCCTAACGCGCCTTCGCGTCCGACGAGCGGCGCCCCACGTCGCTCTGATTTCGTCTACACTCCATTTGCCGGTGCGTTGCCTTGCGCTGCCCCGTTGGTTTCCCCGTTGGTTTCTGTGCTGGTTAGAGGGCGAGTAAGGCTGAGAGAGAGAGTGTGTTTGTCTGCATGCAGGCTCTGGCCAAAGCGTCGGCGGCACCGCGGACTCCTCATCGTCCACGGAGTCGTCAACGCTAGCCGACCGCCGCGAGAAAGTTCGTCTGGCAGCTTTGCGGCGAATGGGCGAGCAAGGACAGTAGAGGCTCGCGCGGTTGTACAGTGCATTCCTAGTGAGCCACCTGCAGGCGCAGATTGCTGCTAAATATGAATATCTTCTTGAGCAGAGTCAATAATGGAGTCCCATTAAGGCGAGTCCCATTAAGGAGGGGTTTCAGACTTTACTCAGCCGTATACGGAACTGTCGTGTGGCGGTCGCAGGCATGGGGAAGGCGCCGTCGCCGAGTAAGAAGGGCAGCGGCCACATCGGAAGTCGAGCGTTGAGCGCCACGCGCTCCGATAGCGGATCTGCTGCGTTCGACGATGCGGACGGCGGGGTCACCTCTGCTCCCCCTCGAGTGGAGAGCACAATTGTGAGCCGGGAGACAGCTACACACCTGGCGTTTGCTAAAAGGTGAGCAGGCGACCATTTCCTATACACGATTGTGAATTGGCCTTAATAACTGGTAGACTGTCTGTCTGCCTTGGTCTGTAGCCGGAAAGAAGACTTCGTGTATGCACCGACTAGCCACTACTTCCACATTTTAAATGAGCATTGCCAATGGGACCACGAGGTGCGATCAGCTCTACTAGTGGTCGTTGGACAGCCTGGGAATGGCAAGTCTGCTTTGCTGGCGAACTGGGCGGAAGAGCGACGTCGTTCAGTAAAAGGAGAGCGTGAGCTCATCTACGAGCACTACTGTGGGTGCTCCTACGATAGCGTCAAGCTGTCACTGTTTCTGTTTCGGTTTATGAACCAGCTGAAGATTTCGTACAGTTTACGAGACTTTGAGCTCCCCCGCGAGCACGAGGAGGAAAAGTTAAAGTTCTCTTTCAGTCGGTGTTTGGAAGCCGCAGTAGGAAAAGGAGAGCACACGACAGGGCCTGCATCAAAGCGGAAACGGTACGGTTTGATGCTCTCTCTCTCTCTCTCTGCGTGATCCTCGCCCACATCGTTGACATGAACGAATGTACTGCATCCAGGATCATCCTTGTCCTGGACGGGATCGACTGTGTACGGACTGAAGATGGAGGGGATTCATTGTCCTGGCTGCCAAACACCTTCCCTGCTGGAGTCCGTATCATTGTGTCGAGTACGCAGATTGGGGCAAAAGGCAAAAGTCATTTGCATCGCTGCCGAAAAATAGTGCGACAACCAGCCGTATATGATAGCGAGTACGTCGACGTGTCTTGCGCTTTGCTGCGATTTTGTAGTACTCACTCTCGCCCAATGTCGTTGCGCGCTCAGCGGTGATTTAATCTATGAAACAACGCTGCCACCGCACGACAAGGAATCGCATACCATCCGAGAGTTGCGCCGCCGTAATGCAGCGTTTATGGTTGTAGAACCCCTTGACGAAGTCTCCTGTTCGGCAATCCTAAAGGTAAGAGCCGCGATGTATTTATTGTTGTGCCGTCCAATGACTTTACTAACCTCGATGCACTGGAGAAAAGATGTATGAACACAGGTTCTCAAGCGAGCTGGATCCCGAAGAGAAGCAGCTGATCGTAGCCGCTCGCGGAAGCTCCAGTCCGCTCTACGTGAGGCTATTGCTGAATGGGCTCGAGCTTTTTGACCCCAGCGAGAGTGACCAGCGCCACCAATGGCTTGAGCAAGCCTGTGAGAGCAATCAGCTGAATGGCGTCTACGAATTTTTGATGAAGCAGTGGAATGCCATTCTGCTGAAGGATTCGTTTGCCGAACTGCAAGAACGTACAGCAATGCTGGAGGCCGCGGCGTCAAACACCTTTAACAGTGGAGCACCCTTATTCACGAGCGATCGCAGTACTTTGGATCAAAACGGTGGCACTCGAAACTCCATCAAAGGCGACGTATCGGGTTCAGGCAACAACAACAACAACAACAATGGCCTATCATCAAAGTTAAATGCGCCCGGCAACTCCATTGATGTAGAAGATATCGAGCGCCTCCAGGTCACCATCGAACAGCGCTCCCTTCTGGTTCGCCACACGCTGTCACTTCTCGCAGTGTCTCGCTATGGACTATCCGAGAACGATTTTGTTCGTCTTTTTGGCGAGAGCATCTCTCGAAGCGTTTGCCAGCAGCTGCTGACCCTACTTAAACCACACTTGATGACAATTCACCGGTACGACTGTGGACCAGCTCCTCAAAGCCCGGCGGCGGGCTCTATTGCTGCCTCGGCCTGTAATTCTATCAGAGCTAGTGGCAATCAAGATAACGGTGACGAGGGAGTCGTGCTTTATGACCTCAGTCACAACCAGTTGAGGATCCTTACTCGATACGGTTTTCTGAGTGACGACCAGCTGCGTGGTTGCTACTATCGAGAGCTCGCCGTGTACTTTGAAGCGATGGAGGCTTGCCAGCGTCGTGTGGACGAACTTCCCGTGCAGTTGGAGCGCTGCTCGATGTGGAGCGTGCTGCAAAACTCACTCGTGAATATGAAGATGTTCCAGTTGTGGTGGAGCGAGCGGAATCGGCAGGAGTTCTTCTTTTACTGGATGGTACTATCGGCGAATTGCTCTATGCACGATCCAGTAGACGACTTCATCCGCTCACTGGACGAATACATCGCCCAAGAATCCCCGAGCATGGAACAGTTGCTGGCCATTTTCCTTACGATCACCGACTTCTTGCGCGCGTGGCAGAAAATTGACGAGTCCCGCGTCGTGAACCTCGTTCTGAATCGGCCAAAGCCCCCTCAGCTTCAGGAATTCCTGACTGGCCTTGGCACCTTCTCGACGTCCAACTTGTCCGAAAGCGAGGCAGAACGGGTGCAAAAAGAGATCGAGGCTCTCGTCATTCACCCAGAGGATGGCTACTACGTTCGAAGGTGGCTCTGGACACAGTTCCCGCTGATCGGGACTGCGTTTGAGAGTCGAGTCTTCCGTAGTGTCGGCTCAGGCCGAACCCCAGCTGATAGTGGTGATTCATCTTCAGGAGCACGAGATGAAGCTGCTGGCCCCGCAGATAAGGCATTCTCTTCAAAGAAAGGAGCCGGTAAGAAAGCGCTGAACAGTCCTGTAGGCGTTGTGCTACCTAAAGGCATTATCAAGGCAAAGAAGGCGTTGGTGCCAACTAAGCGTCGACCTCAGCACAAAGTTTTGACCTCGCTCGCACTTGATAGCGTCACTGAGGAGATTGGGGCGCTCGAGTTTCTGTCAGCGGAAACGGGTGAAGGTTCCGTCTCAAAGCTTGAGGTAGGCGAGTACCATGCTCCTTGTCACCTGACCTCTACTCAAATCTAATACTCCTTCATTGTTTTTTTGTGTAGAGCCAACTCATGGAGCTACGGATGAAGTACGACAGGATCAAATTCCTTGCGCGTGAACGAAATGAAGCGCTCAAGTCGGTCGAATCTCGGGTGCTGGATGCGAAGGCGGAGATCACCGCGGCGGGTCAAAGTGCGACCCAAATCGACGATCTGCTCGAAAACATTCGCAACGTGAACGACGAAGCAACGCTCGGCCGCCAGCGCAGTGAGTACTACAAGCTGATCCTGCGCCACTGCGAGCTGAACCCGGCGCGAGACCCGAAAACGATCGAAACTGCGGAGGCGACCGTGGCGAAGTTGAAACGCGAGATCGTAGATCTGCAGCAGAAGACGCAAGTGGTGTCGTACGAGAAGCGCCTTGCTAGCCTCGACGTCCCCAAGCTGGCTCAGGTAACTCAAGACAAAGCGTCAATTCACCAGGAGGCGCTTTCACGGCTGCGGTGGCGACAGGAGCTCGATCGTCGGCTTTACTACGCCAGCCTGTCGACGAAAGGCAGCGGACAAATCACACTCAAGCCTAGCGCTACTGCGTCAAACGCGTCTCCGAAGAAAGACCCCGCGGACCACTCGAAGAAGAGTACCGGCGTCACCTTCACAACGGACGACTCGACGCAGACGGCTCCTGTTGACCCAAACTTCTTTCGCGCCAAGGACAAGCTGATTCACATGAAGGAGACGTCGCTGGCCAGGCAAAAGAACGCTGAAAACCTGCAGCTATACGTCGGAAGCGCCTACAAAGACGACGGGATACTGGGCGCTCTTCGGCAGGTCGGCATCAACAAGCCAGAGGAGGCGCTGCTTTGCTGGCAAAACCAGCTCGACCACTCCGTTCAGCTCGAGGAGGAGGAAAAGCAGGCGGAGCAGCGCGTGCTCGAGTACCGCGAGAAACTGGAGCTCCTGCAGACTCAATTCGTGAACCTCAAGCTCAGCGGCAGCTCTAGCGGGCGGGTGGAGGGATCGACGGAGGACGACGCAAACAATGCGAACGGGGACGACGAAGCTGCAGCCTCCAAAACGAGCGTCAACGTCAAGATGCTGGAGAAGCAGTTGGCCGAGGCAAATGCTGTCAAGCAGAAGAAGAAGGAGCGAGCAGCGCGGTTGCGCTCGCTGCACGAGAAACTGCAACTGGGCCTGCTGCACATCGCTCAGTTACTGGGCGTGGCCTCTGTCCAGCAGCTAAACGCTCTGGAGCTTGTGGACTCCATCGAAAAGGTGGTGCGGGTTGTGCTCGGTGGCGAAGCCCACCTGCAGGCGGCGCCCAGCCCCAGCTTCCGCCACAAGAACAGCACGCGAATGGTCAACGCACCGGGACAAACGGGAGACCCCATGGGCCTGCCGTCGGACACGCGCAGCGACGACGACAAGGTGCGCTACAACATCCGTGTATCGCGGACCGAGAAGCGCCAGATGAACCCGTACGTAGACGCGGAGTTTGACGAAGACGACCACGAAGACGACTTCGATGAAGACGAAGACGACGACCGCAATGATGCTGGCAACAGTACAGAGCATAGCGACGACTACGACGGATCGCCGGGCAAGACTCGAGCCCCCTCTGCGCGCGATGACTCCAACACGGTGAAGAAGCGCCGCGACATCAAGAACCGGTCCAAGCTCGAGATGGAGAAGAAGAGAGCTGCACAGAAGAAAAAGACCAAAGACTAGGGAGAGAGTTAGCTGCACAGAGAGTCGAAAGCGTCTTTTACCTTGCATTCTTTTTCTTCTTCTTCTTCTTCTTCTTCTTCTTGTTAGTTATGGCGGTGGGCTTGATACTCGCTCGCTCGCTCGTCTCGGGTCCAGATGGCATAAGTCACTGAGGCGTTGCGTCCGTGAGTCCGAACCTGCGGCTCGCTCGCGCAGCGTGCTCCACCCCCTACAGAGAGACACGCTCTTTTCCCCTTACGCCTGCTGGTGCTCGTCGTCGTACGACTCGTAATCGTCCTCGTCGTACTCGTGGACGTAGTCGTAGGTCTCGACGGGCGGCGCCTCAGGCACAGCCACCACGAGGCCGTTGAGCTCCTTCTGCAGCACAATCTCCGTGCCCAGACGCGAGCTAACAGCAAGAGGCCCTCGGTCAGTCAGTCATTGCCACAGCAGCAGCAGCAGCAACAACAAAAGCTGAAGCGAACTTACTTGACGGAGCGGTCCTCGGCCGGGACGTACGTGTCGATGATGTGGCGCTCCTGCGAGTTGGCGGCCGGCAGCTTGGAGATCCACTCGTTGGACACGACGACGTGCGACTGCGGGGACGCGGCGCCCTCGCCGAAGAGCGACTCGGTGTAGAAGTCGGCGCGCCGGGCGTCGAACACGCCGCCGCCGCCCATCGAGTCGTCCTTGACGAAGCCCACGTTGTTCATCTCGCAGGCCTGGCGCAGCGTCTGGCCGGCGCGGCCCTTGACCACGTGGCGGTTGCCCTCGTAGTCCACCAGCACCACGTTCACCCTGCAACAGGAAGAGACCACCAGAACAGACAGAACGGGGGCGTCAGCCAATGGCTCGCTACCTCAGCGCCGCAGACAGAGCAGTAGCAGCACGCACACTTTCTCGGCCACGGTGGGCGCGGACGCCTCGGCAGCGAACCCGCCGATGAAGCGGCGGCTCGCGGCGCGCGACAGCGCGGACGATCGGAGAGCACGGGCCAGCATCTTGCAGTTGGTGGGGAGGAGGAGGTCTAGACAGAGCCACACACCAGCGGGCACTTGCTTAAACTATGGAATCGGCGATCTCGACGGTGATTGGGCGAGAATGTAACCGGGTTACGACTTTAGTAACCCGGCTACCCCCACCGCCATATAGCTCGCAGCAGCGCAGCCATGGCGGGGGGCATGTACACCAAGATGACGTCCACGGGCTCGTCGCTCATCGTGAACCCGCGCACGATCTCCAAGGAGCTGGAGGCCAAGATCTCGGCAGCCATCGCGGGCGTCATCGCGTCCCACGACGTGGCCAAGCTCACCACGAAGCTCGTGCGCCAGGCCGTGGAGAAGGAGGTGCACGTGAGTCTCACGAACCACAAGGACGTGCTCAAGCGCCTCATGCACCAGGAGCTGCGCAAGCTCAAGGCCAAGAAGGTGGCCAAGCGCGCGGCTCCGGAGCCCTGGAAGATGGCCATGAGGCGCGAGGCCATCGTCAAGGGCCTCAACCGAGTCTACCAGATGCTGCGCGAGGCCGAGAGCTTCCCGAGCTGGGGCCTGCACGCCATCCAGTCGCTCTACGACCTGCAGTCGGTGGAGAAGGGCGAGGTGCTGAGGCTGGCGACGCTCTACGCCAGGCTCATCGGCTCTCGCTGGCTCAAGGAGGACCGACACGCGGACTGGGCGGTTGGAACAGTCCCCACGCCCACGCAGCTCGTCAACGCCATCACCGCTGTCTACTTAGTAGAGCGTCTTGGCGTCTCCCACTCGAGGCGCGTCGAGCTGCTAGACTTCTGTGACCGAACGCCGGCTGTCTACGGCCCCAAGGTGAGTCTTGGTGGACAATCGAGATGGCAAAATAGAGGCGACGCTAACGTTTATTTTGTACTCGTTGCACAGGAACTTCTCGGATGGAACCCTGCGGAGGGGCCTCCGCCTGCGGATGACAAGAGCGGGGCCTCCATATACGAGCGACTGACGAGTGGACTGGTTCTGTGGCATCATTCCCGTGCGCTCGGGATCTCCATTGGATTCACCTTGCCGCAGTTGCTACAGCACCTGCTGCCAGTATACCCGTACAAGGGTCCAGGTGATCTTCCTCCTCGAGAGTATGAGGACCAGGTCCACTGGGTGTCAACCCTGGTATTTGTACTTACGAACCATGGAAAGCTGCGCTGCGAAACGGTAAGGATGAGAGGAAATATTGCAACATACTGCTGCACAATAGCTTCTACTAACCGTTGGTTTGCATATTTCGACAGGATCTTCTGCCTCACGAGTACTTATTCCTGCGCCATCACGTTGTCTACCACCTCGCTCACCAAGATGTGGCTTTGCTGGGTGAAACGTTGCGGGTACGCATCAAATGTACACGGTCGGTGTAATCGGATCGCTTACAGGACTGTCATCATTTCCGTGCGTAGGCGTTGCGCTGCTTCGAAGGCTCGAGTAATCTCGTACAGATGCGCCGTGGGTTGGCATTCCTGCTGCTGACCCAACGCGACGATGGGTCTTGGGTGACTGAATCGTCAGAGAGTGATGCCACGCAGCGATATTTCTCAACAGTTCAAGCTCTGTGGGCACTGTGCGAGCCTCACCGAGTGGGTTTTGCCCCCGCCTTTCCGGAGGCCACACCGATCCTGGAGTTGCACTTGAATGCGGATATTGAAATCGTTGAGGTGAGTGTTGTGGCTTTAGTACTGAGGGAATTGACGACCCAGCTTCTTACGGTTAATTTTATTTTATGTGTTCGTCTTCAGGAGACACTCACTGAGGCATCTAAGAGTACTTCATCTGCCTCACCTGCATCGTATGGCACAAGCGGTGCCGATCCTGAGGTAGAGGCAGCGACGGCAGCCGCTCCGTCCGAAAATGAAGACGTGGCGACTCGTGTGACGTTCCTGCAAGGCCTATTGGATCAAAACGGCAACGTGACGAATGTATCAGCTGCGCTGGCCACACATGTGTTGAACACACTTGCAGATATGGTGCTCACTGTTGATATTCTCAAGAGCACTGGGGTTGGGCGCACTATCAACAAGCTTCGCAAGCACGCTACACCTGCGGTGGCCAAGGCTGCCACACAACTTGTTGCGAAATGGAAAAAGGACTTGCTGTAGGCGTTGTAGGTTCGAACAAAATACTTACGTGATCACTCACCATTTATTAGGGACCAATGTACGGCAGCGAGCTACCACTCGACTGATTACCATGATCACGATCACCAGGGACTTATGGCAGCAAGAGCGCTTTTCGCAGCTTTCCATGCCGCGTTAGACGGAGTTTGCTGCTGCTCTGCTTCATCAAAGGAGCCGTAGTGCTCGTCCTCCTCCGAAATCAACGACTCCTCCAATTCATACGGTGATTGTCCAGAAGGTGGCGAGTAGTCACTGTACGAAGACTCAGAGTACCTGTCTGCCCATGACGACCCGCTGGCGCTACGGTCGTCCATGTCTCTGCGGCGGTCCAGCTTGTCCCGAGGCTTTTTCCCTCCAATTCCAGCAGAAGACCGTCGGCGGGCTGCGGATGCTGGCGAGAGTCGCGTTTCACGGGGACGATTCGCCACAAAATACACCGAGAAGAGGAAGCAGCTCATGGCCACTCCGAATGCAACAACTAACTCAACGCACATAATTACAGAGAGAATACGATGATCAATGGGTGGAGTGTCGGGACTAGGTGGCGGGGTCACTGTTAATATCATATCAGGAAGTAAGAACATCAGCAATAATTCCGCGGCAAGTTCGGTTTCCACTGTAGCTATTGTACAGTACCTGCTGGTAACAAGACGTTTAGCAAGACAGCAGCAGCCAGCGTCGACCCCAAATAATTGTCGTCAAAAACTTCGACGGGGGCCGCATCGCGCGAGTCATAGGCCAGTGCAAAGGCTGTAGGGGCAGGTTCCGATGTGGCCAGCGAGAACGGGAACCAAGCCAGCGACGTTCGAGTAGGCATTGCCGCCTCGCACACCATGTCCCTCGTTTTGTTGCGAACATAATCAGCCAAGCCAGGGAACTTGTTCTACAAGTCACGAGTAGTTAGCGCGCAGTTGGTAATTCCACACGGACAGCAAAGAGCATACGTACCCTTGCAAACCCTCGCTCCAAATAATAATTGTACAGAATCCAAGTCCTTGCTGGAGGGTGATCGTCCATTGAGCCAGTACCAGCGGACGGATCGCCCTCAGGACAGGCAAAAAACGAAGCCGGAAACTGAGTACAAAAGAAAGAGAAGGATCCCGGTTCCGACAGAAAATGCTTCATGAGAAGCATCTTTTTGTCGTCGTCCAGCTCTACAGCATAACCAGGTAGAAATCCCCGCAAGGAGTGAACTGAGGTCATCGATACTCTGCTAGAGTCAGCGAAAAAATCACTCGATATGCTCCAGAGACCCTGTGTACTGTTGTTTCCGATGAGAGCCCCCTCTAGTCCTCTGGCCATTGCGCGCAGCTCTTCCATATCCTTCAGGAGATCTTTCTCAGTGAGTGTGAATCCAGTGCACACGGACGAGTGCTCCACGAGCACCCGGCCGATATTCACAAGCCCCAATGCTGACCGCAGCGCAAGTGCATTGAACTCCACATCCTCCACTCCGAATTGAGGAGTTTCACTGTCATCTGCTGCTGCTGCTGCGACGGAATCTAATGCAAACGATGCAAGATCATAGATATCGCTGCCTCCTCCATGCCGCTGATGTCCTGCAATATATATCATGGGCTCGTACAGATTTTCCACCGCGTCTTCAGCTGATAATACACTGATCGCTCCATTTGCAAATCGAGTGCGGGCTTCCTCGGGAATTGAACCTACGACCGTATCATAGTCTGGTGCACTCTTTAGTTCGGCAAGAAAGTCTCTCCAGTGCGGTGAAAGTGACGAAAACGTTTCCCAAGGGTGCTGCACCAGCACCACAACAAAAAGAAGCCGTCAGGTACCACCAACACAGCTGTGCAACTTCTGAGCCATACGTGTACTTACACGAGCTGTCAGCAAGCTGTATGGGGCAGGGCCACGACGAGTAGAGAACAAGTGCTTCTGCAGCTTCATGAGGGGTTCGTAGACGTGACATAAGAATTGTACAGCGGTCGTCCTCACCCCCAGGACCGAGTCATAAGGTGCTAAGCGGAAGATCTCCCAGGCGACATCAGCAGCAACGGGCGGAGCGGAGATCGTTGAGGTGTTTAGCAAACGCGACGACGACGCCTGAGCTTGGTGCTGTTCCTCCGGCGCGGCTTGTTGCCAGAATGCCGGGCCTGGGTGGAAGGTGCGGTTGCTGGGAATCCAACGCCAATCTGACGGCACGGACGGACCGTAGACTAAGTGAGGCAGCAATCCGTTGGGCTTCTGGTACTGCAGGATGCGCTGGACCTGCGTTGCGGCCTGGTTGAAGTCTTCGTGTGCGAGCGCTTGCGCCGCCAGCAGAGCGTCCGCTGGTTTCTATTGGTCAGTAGCAACGTCACAGCCAACGTCACAGAAGTAGGGAATGTGTTAGGATTTGCTGTACAGTAGCAGTTGATGAAGTCCTGCTTCCTACTGTTCAGTACCAGATACTGGAAGCCCACGACGTCGCGCTTGCCCGCGCCGACGCCGCCCAGCTCCACGTCCACGTGCTCCGCCAGCAGCAGCACAGCATCTCGCTCCAGCTTCCTCTCGTCGCACGGAGTTGCTGCCATCGCCGTCGCCACGCACGCGGCGACTAGTAGGCGCACAAGCTGCTGCATGCTCGCTACAGTGTAGCTGGCAGGATCAAGAGTGGCTCGCGATCGACAGCCGTCCATGGAGGGAGTGTCACAAGTTGAACCTTTGTCTTGGTTTGTGTATCACCAGGAGTGATTGCGGGACGGTTTTACCGGGACAGAGCGCGAGGCGTCTTTGCGCACTTTTTGACCTTCAACCGACGCGTGAATGAGGCGCTGGAGCTTCCACACCGTGGCGCTGGCCAGCGGCGGAGCGGACGAGGAGCTGGCGGCCAAGAAGGAGCTGCTGGCGAGGCTGCGGGCGGACACGGCGCTCTCGAGCTGGCAGAGGAGCTGCTCGTTCCGCGTCGTGGGTCGGGCGCAGCTGGAGGAGCTGGTGCGCGCGACGCACGCGGAGGAGACGGAGGCCAGACGGCGTGAGGAGAGGAAGGCGCTGCAGGAAGCTGCAGGAGCGGGGGAAGGAGACACCGCGGGGGACGCAGAGGAGGACAAGGAGGACGATGATGCGAAGGCGGTTGTTGTGTCGCCGGCGCTGTTGGCGCTGGCCTTCCAGCGGCTCGTGGCTCGCGACAAGCGAGAGTTTCTAGCCTACCCACAGTCAGATCCTAGTGAAGCGGAAGGAGCAAGTGCACAGGCGCAGTATTCGGCTACTGAAAAGGAGGCACAAGGGTCTGAGGAAGGCGAGCAGGATCCTGCTCAACCGCCTGCGCGTGTGTACCTGTTGGTTGACTACCCTACGTCTTTGGCTGAGGTCACTGCTCTGCTGAGGCTGGGGGAAGTAGGAAGTGCATCGCAAGTGGACGATGGGCCTGAAAACCTGCCACTCCTGCCGCTTATTGACGGAGTCGTGCTCCTGGCAGATCCATCGGCAGCACGCGGCCGAAACAGAAGCAGCTCCACTAATGTGCCACGGAACCGAGGTGGATCCGTAGTTAAAGCTGAAGGAGGCACCTCTAGAATGTCAGTGATGGAGACAACCGCATTTCAGACCTCCAACGCCGTCGTGAAGGTGTTCTACGAGGCTGCTCAAGTGGGAGGGATCGAGTGGAGTGACTTTACGTTTACGAATATCGGCTGTGGGGCTACAACGGCAGGAACTAAGTCAACTGAGGAGCTTGAAAAAGAAATTATCAGCACCGTGGAGGAGATAGCAGCTCAGAAGTTTGCGTTTAAAAACTGGGTTGCGTCTACCAGATTTTGTGCGATTCCGACGTCACCTGGCGCTGACGGTGCTCTCTACGAACAGTATGAATCTGTCCTAGATGGCGTATTTCCTGGCAGTGTTGCGGTCAGTACAGTGCTATTTGCCGTCGCCGAGGCCGTGGCGACGCTAGCTTCCCCTCCGATGAAGTTACCTACACCTTCTTGCAGCCGCAACCAAGATGCTTCATCAAACCTTGAGGAGTTCGTCGAGTACGGTGACATAGTTGGTTGTCGGATCGCGAGTGCCCAGCTATTTCGTGAAGCGCTACAAGCAGATGGAGACCCATGCTTCGTTGCCAGAGGACATCGCATTGACGATATTGAAAGAGCGATGTGGCGACGAAGTGACTTTCCCGGTGTGGGCAATGAAGGGCGGAAGATTATGCCTAGGACGCCACAGCTGTCCGAGCCAGAGCGCAGCGTACGCAACACGGAGCTTGCAACGTTCTACGAATCACCTCGCTTCAGCTCCTGGATGGTACATTTAACAAGACAGCTCTTGCAAGTTGAAGATCTACTGGGGAACTCATGGAGGGGAAGATTACAATCTCGTGTATTCATGGAATACTTACCGCGCACCATTCTTCCACAAAGAATTGCATCGGTACTACAGCAAAATACGGCCGACATATATTCAAGTTACTACCCAGCCACAGACTCGCTTCTAATGGCATGTCTCCCGAGCACTGCACCTGGGCGACTACGATCGACATCTTGGGTCGCCCGTGACCATGTACGCCATCGGCCCGCGTTCAAAGATTGGAAACAAAAGCTGCTTATTTCGAACGAATATCTCACCCCGCGTAGTGAGGCCGCAGCAGCGGCATGTGTTCCATTGTCTGCTGGACAACTTGAGTTCGTGGCGACTCAAAGTTGGTCGATGTACCCTGCTGATCACAGCGTGGTGAGAACATGCCAAACTCCTCGAGGTTCGTTATGGCTCACCGTTTATCTCCACGGGTGCGTTGACATGTTAGTAATTTCATCAGGTTTTGCTACGCAACTAATTGCTTCATGTTCATTGTTGGCAGTGAAACGTTTGGCTTACGCTCGGGCGCGGAGCACTTCTCAGCGAGTGGAGATAATCGCGGAGAGTCCACTCTCGGACCCTCACTTCTGCTGGATCGTAAGATTCACTTCATCGCATCATTTCAAGACGAATCTACGCTCCATATTAGCGAGGGAAAAAGAAGGCTACCGAAAAAGCCAGACAAGTTTCCCACGGTCGCAGCAACCAATTCGTTTCCAAATGGCCTTATTGTGTCTGCTTGCTCTGATGGCTCTATCATCCAGCGGTATTCTCACAGTGCACAGAACATCAAGAATAAAGGCGCCTACAACGCTAGCAGTGGTGTGAACAATGCTGGGGTGACAACTGCGTTGCAACATGAAGAGGAACGCGAGGCGTATCGTGTAATTTACGGGAGGGGAAGCGTGCTGCGTGTGCTCCAGTGCGGGCGAAAAGAGGTATTGCTAGCAAATGGTATCACTCGAGTGGTCCAAGATTGCAAAACACACCGACACGACTCACGAAGACGAGCCTGTAACGATGCTGAACTACCGCCACCACTAGCTACAACGCTTACTGTGGATCCTGAGACGAATGCATTGGTCGAGCGACGCCCCAATGGCGTCATAATCGTAACTTTAACGAGCGGTGCTCGTGTGACGTATCATGCGGATGGCACGGGAATGTACTTGAATGCTGGCAACACGCACGTACTCGTTAAAAAGCGAGGCTTTGCCGATGTTTGTATCGATGTGGATGTCAATATTACGGCTCAACACCACAGCGCAGGGGAGCGTGTGGCAGTCACGAAAGGCGGACTACGCGTACGCAGCGTCGTAGACGTTTACGACGGAACACGCGTCGAGATCAGCTATAACACAAAGGTTACAGCGCAAGTGAATGGCCGAGTCACGACTCGAAAGCCCAGTGGGCAAATTGTCGTAGCTAAAGACAGTGGAAGAGTGGAGTACATATCACCGGGATCCATGAAAAATCCAGCCGGCCCAGACTCTAAAGACGACGACGATAGAGATGTGACGAGCCACAATGGTGTCTACTACTTCGACTGTCGCCAAGGGCATTTCCAGCTTTGTGACAACGAGCAAAACCAGTTTCGCGTAGAATTTAATGGAACAGACAAGGAAGAAGGACCTAGTGTAGCTGTTGACCTCGCAGGCGTGGTGAGTGACGCTGAGGTCGCTCGATACGAAGTAGATGCTATTCCGGCGAAAGCTGTCATCAACGAGCCAATCCCGCCCCACGTGTTCGTTCTCAATGGTGATGGATCAGGAGTTGAGATTCCAAGACCACAAGACATTGCGGGGTACATTGAGGGCGTTGCAACAGAAAACCAAGTTGGCAAAACAGGTGGCGCCCAGCTATCAACGACTCGGAGCCATGTCTTCCTACGGCACCTGCGCGACTCGAGACCCCCAACGCCCATTTTCAATGATGCGAAAGTACATGCAGAAATGCTGGGGCTTCAACAACCCGTGGCAACTGCAGCCAAGTATCTTCCGCGCTTCTTCGCCGAGGCAAAGATCACCACTCCGTCGCAGCAATTTACAACCGTGAGGCGTATCCAACAGATTGAACCGCTGTCTGCAGATGAGCTGCTCGAGATGCATGCGGGCTGGACCAAGTGGGAACAATGGCAAGAGGAGCGTGAAGCGAACAAGGAATGTTACAAGGTTGTCGACCCACGGCAGCCCGAGGTGATCGCACAAGAGGTAGCGATGCAAAAGAAGGTTTTAGCCGCTTACAAGGCGACCCGAGCGCGGAAAAAGTTGGCTCGACAGAAGGCTCGTGAGATGAAAGCTAAGAATGGTCAGGAACTGAGCCCTGGTTTGCGGATGGAAACAGTTCAAGAGGGAGAAGAGACATTGGGCGATGAGGGTGAAGGCGAATCGGACGATGAATTCGGCCAGTTTGGCTCAGACATGAGCGACGACGACGTCGGCGAGACTGCCGAGGTGGACGACCCGATGGAGCTGCTATGGTCGGCGTTTTCGCAGGCCGATACGGAAGGCAGGGGCTTGCTGTCCATCGCGCAGAGTACGTGCGCTGTCTGCTGCTGCGTCAAGGCTGAGCTCATTACTTTGTGCTTTTGTATGCTTGTTGCAGCGCGACTAGGTGTGGTCAACGTTCTAGGCATTGGTGTGACTGCCAACGAGCTCACAGAGGCGCTCGTGCGGTTCAAGATTCCCTATCCTTTCAATGTGCGTGGAAACCTGCTGCATGCATGCATCGGACAACAACTGACCGCTCATACTGTTCCCAGGTGAGCTTTGACGTCTTCGCTGACCTCGTCGCGTTCTTCCGAAGCGGCGACGAGAGCAACCAAGATTCCGAGGAGCCTAGCTCAGACCAGGGCAGCCACATCCCATCGCTTAAAGGCATGGCGCCAGCGCAGCGCGAGGGCCATGGCACGCCGCGCGGGTCTGCTGCTGAGGCCATCCGCGCGAGACACCTCGACGGTGGCAGCATGAGCTGCTAGCTGCGGCGGCGACGACGTCAACCGCCTAGTCTACTATTACCGGTAGCTACCGGCGGGGCAAGCCGGTGATACAACTGGGGGTGGAGCAGACTAAGCGAAGCAACAACTGCAACATGAACCGTGGGCAACCACCAGTGTCGCCACATTGTTCGAGCCACCATCTGTTTCGAGCTGTTTCAAGAGGGAGCTATCTTTGGAGTGCAACCAACTGACGCAGCCAGCCATTTCGCATCTGCCCCGTTGTCGCCGCCACCACCGCCACCGCCGCCGCCGCAAGCATGACCGGTCCTCCGTCCCCGAAGCGCCAGCGCACCGACGACAACAAGCCGTCGGACGCCGAGCAGGAGAAGGTGCAGAAGGTGCTCGAATCCGTGCACAAGGTGGAGGAGGAGCTCGAGAAGGAGAACGTGCTGCAGGCCAAGGAGGTGCTGGCCATCGAGACCAAATACAACGCCAAGAAGCGCCCCGCGTACGTGAAGCGCAACAAGCTCCTGGTGGAGATCCCTCACTTCTGGAAGCAAGTGGTACGTGCTAGCACAGCCGAGCTGCGTGTTGGAAGAAGGCCGCCGCCATTGACTTTTCTCGCTTTGTTATTTATTGCAACGCGTTTGATGGTGCAGTTCGTGAACCACCCTCTCGTGGGCAACTACCTCACGGAGGACGACGAGATGCTCATGGACTTTCTGGAGACGTTCGACATCACCTTCGTGGGCGACGACGGAAGCTTCAAGATGGAGATGGTGGATGATCATCAGCGCAGTCGCTTTTTGTCTTGTAGACGATGCTGACCGCTTACCGCGTGTGACTCGTGTAGACCTTCAAGGAGAACCCGTACTTCTCGCCGACGACGCTGTGGAAGCAGGTCAAGTTCTCGGAGGACGAGGAAGAGGTGGAGGTTACTGCTTCGGAGCTCACGTGGAAGGACAAGGCTGAGATAACGGAGGAGTCTGAGAAGTTCCCGTTCTTCCAGGTATGACGAGTCATTGTCCAACTTGCTCTCTTAGCGTTGTGTGCGCGTCTAATGGGAATCTTGGCTTGTGCGATGAATGGAACAGTGGTTCGTCTCGACGGACGGTGACCAGGACGTTGCTGAGATCATTAAGGAGGAGATGTGGAAGAACCCGGTGCAGTTCTACTTGATGGTATAGTTTGATGTCACCGCATGTGTCTTATAAGGCGAGCAAGATCACTGACAGATGCATTGGCATAACAGGACGAGGACGACGAAGAGGAGGAGGAGGAAGAAGAGGACGAAGGCGAGGGTGAAGGTGAAGGCGACGAGGAGGAGGCTGAAGGCGAGGACAAGGAATAAGCTCACCTCTTCTAAAAGCGCTGGCGTTTCGACCGCAGATTCCGATAATGATTTTCTTGTTTTTACTTTGCCTTTCTTCGTTCTCTCTGCTGACCGTCACCTCGCTCTCCATCTCGCACGCGTCACCTCCCTAGCTGCTTTTCTTCTTCACGTACATGGCGCTAGGCAGCCACTTAATCGGGTTGCGGTTGTAGATGGGCCAGTTGGGCAGAACCAACTGCAGCAAAAGACAATACGAGACGCAGGCCAGCACAGTGTGAGCAGAAGCCACGTGGCCCTCGACGCAGGTGGGCACGTACCAATGCGCTGACAATGGTAGCGGCGACCCAGGCTTGGAACGGGTATGTGAAGTCCTGCTGGAAGAAGCCGTAGATCCATGCAGGCGTGCAGATGACCACGAAGCACGCCACCAACAGCATCTCCGCGCGCGCCTGCCCCTTGTAGTCGACCATCTCGCAGCGACAAATGCAAAATGACAACGAAGTGCGTTCGTACTTAACAAAAATAACAAAAAGGGTTAATGGTAAGTAAATGGCAATTTGCAATTTGGTCAGGAGTTTGGAAAGTTAGAATTTAGATGGTCCTAAATATAATCTTTAGAACGTTCCAGATTGCTGATGAGCCTGGGAGATATTGTCAATTCTGCCCAAATTTTCCAAAAGGGTGCGGTTTGGCTCCGGTCTTGAAATCGAGCGGCGAATCAAACTTCGTCGCTATTTGGCCAATATTCCCTCCAGTGCCCGAGTATGCACTCCGCTCAGTCAATTCAAGATGGAGGAAGCGGTAACGCGGCAGCACGCGCTCCCTAGCACTGTCTATCACTGCCTCTACGCATCAAGCTCGGCTATACCAGAAGCCATCTTGCCCACGTCTTCAAGAAGACCGAGCACACGATCGGCAATTGGCTGCAAATCTGTGGAGTAGCGCCCTCGCAGAAATCTCTCGAATGCGATCTCGCACAAACTCGGCGCGTCTGGATAGCGGTCGCGCCGAGTAAATTATTCCCGGTTGTTGGAGTAGCGTATCTTCGAAATACAGGCCCAAGTCTTCGCAGGCTTCGGAGTTGGGGGTTCTTGTGTTGACGCTTGTTCCTTGTCGTAGGGCGTCGAGCCTTGGGCGTGCGGCGTTATCGGGCCGGCGTTTCCTGGGGCTTGTGTGGCGTTATCGGGCCTACACGGGGGGTCTTGTGCACGGCGGTTATCAGGCCAGTGCGGTCCTTCGCCTAAGCAGCGCGTTATCGGGCGCCCACCTAAACGGTATACGTTTAACGTGCCTTTGTTCCAGCACGGGTCTGTGGGGGGTGAGCACCCGAACCAGCAAACGAGGGGGGCCGCGATATCGAGGCGGCTCTACTTGCCGGCGCTTGGTGGTTCCCCTGGAACCTCGGAGAAGACGGGAGGTTTTTGTGGTTCAGAGAAATTTCGGGACTGAGTCCTTACCCTATCCTATGCCCTAGCTACTGGCTACTCCGTACTACTGCTTGCTAAGCCTACCGCTCTGGGCCTATCCCTACTTCTGTCGTGCTTGCACTGCCGTCCTTCAACCTGGTTTGCGTGGCGCAATCAAGATCTTACCTCGGCGCATTTTGGTCGGCGGGGGTTAGGGTCGGCGCGTTTTGCAGAACCGGGTGCGCTGGTCGACCCGTCGGATGATTACGCGTCGCACTGGATTCTGGCACCGTGTCTCACGGCCCATCACCCACGCCGACTTTCCCGTCGAGCTCGGCCCTGCGTCGCGCCCATCAATCCGCGTCGCGTTCCATCAGCCGCGTCGAAGTCCATCACTCGCGTCCCGGCGCCTTCTTCCTCCGGCGCCCGGCGCGCCCACTTCTTCCGCGGGGTACTACACCACAAATCTACTACGAGACCGGAGTGTTCCAGCGTGCTCGGACCACTCGAGAGAGGAAGTACACGAAGCAGCTGTGGTGTAGGGAACATCAAGTTTTGTGTCACACTCCAAGGCCGCAGTGGAACAACGTACCAGGAGCCAAGTTCTACTCGGCGGGATGACCGTCCGCCGAGCTCAGTGGGCAAGAATGCGCTGATGGACCGCTGAACTCGGCTGATGGTGTCAGAAACTCAAGGCACACCGGCCCCGACCTGGTGACACGTGGCAGGCCCAGTGATGAAGACCGAGCCGAGTTCAGGAAGGCACTGGACACGCTCAGCCGAGATCATGGGGGGTTCAAGCCGCCGAGCTCAGGCTAAACGGTACCATGTACCGTCCGATACGGTAACCAGGCTCAATTGAGTCCGGGAGTTGCGCAGTCGAGTTCACGGGTCGCTCTGCCGAGTTCACGAGTCGCTCCGCCGAGATCGCGGGTCGCTCCGCCGAGTTCGCGGGTCGCTCCGCCGAGTTCACTGGATTATCCGGCACCTTATCCGGCTCAGCCGAGTTCGCCAGGTTATCCGGACACGCCGTATCCGGCTCAGCCGAGTTCAAGGGGTTATCCGGACAGGTTATCCGGCTTAGCCGAGCTCAAGCGTCGCCGAGCTTGGTGAAGAGTCGGCTGAGATCCAAAACCGCCCACTTTCATTTGGTATTTGTATAGGAGATTAGGAATAGTGGAGGCGCCCCTTCAGGGCGCCCGACAGAGATAACAAACAACAGAGCAGAATTTTCTAGGTCCACAACACGTGCACGCGCTTCCAGTAAGCCCCTGCACGGGCCGGATTATGTCTGCTGTCAGCACCCGAGAGGTATAGCTTGTATTAAGTCGGCCCGGGTTGGGCGCGTGTCTCGCCAAGCGCGAAGGAAAAGTCTCGCCACCGCTGCGAGCCGGTGTTCCCGTACGTCCCGGGCACTGATTGCTGAGTCGAGAAGCCATTGCTCTCGGCGACCCGTAAAAGCCCGCGAGGGCCGTCGTCCGTCCTTTGGCGGAGGGCACGGGATTTCTAATTCCGGAGTCAGGTAACTCAGCTGGCTTCCGTGATTGACTGGCTTGGGGTACTTGGTCTCGGCGAGGACGAGACATCACTGTCCCGGAAGGGTCGAACCGCTGGGGGACATCTCAGCGCAGGCCAACAAGGGCCGACTAGCTCGGCTGTTGTTGTGTTTGTAGCTAGGGTGCCACATCTGACGATTTTGTGCGTGCTACTAAACCACAACTGGTGCCGAGACCCGGGAGCAGGGTGGTTTGTTTTCGTTGGTACCAAGTCAACCAAGTTTCGAGTACTGAGCAAGATGGTCAAGGGGAGATCGTTGCCGAGCTGGGCCAGCCCAGCGACGGCGGGGGGCTCGCTTCACACGAAGCCGAACTCAGCTGGCGGAAGGATCGCCGACATGACGATGGAAGCGGTCCCAACCGTTCGGTTTGGCGACGACCGCACCCAAGACCGAGGAAGAGATGGAAATATCGGAGATTATGATGAAGAATGGAAGAACGCCGAGTTGCTCAGCGGGGTAGCTGAGTTCTCGCTGCATGTTGGGCGCATGGAGAAATCTCGACGAGCCCAACAAAACCTCGCAGCCGAGCTCGGTGACGATGCGGACGACGACAGTCAAGACGTCGCTTCAGGGGACCGTCCGCCTCTGATACAACGAGCGACGAGGGCATCAAGCGCGAAATGCCCGAGTTGGGATTCGGTGCCGAACGTCTCGTGGGAAACCTTTCCACTCGACTAGGGGCAATCGAAGAAATGTGAAACCCGTCTGCAAATGGTGCAAGTTGCAGATGCGGTCTAAGGCTATTGCACCAAAGAGATGATCCGCCGACTCAGCGAAGACAGCAGGCTGGGTCGAGTCGAAGAATGATACTGCGTCAACTGTATGGATGATATGAATTACATGATATCGAAATGGAGTGAGCGAAGATAGAGCTGGAAAGGAAGAAGCCCATTTGCCGGGTTAGCGTTGGAGTCGGTGCGGCCGCCACAGCCACCAGGTTGGTGGAATCCGCATCTCGGATCGAAGTCTCAGCCGAGTTGCCGAGCTGAGCGATTACGCCCAGATGGTCTGACGACGACCCTGTGAAGAAGCTGAGGGAGGTGTGATATCGGGAAATGACCGAGAACGGCCCGCGCCGAGGCCTAACGGTCCTTCGAGTGACGGCCATCCGAGCACTCTGATTGGTTACTCTCATTCCCCGCACTAGAGTGACAGATGGATAGCCATTTAGTGACCAGGCACGGCGGGTCATAATAAATCCCCGCCGATACCTCCAGGTAGTCATAGTGGGTACAAGATTTGCCTCTCATTAGGAATTCGGACCTAGCCGAGGAGTCGTCGAGTCGTCGGTCCGGCTCGAAGGCTCGGTTGATACTTGATATTTGTAAAGACATTAGGGATTAGTTAAAGGGAAGGCCTCACAACCTCTAATCACTAAATCAGAGCAGAATTTCCCCCCGAAGCCACACAAGGGTCAAGTCCGTCTACCGGTAAGTCTTAGCTTAGCTGTAGAGTCTGGATACGCTCGGCCGACGCGGGGTATGTCTGCTGGTGAGCATAAGGTACATTGACCGAGTGTTCATCCCTGGAAAGGCCAAGAGTGAGTAGTGGCCGAGTGTTTGAGGTATTAGAGACCTCCCTGTACAGTTGTACGTTTGTCTGGGTGTGTGGCGTGGCCCCCCCCAGTATATTTGACTTCCAGCCGAGGCTTCGCCCCGGCGCCCCTGTCCGAGGCCTCGATTGGCCTGGTACCCTTCCTTCTGAGGGACCACAGTGGGTTAAGCGTGAAAGCGCGTGTGTACATTGCATCCTAGCCGTAGCTCGTGGCTAAGGGTGCTCTTATATTAGATTTACGGGCTCTACCTACCTGACCGACGACTCGCATAAGGCACATCCCAGCCCGGTGTAAGGGAACGGATCTGGTCTTCAGATTTAATCCCAACAATAAGCGCCGACCTTTTAGGAGGGAAGCGTGTTGTTGGAAGGGCTCGCCCCAAAAGCCTTGGCTAGAGGGACGAGGACTCGTTAAATCGTGTTTTCCTATACGACAACTGGTGCCGCGACCCGGGACTGGTGTGACCGAACTGTGTGTTGTGGTCTGTGTAGGTATTGTCCCAAACGAGCATTGAGAGGAAGAGAAGAAGAAAACATGAAACAAGAAGAACAAGAACAAGATGGCGAAAGGATCCAAGTCAGCGGTGCCAGCTACGCCGGCGAAATCGGGACGAGGATCGACCGAAGGCTTGTCGACGATCGCGAGTGACATGACGTCTCGGCTGTCGACAATCTCCGAAGGGTCGGTCCGTCTCGAAGAGTCGGTTGACGAGGATTCGGACGCCAACGATGACATGATGATGAACTACGACGACCTGGAAGAGAAGACTCCCGCGACTGCGGATGAGTACGAAGACCAGGAGGAAGCGATGGTGTCGGCTGGACGCAGTGGGGGTTCACGCTCCCTCAGCCGAAACCTCGTCTCCGAATTTGATGAAGTGGCGCGGCCGGACTTTGCAGACGATGACTCCGAGGATGGCACCGAGACCTTGACTTCGAGGGCTCTGGTGCAGGTTACTAAGGATCCTCGCGAGTCTCAGGGAAACCGGCCTGCGATGAACAGCAGCACCCCAGCTGCGAACAAGGTACTCGGCCGAGTGCTCGAGCAGATGATGGAGGCGAGTGAGTGGATCCGTCAGTTCAACCCAGACGCTGTGCGCCAGGCGACGTGGACGGAGCTGAAGGAGGAGTTGCAGCACCCCGTGGAGTCGAGTTCCACCACTCAGGTGGTCGAAGACACGGTGTCACTCCTCCGAGCCATGGGTTTCGAGCCGATGACTCGCCCGTCCGAGGCCTCGATCAAGGACTGGCCGCCAGCTATCGCCGGCAAGGAGTTGCATAAGTGGAAGAGAAAGCTTCGCCTGAGCTTTGGCGAGACGGACCTCACTCTGGGACGTCCGCCAAGCGCCCGTCCGGCGAAGGAGCCAACCGATCCCTCGAAGATCCCGCTCCGGCAGACTCCGAGGAAGACGACCAAACGTTCGAGCAGACGCCAGACTACGGATGGAGTATTCTCTGTCAAAGCCGAAGGCACGCCTTACTTTCAGGATTCGCATATGGTGACCCCTCGGTCGGCTACCCGAACCGAGCGCATCGCTCGTGAAACCGAGAGTACGCGAGCCGAACGGAGCTCCAACCGAAGTGGCTCAAGACGATCGAGCCGGCGGTTCACGCCGCGCAACGACTCCTCGTCGGACGATGATGACGACGATGCGCCTGACTACGACGGAGGCTTTGACAGTCCTAGCGACGAGTTAGCCCGTCAGGTGCGCGAAGTGAGCGAGATGGAGCGGCTGAACTCGACCCCTCGGATCGAGGTCGCGACTCACCGACCCCTCGCCCAGATCAAGAATTTCTCTGGTGCCCGCAATCGGAGCGAGAACTCCATGCAGTGGCTCCGAGCCTTCGTCTACGAGATGAAGGGGACGCACACTCCGCCCAACGAGTGGTGCATGGATTTCGAACTGAGCCTTCGGGACGGTGCTTTGCATTGGTACCGTCAGCTCCCCAAGAAGCCGAAGCGTCGGTGGAAGCTGCTCAGTGATGCTTTCATCAAGTATTACTGCACGCAGTTCAGCCAGTCTGCGAAGGCTCGCTACTACTCGGCGCGACGTGACGTTTCGGAACATCTGTGCGACTACCTAAATCGGCTGAATGGCTACGCTCGCAACGCTGGCCTTCAGTTCGAGAAAGGGGACGCGACGCGAAGGATCATGTGCAACGTTTCCTCGAGACGTGTGGTGACCGAGGACTCGAGCGGCGGCATTGCCACGTTCGAGTCACGGACATCCATGAGCTTGAAGCCATGATTAACGACATCCTCAAGTCGGAGGAACGTGGACAGGGCAGAGCTGCCTCGTCGTATGCCACGTCTCATCGGTCACGTGGACACGAACATTCTCGCAGACGGGACGAGCGTCAGAGCGAACAGGCGCGCGACAATAGCCGCCGTGACCGTTACGAGCGCCGTGACCGAGACCTCGGACGCCGTCGTGAGGACTCGCGCTATGCCCCACGTGTGTCGCTGGCCGAGGCGTCGCTTTCCGACTTGGTGGCTGAGTTGCAGGTCCGTGGGACGAAGAGTGGCCGATCTGACCGCCCGGAGCCCCGCGGGCAGTCGCGCGACGACAGTGGAAGTGAGTCCAGTGGCAGCCGATACTTCGAGGGCGACCGAGACTTCAGTGACTACAGTGACGTCGACACCTCGGATGAAGAAGGAGGCCATGTCGCAGCGGCGAATGAGCTGGAGAGGCGTGCTGCAGCTGAAGGAACCTACGCCCGGTCCGATCAACGTCAAGGCAGGGGTGGGGAACCCGGCCGAGGCTTCGACCGATCCAACCGACACTTCAGCCGAGACAACCGCGATGGTCGCCCGCGTCAGTACGGACCCTGCGCAGCATGTGGTGGTGCCGGACATTCGGCACACTACTGCTACCGACGCTGCAGACTGTGTCAACAAGTCCACGACATCGGCAAGTGTGAAGCACTCCAAGCCCTCACCTCGTACCTTCGGACGAATGTTGAGAAGAAGGACCTCTCTCCCGAGCTCCGAAGTCTAGTCTTCGGTGGCAATTTAAACTAGGCAGCCCGCCAACTGAAACTGGGTTGGTCCCAATCGGGCTGCCACAGTTAGCTGATCCCGCGATCGATGCAGACTGCGTCTACGCGTTTGTGGGAACCAGCAAACGGCCGAACGACAAGGACAAGGAACATGTGGAAATGACTGAAATTGAAAAGGAGAGGGGGGAAACCCTCGGTGGAGGTGAAAATTGTGGAAAGAATGAAGAAGATGAAGATGGAGATGCAACCGAGGCCTGGGTCTCAAGCGCGGTGGAGAGTGAACGCCCTGGCCGAACGCCCAGTGGAGTGACCAAGTTACTCCCAGGCGCGAGGCTGGGGTGGTGGTCCGCACAGAAGTTCGACAAGAGAGCACGGATGAGAGCTCTGGTCAAGGGTGCGGTCAACGACACGAGAACGAGGCTTCTGTTGGATACGGGAGCAAACGTGAGTGTGATTTCGGAGAAGTTTGCGAAGCAGTTGCGGTTGCGTGACATTCAGGGACACGGCCGCTGTATGGAAATCCAAGGGTTTACGAAGGGAACCATGGCTACGGAGAGACGAGCCCTCGTCAAGGTAACCCTCGGCTGGGCACGTGTGTACGAGTTTGAGTTGTGGGTCATGGATCATGGCGCCGGAGTGGATGTAGTCCTCGGCACCGATTTTATGATCCCGGCCGGAGTGCGTTTGGACCTGTTCCATGCAACCGCGAGGTTGCCGGACGAGGTCAGCATCCCGCTCATTAAGACTCTATGTGCGCCGGACGACCGAGGCTTCGGTCCGCATGTTAATGGTGGACCGTCCGAGGACTTGCCCGTCCAGAGCCAAGAGTTTGTGGAATACCGAGTACAGCGCCGCCAACCACCTCTTGATACACACGAAGTGTGGGTACGTCGCACGAAGTTTCTGCTGCCGACGGTGACGAAGTTTCGGCAGGGAAGGTCGAGAGGGTTCGGTTGACTGGACGGGTGTTCTTCTTCAGTACCGCCGGCGGGTTCATCCCGCGGGCGAGCGATTTCAAGCCCGGCTTGGTCGCCCGGCGCTTCGTCGTGCAGCCCGGCTGCACGACAGCATGCAAGTTCTTCCGGTGCAGGACGTTTGCAACCGTCCGCACCGCTTGCAGCGTCGACTCCCGGAGTCGACACGCCATCATTACCTCGACGCCTGTTATTGGCGGAGCCCTCCATTACACAGGGTGCGTCGGCTCCCGGAGCCGACGAATCAAATTCACTCAAGCCATCGACTCCCGGAGTCGACGGCGTTACGTCACCTTGGCTCTTATTATTGGCCAGACCTGATCCAATCAGATTCGCGTCAGCCTCCACGGCTGAGGCGTGTAACCCGCCTGCGTCATCCGTGCCCCTTGAGGCCAGAGACGCTTCGTGATTCGCTGAAAAGCGGGTGTCGACCTCCGAGGCCAACACATTTCCTTCATTAGCTGTCGGCGGCAACGCCGACGCTAGCTGCTCTTGCGCGCGTGCTCGCGCGCGCCCAGGGCGCTCCGGGACAGCGGCATTAGGCGCTGTCTCGAGTGGGGAGTCGCGCGCACCTGTCGGTGCGTGCGTAGCGGCAACAGGGCCATCGCTAACTGTTCCGCTGTCGCGACCGAAGCGCACGAGAGTGCGCTTCTCCCAATCGATGACCGGATCATGCCGTGCAAGCCACGGCATGCCCAATACAATGTCAAACTTATCGTCCAGATCCAGGACGATAAAGGTCTCGACAAACTCTTGATCTTCATACGTGAAGCGCACGCGTACCATGCGCTTCTCGGTCTTCACGACGGCACGCGTTGCCAGTCGTACCTCCAACATACTTCGAGGTATCTTTAAATCCTCGAAGTCAAGCCTTGATAGACTTCACAGTCGAACAAAGTTCTTTGACGCGCCAGAATCCACCAAAGCACGGAGAGAACCGCTTGCTCTCATCGCGTTCACGTTCAGGATGACAAGGTCAGGCTTGTCATCTTGTTTCTTGCAGTGAGAATGAATCTCACTGGGGGCTGCAGTCCTCAGTGTCGCGTGTCCAAGGTCGACACGCAGAACTGCATTACCAGTAGGGCGCCCCGCGCCTACTGGCGTCCAGAGAATGAATCTCACTGGGGGCTGCAGTCCTCAGTGTCTCGTGTCCAAGGTCGACACGCGGAACTGCATTACCAGTAGGACGCCCCGCGCCTACTGGCGTCCAGCGTTTTTTGGTTGGTTGCGACAGTGCCCGGCACCGCCGCAATATCCACCCTGCTGGTGCACGGGGGCCGTGCACTCCCGAGCAAAGTGACCGACTTTACCGCAACGGTAGCATCGCACATTGTTTCCCTGCGACTGCTGGGGTCCAGCAGTTGCAGCACTCGAGAGGTCCATGGGTTCTGGGCCTCCCGTCCTCACTACCGGGCGTGGCTGTGGCCTCGGCACATGTGCATGCAGCTTAGCCTGCCGCAGGCTAAACTCCTCCTGCATTGCAAGAGTAATTGCAGCTTCGAGAACACTCGGGTACTCACGGAAGAGATAGATCTTCACAGGTCCATCTCTCAGCCCCTTCATGAACGTGACGACCTTGGTCGCCTCGTCGATCGGATTGGTCACGATGTTCGAGACCAAGTACCGTGCTCTCTGAGCGTAAGCATGGACATCATGCTTGCCCTGCTGCAGGTCGAGGAACTCCGCCCTCGACCGGAACTCGCTTTGTGGTGGCTCAAACGCTTGTCTGAGCTCTTCCTTGAAACCCTCGTACGTGCTAAAGCACGTAGGATCCGAGAGTCGGCGTTCATACGCCCAACTTCTTGCACGTCCGCCAAGACATGACATGGCGAACGCAACCTTCGACAACGGGTCGACGATACGTCGAGCCGCAATGGCAGTGTCGAGTTCGACAAGCCAACGGAGGAGAGGTTCACCCTCTCTTCCGACATAGTTGCTCACATTGAGCTTTAGCGATTGCGCGCGTGGTGTCGTCCCGGACGGCACCGCGGTAGTAGCAGCAACATCGCGTTGCTCCTTCAGGATGAACCCCAGAGCAACACCGTGTTGCTCTGTCGGCGTTAGCGTACGCAGCATCGTAGCTACAGCCGCCTCACCAATGACTGTTGACAGTCGTTGGAGGGCCTCCCACTCTGGATCCGACAGGTGGGGACAGTCAGCGCGTGCAACGTGAGTTGCAGGCGTAGTGGAGCTTTCCATGAGCACCTCTGTATCCATGGGAAGGTTCTCAGCTCCGCGTTCGTGCGGTGACGTACGAACTCAGGTAGTCGGTCGTTGGACGGACTACAAAGTGCTACCAGGTGTAATGGGCCTACTTTGGCTCACTACTTTAGCTTACACGTGTGCGCGTGTATGTGAGGAAGCGTAGCTTAGTTTAAATTAGAGTTAATTATACTCGGGCCTCCGAATATAGATTAATCTAAATAAACGATCCAAATAATGTTTTTGGGTTAAAATGAGAACTGCTATTTTTGTTTTATGTTTCTGACTTCCTCTAAATGTAATATTCTAAGATAGGAATCTGCCAACGGCTGGTTGGCAGAATTCCAATGCTATGCATGTCGCTCATTGGCTAAAAGATGCTGCTTTCAGCCAATAGGAATCCTAAGTCTCTATGGACCACCCGTCGTGGTGATCGTAAATGTATGTAGCCTTGGTGTGTTTACACCAAGGATGAGAAAGTCTTTCGAACCTCTAATAGACGTCGTGTCTGTTAGAGTTACACGTGACTGTAGCCACTTGTGCGTGTAACCCTGTTACACCCAGCGCTGCCGACTACGGCTTCCGGCCTCGCGATCCCGCGGAGGCGTGTCGCCAGGTGTTCCTGCAGTCACTCGCAGTGCACGCTATTGGGCCCGCGGCCCGTACTCCACAGGAGCTCGCTCTACGAACATCTGTCCGAGAGCGACTCCTCACCCCACAGTTTCCGACTGTCGCGGAGTATCGCGAGCGCCTGCGGCTCCAAGCCCAGCAGAAGTCGGTGCCCGCCATGCGGACGTACCCGGTGGTACTTAGCCCGGGGGAAGACTCAATTGAGTACGAAGCTCAGTTCGAGTCTTGGGCCGAGCACAGCCGAAAGCTAAGCTCCATGGACGCTCTCCGAGCCAGCTTCAGTGAAGTGGATGTTCGCATTGAACGCAAGCTCCGCTTCGATTTCGCGAAGGTCCGAGCCAAGCGCAGCCTCTCGGCACTCGCCCAGCCGCAGACCCAGTTTAGCGCTGCGCTCTTCGCTCCTTCGAGCACTCCAGCCGCTCCTTCCCGCGAGGGAGTGAGCGCTGTGGCTCAGGGTCAGCCTCGGAGCAATGTGGCTGACCCAGCAGCTCCCCAGCTTATTGCCGGGAAGCGCGGGACGGCCGGCGTGCCGGCCTTGAGCCCTCGGGGCGCTGGTGATCAAGCTTATCAAAAGCGTCCACGACGTCTGGGCAGTTGGCGGAGGGGCACCTCAAACTCCCATGAGTTCTCGGAGTGAGGGTACCCTCGCCATTTCACCAGATACTGGTTTTGACCCCGGCACCGCCGCTTCGCCAGGAGGCGCTCCACATAGTAATGCAGATTCCCATGTTCATCGAGCAGAGCTGGTGGAGGCCGCTGGGGGCCCCTTTGCGACTCAAGGTGAGCTCTTGGAGGCGCGGCAGCAGGCGAGTCGCCTTCGGGATCACATCCATGACGTTGATGCGCGTCTGGGCCGGATTGCCACTGAACTCGACCAGCTCGCCGAGCGGACTCAATGGAGCGAGGTACCTCGAGAGGTCTGGGACCGCCTTGGGGCACTGGAGGACTGGGTGCGATACTATCGCGATCGCGACGAGCAGCGTGGCCGGGAGCTCGGGGAGCTACAGCGTCAGCAGACTGTGCTTCAGGGTCATCTCGACCTCCTGGCCCGCATGCAGGCTCCGACTGCTGCGCCTCCAGCGCCTGCGGCTCTCGCTGTGCCCGCGGCACCTCCGGCGCCGATTCTTCCGCCTGTGCCTGCGGTGCCCGCGTGGATGGCCGCGTCCTCGACGCCTGCGACTGCGTCCTCGACGACCGCGGCCTCCGCGCCTGTGACCTCGTCACCCTCGGTGCCTCCATCTGCACCTGCATCGGGTCCTGGTATGGCTTGAGCAAGCCCACGTAGAAGACGGGGTGCGTCCGCATCTTCTTCGGAAGATTGAGCGTGTACGCAAGGCCCTTCCTGGCCACAACCTTGAAAGGTCCGATGAAGCGCGGGCGCAACTTCGTCTTGAAGACGGCAGACACTGCATGTGTAGGTAGGTTCTTAGCATTAAGCAACACCAGGTCCCCGACCTCATAACTTTCAACATTGCCTCTGCCCCTGGCATCTGCATGTTCCTTTTGCTTGTCTTGGCTCTCAGCCATTGCGTCACGCACATGTCGTATGACACTCAGACGCGTCGACAAGAAAGCGTCAACCTGTTTACGAACAGTAGCCGGGCTGACATCGGCTAGCCGATCAGCTAAATCGGCTTCTCCTCCCCCACCAAGCCCGAGGCCACCACGTGGCGGCGTCAGCAGGACGCGGGGATGAGACAAGCTGTTCACGTAGAACGGCGTGTAGCCTGTCGAGGCGTGCACGACGTTGTTCAACGCAAACTCAACGACTGGCAGCATGGCGCTTCAGCGCTTCGGCGTCTCGGCGCAAATGCTGCGGAGCACGTCCTCGACGACGCGATTCACACGCTCTGTCTGACCATCGGTCTGCGGATGGTCCGCCGTGGACATGTCCAGCTTGGTGCCAAGCACCGCAAAGACCGCGCTCCAGAAGTTGCCCGTGAAGCGGGGGTCTCGGTCCGAGACAATCGACTCAGGGAGTCCGTGTTGTCGAAACACTCGGTCCAAGAACAGCGTTGCTGTACCTTTACCATCGATGGTATCCAGCATAGCCGCAATGTGAGCCATCTTGCTCAGTCGGTCCACGAAGACCACGACGCCTGTGCTGCCCGCCGCGTCCGCCGGCAGGCCAAACACAAAGTCCATACTCATGGAATACCAGCAGCCCGAAGGGACAGGCAAACTCGCAAACGGCGCTGCAGCATGAGGTGACGACTTCACTCGCTGACACGTCTCGCACGTGCGCACATAAGTGCTCGTCCACTTGTACAACTTCGGCCACCAGTAGTGGGTGCTCACCGAGCTGTAGGTCTTCTCACGGCCAAGATGGCCAGCCAGCGGCGTGTCGTGGGCCTCATAGAGGATGCGATACCTCAGATCCTCATCATGAGGGATGACCACGCGGGGCGTATCCTCGGGGCCAGTGTTGTAGAACAACAGGCCTCCATCGAGGGGATAACGGTGTAGCCGCGCGCGCAGCCGCGCTGACAATTCCATGTCCGAGTCTTGAAACTCCTTGCTCCCCAGAGCCTTTAGCAACGCGATACAAGTGTCGTCCTTGGCATAAGCCGTTCGGATCAGATCCGGTAATGACGAAGTCACGGTCGTTACATGAGCCAGCTCATAATCTGGCCTGCGCGACAGCGCGTCCGCAAGGACATTCTGCCTACCAGGCTTGTACTTCACCTCGAAGTTGTACTCCGCGAAGATGGACAGCCAACGGGCCATCCTTTGCGAAAGGTGAGGCGACTGAGTCGCAGTGCGTAACGACGCATGATTCGTGTAAATCACGAACGGCTGAGAGCCCAACAGGTGTACCCTGAACTTGACGAGCGCATACTTCATCGCAAGTAGCTCTTTGTCATGGACAGGATAGTTCTTCTCCGCAGCCTTCAGCTGGCGAGATTCGAACGCCACCACGCGCTCGCGCCCCTCGGCGTCTGCTTGCAGCAGTGCACAGCCGATGGCAAAGTCCGAGGCGTCACAGACGACACTAAACGGACGAGCGGGGTCTGGCAAAGCCAGAATAGGCGCATGAAGGAGACTGTCCTTAATTGCCGCAAACACATCTTGATGCTCGGTGTCCCAACACCACTCCGCATCCTTCTTCAGGAGATTGGAGAGTGGCCGAGCCATCTCAGCGTAGTTCTCGCTGTACTTGTGCAAGTAATTGGCCATGCCAAGCCACTTGCGAAGATCCTTCTGGTTCTTGGGAACCGGCCAGTCAACAATGGGCTTGACCTTGACCGGGTCGGCCCTCAGGCCACGCTTCCCGATGAAGCACCCTAAGAAGGGGATCTCTTCCGCTCCGAAGATGCATTTGTCAATGTTGGCGTACAACTTGTTTTGACGCATGCATTCGAGCACAGCACGCAGGTGCTCCACATGGTTCTCCATATCAGTCTTTCCGTGCTCCGCACGACTGTGGACAAAGATGTCATCGAAGTACGTTTGCGCGTACGCCCGATGGGGCCTGAAGAGCTGCGTCACAAGACGATTAAACGTCGCTGGCGCGTTCGAAAGCCCTTGGGGCATCACCAACCACTCCCAGAGCATGCCGCTCGGAGTACTCACCGCAGTGAGAGGAATGTCGCTCGTCCTCATGAGCAATTGGTAATATCCATCGACCAAGTCGAGCGCACTGTACATCGTACATCCTGCCATGTTGTTCTGAAGAACATCCTTCCGAGAAATCGGCGTCTGCGCCGGAATGGTAGCGGCATTCAGCTTGTTGAAAGCATGCACGATACGCCACTTGCCATTCGGCTTTGTGACACAGAACGTCGGCGTAGAGTGTGGAGACTTACTCTCACGCACCGTGCCCGCCTCGTGCTTCGCACGGAAGAACGCGTCAATGACGTCACACTGCTCCTTCGGCAAGGGCCACTGCCTCGTCACGCAGTACTTCGTTCCCGGAACGAGATCGATTTCGTGTCGAACACCTCTATCCGGAGGTAGCTCCGAGGGCTGCTCCTTCGAGACCACGTCCTGGTAATCATTTACCACTTGATACAAGGGATCCGACGGGTCCTTCAGGATCGCCGATCCGCTCCGCGCATTCAGCGCCTTCTTCGTGTCTTCCAGGACAGCTTCATCCAGAAGAGAGGACGAGTTCAACTCTTCTTCGGGTCGTATGACCACTACCTCAGCCAAGTCTCCAGCCTTCAAGGCTTCGCCGAACTCGGCCAAGGACATCTCGTCCGGCTCCAGGAGAGCAGACAGTGAGGGCAAGTCGTCGAGGTTGATACCTCCGTCGACGTCGCCCGTCACTCCATTCATGAGTGTATAGAGCTGCTCGCTCTCGCGTGGAGCCTCACCGCTCGACACGCCCTTCTCGACTCGTGAGATCGCAGACGCCTTACGTCTCACAGCCAGCGCTTTGCGGCGCTGCCTCCTCTTCATGGACACCGTCCGCCCTGAAGAGCTCCGTAATTTCGCGTGCGTCTTGATGCCAGGTGTCACCACCTCGTTCAGCTCCAGGGGAGCTCCAGTGTCTTTACCGACACTCAGCGAAGAGCTGCATGATCCGCAGCCTCCACTCAATGGATTACGTGCCACTCCACGATCTTCATCCGGGCAAAGCCCCTTGTTCTTCGGTATCGTGCCGACCGCGCCTTCACCGGCACGCAGCAGGGCGTCGCCCTCAGACGCACGCCCGCTCAGCGGAATTAGTGCCGCCCCACATCCTTCAACAGCCGGGCCGCGCCCATGGCTCCTCGGCTTCATGCCGACCTTGTCTTCACTTGAATACAGCAGGGCGTCGTCCTCAGACGCACACCCGCTCAGCGGAATTCGTGCCGACCCACCTGCCGTCCGCGAGCCACGCTCGGAACGCTCGTTCTCGACATACTCAGTGCCCACCAACTCGAAGACTCCGATGTCCAGCACATTGACCGACTCGGTCCAGTGCTCGCGCCAGAAGCGCTTCGGCTTCCTAGCAGAGGTGGGTTCATGACTCGCCAATGCTCCGCCAGGAGAGAAGTGCGTAGCACCAAGGGTCTTCGACCTCCGATCGATCCAAGGCTCGTAGCGTTCCAGCCACGCCATACCAAGGATGAGATCATATCTCGAATCGAGATCTAAGACCAGACAGCGTTCCACGCTATCGAAATCCAAAAACTTCACGCCCAGGTCCACAGGGACCTTAGGCACCGTGACATGAGTGCCCGCCGCGAGACGAACAGTGACGATGTCACTCCTGCGCGCTACCAGCGCCTCAGCATAAAGCTGACTTCCGTCCATCGTAGAACGTCGGGCGTAGTTACCCGACGCTCCCGAATCGATCAAAACCGTCCATGGTTTCGTGAAGCCCTTCACCCAAGCTTGGACAACTAGCAAGCCCGGCTTGCATACACGCTCCGTGTTAGAGAGTACGGCTCTCTTCGGGGCTAAGTCCTGTCGACCTCCACCTCGCCGAGGCTCAATAGAACTTAGTTCTTCCCCAGTAGGCCGCCCCACGCCTACTGGGACTTCTCGTTTCCCCGAGACGAACCAGAGCCCTGGCTCGAACTCGAAGAGCGGCTTGACGAAGCCTGGCGCTGATGGCGCAGCGGACAACCAGCACGAAGGTGACGGGTGTCACCACAGATGAAGCATCTGCAGATACCGCGACGCTGCTCCGCAGCAAGAAGCTCGGCTTCTTCGTCTTCAGCATAGCTGAGGTCCATGGGTTCCGGACCACTCGACGCGCTAGCGTAAGACGCATCCCACCCAAGTCTCGACGACTTAAAGTTGTGTTCCGCATTCAATGCGACGCTCACAGCCTCTTCAAAAGAGCTCGGGTGGGTTCGGAACACCTCCGTCCTGGCAACGCCAGTGCGGAGGCCCTCCATGAACACCGTAACGGTGACTGCTTCCGGCAGGGAGTCCGCAGGCATGCCAGCAATGAGAGTTCTCAACTCTTGGACATAGTCCATCAACTCCTTCTTGCTCTGCCTGGTCGCCAGGAAGCGTGAGCGCACGCGATACGCCTCGTTAGGCGGAGCAAACACTCGGGACAATTGCTGTTTCAGCTGGTCCCACGTCGGGAAGGCCACCTCGACCGACGTCCCGGACGTTAGTGCCCACTCTCTCGCTCGCCCACCGAGCTTCCAGATAGCTAGCGCCACGCGCTGCGACTCCGTCCGGAGTAGAGCTGAGCTCATAGTCATCTCAACCTCACGGGTCCAAAGCATCAAGCTTTCACCCTCCTTGCCTTCGAAGGTCTTCACACTCAACATGAGCGGCTTGGGTCTTGTTCCCGCGTCGGACGACGAAGCGGGCGCTTGGGACGCCGCGGCAGTCGCCATCCTCTGCTGGAGGTGCTCTAGCAGAGCATTCTCGTAGCTTGAAAACACCTCGAGACGCGCGTTCACCGCGCCGGGGCCTTGCTGCGCAAGTTGCGTCACGCCTTCCGGGCCCAGCAAGGACATAAGCTTTTTAAGCGCATCCTGCTGGTTCGGGGGCAAGTGAGCGAATTGCTCCATTCTCCACAGAGGGTCAGTCTATACAGACTCAGGTGTCGGATTGACTACAAGTGCTACCAAGTGCAGCGGGGCTGCCGTAGCTTTGCGTCAGAGGAAGCTTAACAGACTCGCAGAGTCTCAGCTTAAGATCGGCCGTTCTAATACCAGAACGTACGAGTCCGTACACCTTACGGACTCCAAGAGTCAACCCTTAACTCTTAACTGTGTGAATCTCAAACTGAATGTATTTCCCTTTATTGCGGCAAAGCCGCCTACGGTGTAAATGTATCCGCTTCACTATCTAGCATAGTGAACCCTAGTCATATGCATAATCAGTGGCTCTGAAGCCACGTAGTGATTCTCCTACTGATTTAGGTTAGACCGTGTGTATTCCGTAACCCTTCGGGTAACTCTCGTGTAACCCCGTTACAGGTATCTTTAAATCCTCGAAGTCAAGCCTTGATAGACTTCGCAGTCGAACAAAGTTCT